GCGTAATACCGAGATGGTTGAGGGCGGAGGTCGACGCATGCACTGTATAACTCACGCATGCTAGGAGCATCAAATTTTCAACCCGATGCACTACCTTCTCAGCCTACAACATTAGAACTAACTAGACAGACAAAGCAACTTGAATATTCCTAACGTTCTCATTTATAGTCCTTGTGCATCTCCGCGGGGAAAAAGAAAGGCAAAAACATACAACAGAAGGGATTCGCTGGTGGTCACCCACCCAACTACTAACCTCCCGGCGTGTGGCTTGAGTACGGCTGAGCGGACGGGAAGCCCTATTTTCCACACCCTGTGGTCGTATGTGCATGGTTATGGAAAATTTTGAATCTAGTATCCGATCTCTTAGCTTTGATCCCTCATTTCTGTGAGTTGGTAAAATGACTGGCTGCTACATAATTGAGGCTTCCCGTGCTTCAGCACGGTAAAATGGCGCAAAGACGAAAAGCATGAGATCAGAGATTGAACTTCACACTAAGCAATACACCCCGCCCCAATCCCCCCCCAGCAGTTTCTAATCAGTCCAGCTTTTCAATTGCAAAATCCTCCACCTTCAACCCGTACTTGACCACCCGGCAGACCTGGTAGACGGCCAAGCCGATATACATGAGATAGTTCTCGAGCTCGTCATTCCACTGCGCCACGGCTTTGCCCCAGGTGCCCGCGAACCCGGCGATGGTCTCGATAAACCCGTTAACGATCAGCACCTCGTTCTTTTCCGCTGCGGTGGCGTCCATAATATCGCTCGTGAGTTTGAGGCAGAGCGATGGCACCGACAGCACGGCGCTGACCGTCCCCTTCCACCGCTTGACCACCGGTCGCTCTAGCTTCATCTTCTTGCTCACTAGTTTGACTACGGTGCTGGCGGTGAACTTGGCGCCCCCGAGGGCCCAGCCCTGGACATTGGATGTTAGTTTTAGGTGGTTGTGTGAGTGGGAAGGGGCCTAGCACTTACTGCATATTTGAGAGCGTGTTTGGTGTCCAGTGAGTCGGTGGTCAGTCCAGAAGAGTAGGCGGCGGATGCTGTGTTGTCTCCAACGGGCCAGGTTGTGAATGAATCCGTTCACGGCGGCAAAAGTCAGGGATGCCGAATCAAAGACATTCATGATGCTATCCACCGGTCCGAAGGGAATACTTTCAAGGCCGAGTCCCTCGAAGGCGCCATCCAGCCCCAGCGAAAGCACGTCGAACTCCGTCTCGATGAGGAGCACGCCCGACTCCGCGGCGACACTGAACCCTCGGATATCCGCCGCGAGCGAAGCGTCGCCCTGGCCCTGCACGTACTGGCCGAAAGTGCCCTTCGTCAACCGCCCAGATAACTTGGGCGGCGCCCGCTTCTTCTTCGCTTTGTACAGCACGGTGGTCGGGATCGCGATCAAGAGCGCGCAGAGGTTCAGCAGCGTCAGGGGCCGGCCCCGGGCGATCACGTTCTTCCAGAGCCACGTTATGACGGGGATGTTGATCTCCTTGGTCGCCAGGTCCTGCACGAGGTCGATACCCAGTTTCAGGGCATCGAACAGGATGTCGGCCAGTTTCTCCACCGCGTCGATCATCCCATTGACCAGGTCCACGCCCACCTTGGCCATGACCTCCCGCACGCTGAAGTTGGCCGGGTTGAAGAATTCGACCAGATCCTTGGCCACATTCGTCACCGTCTTCATGATGATCTGCACCTCGTCCTGCACGTCCTGCCACAGCTTCACCAGTTGGTCTTCGGTCGTGCCCCCTGTCGCGAAGGCGGTGGTGGTGCTGTCGTCGTGGAGCACCGCATTCGTCGTTCCGCCGCCGTAGGTGAAGTAGTACGCCGACCAGTTGTAGGGCACGGCCGCCTTGACCTCATCCTCGTCGGCGCCCTGGTCTGCATTGCCGTCTGCATCACCACCGGCCGTGCTGGCTGCGACCGTGGTCTTCTTGTTGTTGCTATTGCTGCCTCCCAGCCGCGCTCCGTTGTAGTCGTTTGACTGAAGGGAGGTGAGGTTCTGCAGGATCGTGGAGCGGACGTTCTCCAACCACTTGTGCGCGTCGAGGTCCGCCGCGTCCAGCGCCTCCTTGCCGTATTCCAGGGCCGCGTTGAACCCGGCGGCGATACTGTCGGTTGTGTCAAGGATATCGCCCCACTCGAACAAGAAACTGATAAACTCGATGATATCCTTGATGACGGCGCCGATCTTCTTGAACACCCAGATGACGCCCTTCACGATTGAGGTGATGGTGTTGAGGGCGATCTCAAAGATCTCCTCGCCGATCTTGACGATAAACTTCCACACGCCGCCGACCACATCGCAGGTCCATTGCCAGACATCCTCTGCAACCGAGGTGAGCCAATGCCACGCTCCACTAAGGGCGTCCCCTATATCGGACCAGAACCCATAAGGAACGGGGGTACTGCTGCTCGGAGAGGCAATCGCTGCGTGGTATGTCTGTAGCTTTTGTTTCTCCTGGGCATGGAGATCATTTGCACTGGCGACGAGCTTTTGGAAGATCTTGGCAACGCCGTCCGGATCGTCGGGGGCTTTCTCGAACAACGGCGTCCCATCCGCTGTCTTGAGATTTTTGACTTGGTCGCCGGTTTTGATGTCCTGGATCTTGGGGAGGATCTTACGGGATGGGTCCAGGATCGGATCCGTTAGGGCTCGTTCGGCCGCTGCCGCCGACGACAACGACACCGACTGCGAAGGTTTCTGCGCGCGGCGGTAGGCTTCGGCGGCGAACTGATGGATCGTGGCGTCGTCAGTCTGCAAAAGGATATTCAGGACACCTTTGGCATCGGTCTGGTACCACTCCGCTGTGGGCGAGAGAGTCGTGTGGTGACCGTTGACGATACACCGAACGAGGCCGGAACAGCTCACACGCAGCCAGCACCCGGGGAGGAGGTCGGCCGCGTCCCCGTCACTATCGTTGGTGACCGTCGTGTGTAGACGGACCATCAATCCTTTTACTTCGGTGATTGTCTCTTCGGAAGCGTGCCAGAACGGGTACTGCTGCCACACCTGCGAGGCAGGGTCCTGCTGCAGGAGGGACAGGTTTCCGGTCTCGTCCACCGACAGCAGACTGCTGACTAGAAGCTTGTTATCCCCGTCGGCGGGTCGGCTGGACAGAAGGCTGGAGATCCGGCCGCCTTGTCCTTTCGCGAGGAGAGGAATCACGATACCCTCGGAGAGAGCCGTAGTCTTGGTGGTGTAGTAGTAGACCGCGTCGGTCGCGGTGGTATACCACAGCCGGAGGCTCTCCCCGGTCTGCGAGACGTGCAGATCCTTGAGGTCGCTGATCTGCTTCAGCCTGTCGATCACCGTGCCGGCACTGGTCTTATGGGAGCTGTAATCCTTGTAGGCCAACGCGGTGATCTCCTTGCCGCCCACCAGCACGACCGTCCACCCTTTCGCCGGGTCCAGGAACGAAGCCAAGCAGGTCGCCCCTAAAAGTGGATACCAGACATCAATTAAGGTGTTCAAGGCGTTAAGCCATAATACAAAGGCTGCCATGCGGGTAGAGTGCTCTTCCAGACCAAAAGGGAACCCTCTTACCTTCCGGACAGGGAACCTGAACCTCGAACCCAACACTGTCCTCGTCGTCCGCGGCCAGCACCTTGAACACCAGAAACTTCTCCCCGGAGAACCCTTGGTAGAGGACCATCACCCCATCGCCCAACAGACAGGTGACCAGGGTTACATCGAGAATCTTTTCCGGATTGACCGGCAGGCTCCAGTGGTCCACCAAGGTGGCCTTCTTCCCCTCGATCTTGACGTAGTTGAGATCCTCTGTCTTGGTCAACCTATCCGGTCGTTGAAACGCTACCGTGACCAGTGGTAGTGCTCGTGCCTCATCACTTGGTTTATGACCCTCGCCACATGAAAGTACCCCAGGTTAGCATGCTTTCCAATCGCATGGCTTCTTAGAGCCTCAGGACATAACATACCATGTAGATATGGTCCACAGTCGGGAAGACGCCTTGAATGACTTTGGCCGATGGCATCGTGCCCAAGATCTCGTCCAAGGTGATGTTATGCAGTAAATAAAAGTTTGAGGTTGTATCGCTCGCTTTCGTAGCAATGCAGATATCCAGACTGCCGTCCGGTGCCTGTAGGACGGCAAACGCTTGTACCTTGACATCTACGGAGAAGAGGCCTGACAGCTTGGCAAAGTCGAATTTCTTCGGCTCACGGCCCACGGTGATAATCAGGCTGAGGATGCTGTCTTCTCCCAGGGCGAACACGGCGGGCTGCCATTGCTGGTCGTGGAAGACCCCGAACGCCTCGCCAGCCGGGACCGGGTTGGCGGCCACGTAGTTGGTCATCACCTCCGAGTCCTTATTCACGGTAATCATGGTGAAAGGATGTTATCAGGCAATGACAGGCAGTGAGTTTGAGTAGTGATGTAGACTGAAGGATGGGGAGGAAGGAGATAAGGTGGCGCAAGTGAGTGAGAAGGAGGGTGCTCTTATACGATGGGAGCAAGATTGGCTAGTTGTAAAACATCCCCGGAGAAAATAATACATACAAACTCTCTCTCTCTCTCTGTGTGTATGTGTGTGTTATCTTTCTCTCTGTGCCTCTCAAGCACACCCAGCTGAAAGCTGAAATTGAGAAGCTCACGATGCCAGGATTGAGACAGGGACCTGTGAATGCCACCTCCCCCCGCATCATGCGCGATTTTCTTGATATGTGCCATGGCTACGACTTGGAGTATGTAACCCTCGTGCGTGCAATGATCGAAGTGCGCATCAACACCCTGTGTGAAATGTAGTATTTTGGTGGATGGCAAACTGCGCAAGATGCAGATGTGTGCGAATTGTTGAACGCTTGCATGTTTAGTTGCATATCTCATGCACGAGAGGGGTGCATCCGCGGGGCGGAACGGACCTTGCCTGGGTGAACGCACTGAGCGGGGCAATCGTAGACCAAATGAGCTGAGTCCCTTCTCAGCATCTCTGAGAGCCTAGGCTTGCTTTTTCCTTGATGGTGTTAGTCGGATGGCCTGCAGTCTGCAGATCGTCTACCTTCCCCCTCGCCACGTCACTTCTGCAACCGAACTATACCCTGCGAGCTGAACGCATCCCACAGACACCCTGAGCGAGGACTCAGCTCTGATCAAACAGGCTGGGAGGCTGCCCCTCCGTGTCTCGCACCTGCATTGTTTTACATGCACAAGTACAAGATTTCCTGCTCCTGGTAATGCGACAAGCCCAGAATGGAAACTCGATGTTAGGGGGATCACCTAGCTCAGTGCTGATTATTCTGATCCAGGCCAACTCTTTGACGTCAGTGGAAGACACAGGCAGCTGAAGGAAAAGCAATTAGAGCTGCACGACATCAGAGATCTTGTTTGTCGAAAGTGACTATGGCTGAGCTGAACGATGTTACCTCATGATATCAAAGGCGGAGAAAGAGGGCGATGAGGATTTGGAGAACCATTCGACAAGAGCCAAACTCAGTCGTACGCTCTTCAAGGGGAGGCTCCCCCCCTCTCTCTGGTCAGGCCTATATAATAGGACTTTACTTCGACTGGTCTCACACACAAAGACAGTGAAAACTAACTAACATCTTTCGATTCTGTTACTAGGCCGCTTCCAGCATCATGAGTTCCTCCCAGGAATATTATGTTAACAACACCAGTCCTGATCCTTACGATCAGATCATTGTCCTCTCGCAGAAGGTGATCAATGCAGGATTCAAGAACATGTGGAAGCTCGCCCAGGGGGAGGACGAGGGCCCGTTAACACACTTCCACAAAAGCATTCACGGGGAGTCGATCGATGCGACTATCGGAGCTCCTTCCGTGCAGCTTCATGTCGAAAGCCGTGAGCCCATGTTGTATTTTCTGCTAGCCTTGAAGACGGGAAAAGTGGTCCTATACAAAAGTCAGGAGTCCGACGATACCATCGAACTCGACATCGACAACTGGGTCCTCGCCTTCGATGTGGTGATCAGTAAGTGCGCGCCGGCAAAATAGGAAGGGCTTGTGCTCGCACTGCCGATGCTGACCCTCCGCCAGACCAGAAGAAGATTTCGAAGGACTCGGACGAGTACAAAAAGTTCAAAGAGCGTGCAGGGCTTCCCGAGTCGAACTTTTCTCTCGCGCAGCTTTTCATTGACTCCTCGTGTTAGTGCTTATCGTGCCCCTATCAGACGGCCTGTTTCTGACATCCAACCACAGCTAGCACCAAGTTCAACGAAGACATCTCGACTCTCGGTAAAAACAAGTTGAACGACCTAAGTGGCGATTCGCGGGCTAGCTTGCTTACTTTCATCGATCACTGGGTCAAGGGAATGTCGGAAAATGGCAAGAGTGTTCTAGGATACTCGGCCCAGCGCGAGGAAAGCAAAAGCGCCGATGAGCGTAAGAGAGTCCCTCACGTGTAGTGCCAGCGCCCCAAGGAACCTGCTGATTGATGTGACCTGCAGTCAACCCGTACGCACCCTCGTTCCCTCCAACCAGCATCGATTACTTCTGTTATCCATGGCGCGGAGTGGATGGCCAGGGATCCAACAAGGATTATCAGGACGACAACGCCTTGTCATACCTGTTGATGTCAAACTTCAAGAATCCCCCGGCCGAGGGTGCCATGGGCTACACCGGTCCGTGGGTCGATGGCGCAGGCGATCGAGGGGCCTCGTTCTGCATGAGCCGAACTTTGTTCTGGGAATGGATGCTGCCCCTCGCCAGACAGGTGGTTGTGGCCATGACTCCGGTGCCGGACACGCCGTACCTCGAGTGGAAGGGAACACCGTCCGACGCGCCCTATGGCTTTTGGACCAGGTATCATATCGGCGACGCCGGGGCGTCAAACAGCAGTTACAAATGGGTTTCGAATGCGTACGGCGGCTGGTCCACGAGCACCGAGGATAAGTCCACGGCGAAGAAAGTCAATAAACCCGATAGTGGGAGTGATTGGATGAATGCGGCACAGTATGGTATGCATTGCCTTCTCTTCTGTCTCTTCCAAAAACGATTGATCAAGGGCTCGAGAGGCTGACACCATCTAGTCACCAATATCCAGGCCAGTGTCGCGTTCACGGCCGGAAAAGAAAGCCTCACTGTGAAAGGAGGCAATGACTTCAAATATGACCTCAATCATCACAGATCCTCGGGGAGTCCTACCGAGTGAGCCCCCATTTCCTGTCTGTTTTTTGTCTCCTGGCAGTCTGGATGTGTCTTCTGACGTGGCGGGTGGCCCTGAATCTGCAGGTTCTGGGTGACTGTACACACCGCATGGGAACTAGAAATCGACATGGCCTCTATTGAAGAGGGCGGACTTGTCTTCCGCTTTAAGGAAAGCAATGACCACGTGAAGGTTACGTACGACGAGGGTGGGGGTATGCACTTGACAGACACCGCGCAAAATATCGCCGACGAGATGGCAGACGGCCTCAAGAAAAGCATGAATTCTGCACTAGATGATGTCAGTCGTGTCTTGGCCGAGGCGATGGCTAACGCAAACCGCCTCTGCCTCCCGGCCGCCGGTACCTTCTTCATGAAGGATCCTCTCTTCAACCAGGGTGGCGATCTGCTGGTTAAGCTGGCATATGATGGGTATGTTCTTCTCTTCGGTGTTTGTGCGTTCCGGAGGAATCTAACAGTTTGGACAGGGCGGATCCCCCCCCACCCCCATCCAAAGGAAAATACAGATTCCGTCCCCCGACGTTGAACAGTTCGGTGCGTCGTGCAGATACTCAAGGTAGTGGCAATGCATGAGTCGGGATTTCTCTGAGACGTTGCTACCGGATGCTTGAGCTTGCAAAGTTCCCCCTCAGGTTGGGATGAGGAGGGCCTCCTTCCTAACAACTAGGATACTTTCGTCATTCCATATCGAGACCCGAGTTTTGCATTGACGAGAATAGATAGCAACACTGTCCTGAAGTTGTTGATGGATCTATTTCCTCCTTGGAAACATGAGAGATGATTAATTGTCTGCATGATGTGCAGCTCAATGGAATTGCCGCATGCCTATGCTCATCCTATTTTAACCGTATCAAGCTATCGAGTTTTCTTTCTTCTGTTACCTGTTTTACTTTCTATCAAGTATAGATAAAATTGTAATCCTATTTCCTTCAGGCTCCACACAGAGGGGCCAAACAAGCGGCTGTGTGAGGGGACTACTGTACATATTAGAGCAGGCATAACTTGAACAAACATCCAAAGCATGATTCATATCTCTCACTCCTGTCTGCCAACTACTCGAGCCTGGCGAGCAGTTTATCAAGAGACATCAGGAGCAAATGTTGACGAGCCCCTTGCCAGTATTATCCGACTCCACTTCCTTGTGGATCATGACACCACAGTAGATCCATTCGCCGTTGTTGCCCTCCATATATACCACGCGAACGGGGATCTTGGAGCCAGTAGGAACTCTATTGCTACCCCTTTTCTCGTCCTTCAACCACGTTTTCACCTTGCTGGTGTTCCAGTAGACCGGTACTCCTGCAGTGAAGTCGAGGGCCCACTCTACGCATCGCACGCGGTATTGCCCCAGTGAATCCTGTCATTGTTCTCAAACATGTGCGGGTAGCCGCTCTTGCCCTTAGTGCAGCCACCCGTCTTAGCCTGGGCCTCGGCCGTGGCCACGTTGACGGTGAACTTGGTTTTGGACTTGTTTTACGTTTCCGGGGTGCAGGTTACCGTTGTTCCCCGACGGCGGGGGTTTGGACAAGTTTGGCTTCAGGGGGTTTTTGATTCTTAGAGGGAAGAAGGGAAACGTGAGAAAAGTCCAAGTCTCACCGCGCGGGCTTCGAAGAGGTTGAGCTCATCTCTCTCGCTGGGTCCTGCAGCAGCAGGTAGTGCGAAGGTTGGAGAAGCGAGAAGGGCAATGGCGAGGATGTTCTTGATTTGCATTTTGGATGAACGAATGAATGAAGTTCTGTATTAATAAACAGAGGTATATATCAACGAATGGATGAGCAAGTGAAATTATGGGTGATTGTTGTAGTAGTTGCAAGATATGGGTTATATGAGGCTGGCTTTATAGGGCTTGTTTCCAGCTTCTTAGTTCACAGTTATCTGACACTGTCTATTGATCAGGCCGGCTTAGGAGAATGAATGATTTTCTTATCCAAAGAGTGGACAAGACTCAACAAATCAGCACTAACGATACGAACAAGTTGAGTCAACAATGGAATGCGCCTACGGTCTGTGGGATATACAAGAAAGCTATGGGAAGCCGTCATCGTCGACCAAGGTTGTTTCAGCGTCTGCATCGTACAACATCGCACTCATGAATATTCTTTCTATGATACACTGCTATTTGACGCTCGTCTATCTGCATTGTTGGGGTCCGCGACGATGCCTGAATGGGGGCTGGAGGAATGAGATCCAGGGTTGAGGCAATCTGGGGGTCATATGGGGGCCGTATCTTACAATAGGAGATAGCCAGTGATGCATTCTTATATTGGCAGACCTGTGTTCTGTTGGAAGTGATGTCTCTGTGGGTTACCGCCCGGGAAGGATAGCCCTATTCCTTGTCTCCAACTCCCATTCACCAGGTTACTAACTTAGTTCTTACTTTGACTGTATGTTTAAGCCACAACCGAACCCTTATTTCTCTTTCGTTCTTAGGCCACCCCTATATTGGAGTCTCTCACTCTCACTCCAGCCCTTCAACCAACCCCACTACTCAGTCAACAAACAACAACAGCACCTTATCAGAAATGCCTCCCTAACCCTCCGCAACCCCAGATCCAGAGTTCGACTCGGTCTTGGACCTGAATCTCTTAAAAGACTGGGACGATGAAGAAGACATCTGGTATAAGACCCTACTGATATCACTGGTCAACGGCGAGACGACACCCACGCAGGCCGCGACCGAGATTGACACCTACATCACCACGGAGTCCAACGAGCGATACGAACTCCACCGAGCGTATACCTACCATCGCGATCAGATGCCGCCACATACAGTACTGACTGAAGATCCCCTGACTGTGGAAATGAAGGGAAACACCGAGGAAGAAGTAGTCACGATCAGAGCCCCAGCCCCAGAAGCCCACTTTGAAATGGTCGTGCGGTGGATTACCCGACTCGCCTCGGCTTTTCCGCCGGAGCACGTCGGGCAAAACCGCATTGTCGCCTTTCTCGAAACCCTAAAAGCGCTCCCCCGACACGGCATCCAGATCATCAATCCGATGCTAGAGAATGATGAGGAGGATAAGTTTTTTTACACCACACTGGAAGTGTGGCCGCTGGACGGGAACTTCCTGGCATTGTCGTCGGAGGTTCGCTACGAAGGAGAGGGTGAGGAACAATCCTTCTTTTTGTTTCTTTTTGTTCAGAATCTCACTGCCAGATGGTGTCAATGCAGCTTTTATCTACCGCCACTACCCGGCGATCCAGCTCCCGCCGACCGATCGAGAATTTCGCTGGCGGAACTACCAAGCGGCGATCACGCGCTTCACAGTTCGGAATCTGATCGATTGCACGCATCTCTGCGCGCTGGAAGGAATTCTACAGGACGACGGCTGGTACCCGGACTTGGACGACCCCGCGCGTCGAGACTCGGGGTACGGATGGCTCGCCGGCTGGGTGATCGCTGGGGCTCAGTGGCTGTTGCGACCCGAAGTGAGGGGCCATGTGTATCAGCAGTGCTTGGATCGGGAGAAAGTCGGGAGGCGGGAGGACATGTGGAGCAGGGAACGATGGCAGCAGTGGAAGGATCAATTCGCACGCATCGCCATCGAGGAGAGGCTTGGACCCTATGCTCGGGAGCTCGCGGGTTTGGTTTGTCAAGGGATGATTGCTCACGAAGAGGAGGTTGCTTCGTCTCCCGTGACAGGCAGTCTGTAATGCTTGCTCTTGGGTTTTATACTCAGGAATATTATACTTGGAATTTGCAATAGGGCCCGCGCCAACAAACCATTGGCTCCTTGTTGTCATCTTGAATAAGCAGTCTATGTTCGACCAGGTACGTCTCTACCTGATGTATCTTGAATTTCGCGTAGCGTTCTCAGTAGGTTAGGCTCTCGAGGTTGTTGGGGAACCATTGGGCGTCCTCGCTCAGACCATTCGTCAAGAAACCAACCGCCAGGCGAACAGCAAAGACCCCCCAATTGATCTTGAGTCCCTCGGGCTCGGGCGCTTCACTCTCATTCCTGTCTTCATCCCAGGTCGACATGTCAGGGTCCTCGTTTTGGTAGAAGCATGAAAACAGCAGGCGAAGAGCGTCATCAGCCTTAGTCTTCGCGGATTGTGCTTGTTCCTGAGTGAACGAATTGGTCTGGTACTTTGGGGACTCCCAGAGCTTCTCCATCCAGTCGCCGTACTCCCCGAAGGCGTCCTCGCCGTTCATGTATCCGACCTCATCCAGCATTTGCATCATCTCTTCCATCGTGGCCTCGTCCATCGCCCCGATTTCGATCATCGTCTCGATCATCTTCCGCATCTGCTCCATGCTAATGTACCCACTTCGCACCACATCCTTGAGCATCTCGACATTCACGTGGCCCTGCTCGTCGATTACCTCCTGGCAGAGCTGCTGGCCCATCCTCATCCTCTCCTGCTCGAACTCATCCTCGTCAAGATCCTCCTCGTCATCATCGTCCGACCCGCGCTGGACGTCTTCGGCGGATGGTGCATCCGCTCGCAGGTCTAGCTGCCCCAACGCCTCGGCAACCTGCTCCTCTACCACCTCGCCTGCATCTTTTGGGTCGGCTTCGTGCGCGTCATCGTCCAGCTCCGCCTGTTCATGGCAGAGTTGGTTGGTGTCCGCGGCCGTCGACCTGCAGCGCTCTTCGACCTCCTCCATCTTGCTGACGACATTTTTCAAGCCGAAGACCCGGGCAAAGTCGGCGATCGAGGACGCCAACTCGGCGCAGCGCTTCCAGTCTCCACGAAAGCTCAGTAGTGCGATTTAGTCAGCTGATTCGTCCCAGGGTCTGTCGTTGCTGAGGCCACGGAGATCATTGGACAACTGTACTGTACCTCTCGTTTTCCAATCGCCAGAGCGCCTGTCTCATCATCTTGAACCTCCAGTTGACTTCCCACTCTTGCTCTGCGTTGTAATCAAAGTAGTAAAGGAAGTTCTACAATGGAATTAGTCACGCTTGCTCTGCAACAGGGCTGGGGTTGCGGGCCTCGAATAGTTTGTCCTTGTCAAAGTGTTCCTGAAGCTGCCATTCTCCCATTTCCCAGAACTCTTCGTACATGTTTTCATATTCATCTTTCATGAAGGACTTCATCTCCTCTCTTTCTTCGTCGAGACTAGGATCCATTCTTGTTTGAGTGTGAAGCGTAGTTTGAGGCTGGGCGTAAAGTTTGCAGGTCCTAGACTGCTCTTGTTGCGTTTTCGACAGACAGGAGACGACGCCGTAATTTAGGACTGTGAATGGGACGAGAGGGACAAGCACAGAGCATTTAAGCCCCCTATATGTCCGCCGCGCGCATGTAGATCCATCGGGCGTTTTCGTCACTCAGCTGAACCGGGGGAGGATCAGCATCAGCTGCCCCACAGTTCGGGCCCACTGTTACAGAGTCCTGGGACCAGGCTGCAATCCCTATAGAGTACCTACCTGACTCAATCCCAATCTCGATGTGGAGAGCTGAAGAATCAGGTCCGCACTGCATGCTGTACCAGAGTAACTTACTGCGTGTCTCCACTGTCGCGACGATTCACGGCTCAGATCACTTTCTCCTCTCGCTTGTTGCTGCCGCGCTTTTTCGATCACTCTCGGTAAATGTTGATCGAATGCCGATCTCGCACACCCCGAGCTCTTCGATGGGAAACTATCTTTCGTGCAGGATCGACCACTCCCTTGGACGTGGGACCTCTACCGCAGCTCTCCTGCAGTAACGAATTGCAATAGGATCGGAGTCCATATGACCCTCTACTGGTCGGGCCGTGTGAGTGTTTGGTGGATCGCGCCGCCATCGACCATACCAGCGCTTGCGACGATTGACCGGAATTTCATCAGGCAGAATTGTGGTTATATGTGGGCATCTCCAGCTCAGGCCCTCGGTGAACATACTATGATTTCAGAATCGGACCTTTTTTCTCCCTCTTTCGTTCATGTTAACACTCAATTGGGTGAAAAGGATCGGATGGTAAAAGGAATAAAAGGCTTCATTTTTGACTATAAGAAAGCTATAGCTACAAAAAACATACAACAGAAGGGATTCGCTGGTGGTCACCCACCCAACTACTAACCTCCCGGCGTGTGGCTTAAGTACGGCTGAGCGGACGGGAAGCCCTGTTTTCCACACCCTGTGGTCGTATGTACTAGAGGACGCATTGAAATAACCTATACTGAGCTTTGATAACAGCAAGCGCAAACGCTCGTCGGCTCCTCCGGTGTTGGTCCCGGTCTCTAAGGGCCAGCTACGCTGGCAATCACTCTCACGTTGATAACCACTGGATTTTCTATCGTCGCTCTGTAGCTTTTGGATATAGAACCAGATAGCCTAGAACGCTTCTGGGACTTAGTCTAGGGATGTGGAGGATGAGTGATGCTATTCTCTCTTCGGAGAGCATTTGTGATGTGTCTATGTTAGACAAATAGGGTCAGTCTAGGGTCACAGTTCAAACCGATGATATTGCCAAAGCTGTGCTGTGCATGTTTACCCTTCTTTTAGAAGCGACATAAAATGAATAAGCACCACGTATCTCAGATTTACGTAGAAGACAACGTTATCATCATGAGAGACAAGGTAGGCCCGGCTTGTTACCCGGTAGCAACATAGCGACGAGGCGTTTCGTACTATTCTGACATAACAGTAGGGATAATCAATAGGACCTCTGTAAGCGGGTTTGTGATGAGGAGAGAGAAAGAATACTTTTTACTTTCAGGAGTACTACCAAAGCGCTTTTCTTGCGATAAGCCTTTGTCAACTATGCCGGGAATATATCTATCTAAGTAAACTCTGGGTACTCAATCATATTGATTTAGAGTGATGAGCAGAGAATTCTTAGTAAAATCACAGAAGTACGGGATCATGCAATGAGCTACGATCAGAGATAGGAATATGTGCAGTACTAGATCACCGAAGTAATTGCATCTGTTCTATAAAGCAAAGTCACATTGAATGTCACGCTTTACCTGTTAGAGTTGATGATGCTGGCTGTGAGTGACTTTAGCCATTGCTCACTTTTGATGCGCAAAAGGGGTGGGCGATGACATTGAGTAGATAGGTGAACGCGATTTCAAGGAGCAAAGTAAGAAAAAAGAAGACCATAAAGAAGACCAAGCTTTCTGTCTTTGGTTTTGACTCAATAACGAAGGAGTCCCGGGATAATACTACTTTGGGTTCCGAATATATACTGACACATATGTTGACACGATAAACCAAATCTAGGTCGCTTGCTTAGAAAGTATAACACATACTAATTACATCGAAATGTATTCATATTCAAACTCGAGATATAAAACTACTTGCGCAAGTCCGATCTGATTACGGGACCATCAGGTGCTGTCAGCAACAGGGGCTCAATCGGCGAGACCTGGATGCCCATATCCATGCCGCTATACCTACTTCCGCGAGCCATGCCAATCCAGCCGTCCTCCTTGTGACAGGCCCGAACCGGGCGGACCCGAAGCTGCACACGATCCAAGGCAGGAACTCGCCGATACGCCTGTTGGATGATGTTGTAGACGTCCGTCTTGAACATGGCCTTCTCTTCATGGATCCAATCCCCAACCCCGGGGGTGGCCGGATCCGGGCCAAGATACTCCCCCTGCGCCCAGTGCGAGATATCGACCCACCAGCCTTTTTTCTTCGTATTATTCTCTTCGGTCGCTGCTGCCGCTGCTGGCCTTCTCCCTGGGCCGCGCCGCTACTCCACTGCACGAACTGGCCCCACCAGCTCTTCCGCCGCTCATGCTGTTGCTCCTGCTGTTGCCTCTGTTGCTCCTGTTGATCCACAAGATCATTCACGACGACCATCACGTAGCTAAGCCGAGTGAAGTACTCGCTCAGCACGCGCAACGCCTCGGAGTGCCGTTGGAGCAGCGTCAGCGGCACCGCGATCGTCTCAAAGAGATACGACCGCGAATGCTGGCATTTATTCTGGCCAGGAGGATTGCTTCGAATTCCGCGGATGATAGGTAGACGACCGTGTCAGAAGCGTAAAGCCGGCGGAAGGTGTAGCGACGCGTGCGCCAGTCAAACGCCAGCCAGGGGTCGGATTCTTCACTGGGTGGTGTCAGGGTGGCCGTCGGACACGGCTGGAAATACTCGTACAGGGAGCGCCTGACCAACCTCCGGGAAAGAGCGCGCTCGCGGTTCGCCGCCGTCATCGCGGGCATCATGATTTTCAGCGATGCGGGCTTCATCTCCGTATACGCGCAGTCGGAATCGTCGCCGCAGTACAGCTTCCAGTGACACTCTGCCGCGGGACACAGTCTGACCGCATGGTGCAGGCGAAGATCAGGCTATGCGAATTCCCATATCGGAGTGTGGAGCTCGGGCGGCAGGCGCTTGAAGGGATGGAAGGTTTTTGGAGTGGCAGTAGTGACGTCTGCCATGGCTCCTGGTTGTTTGTTTCTTGGATACCTCTTTCTTTAAAATTGACAAAGGCTCTTGCGGTCGGTATTTTGCTTTTTTAGAAGGGGCTCAGACGTTGCTGCCCATCGTGTCTTTTATACGGAGGGTTGGTTTGTTTGCTTGGCGAGTTACAAGACAAGGTGCTCCATTGTGGATGAAGAGTTACGCTCGATCATTTTCGTTACCAGAAGCTAACTACAGATCTTCTGTGTGGTTATTCGGCAGTGTCGAAATCCTGCTGAATGAATTTACTGCGAGTTGCCGCACGACGGCACGTCGCTGGCTTTGCAGAGCAGGAAGTGAGGGTTGAGCGGATCCCAAGCACAAGCCTCAGGCAGCAGGCCTATTGTGTGCGCATTGGAGCATGGGCGCTAAGTTCTAATATAATGACCTTCTTTGGATTTCCTCGGTTGTGACAGGCACGTTCATATCCGCTCTCTTTTTTACTAATATATATATCTTTCTTCCAATGTCTCCGGGTTGGTGCCGGCACAGTTCAAGGCGAAAAAAAAATACCTCGGAAGATCCAGGGCGGGTGATTCTTATTTCTAACAGCCAAATCAATATGGCAAAATTTAATATCATTTACTAGAAATGTATGATGCGGACCTTACATTATGATATGCCACTGAGGCGTACCGGATATTCTAGTTCTCAGGGTAGGAGGATCGATAGAGCTGTGGAAATGGGTTTCTGAGGGAGAGGCGAGAGATGGCACAGTAAAAGATACATGCTCCAGTCTGTGGCGCGAGAAAGCTTTATCACCGAAATTCTGCGAAAAGTGTTGAACATCAAGTAGATACATTTTAATGGATTGCTAAGACTTCTTTCAAGAGAATAGAAGATTCCAGGTATTACGTCAAGACATGAGGAAGTATACAGTAACCTCAGGGCTACAGACAGAAATCAAGACAATCCGCGGAGTACCTCCTGGTTCGATGCATGAATTACAGAAGGTACGGGACCGGAACCATTACGGACCTCTATACCGAATATTACAATGCGCGATCTGCGGAACGCAGGCCGATGGTGTAACGCCCGGTACCGGAAAGACCCGGTCCTGACATGTTATCGCCCCATGTGTGTCCGGGTGCATTCCGGACAGCATTCACTCAAGACTGTGCGTTGAAAAAAATGTTTCCATCTAGGCAAATTTAGAATTTAGTTGCCTTCATACAAGACCTGATGAATGAAGTGGAGTGTTGATCGATTCTCTCTTCAACAAAAAACCATTTGTGTCAGAAAGCTTACTCAAGATGTTGTCCATGATACTCTCGTGGACGGATGCACATCCCCGAGTCAAAGTACTAGGCACGATTGTTGTATGTCTCGCAGTCTCATTTTACATCCTCCAAGAGCTGCTCAAGCCAGTGGGCAAGCGTCGAGGACCCGGTGGGAAGCGATACAACCTGCCTCCGGGTCCGAAAGGGGTCCCAATTCTCGGCAGCCTGCCTTTCCTGAAGGATCGCGCCAGGGATGAAGACCATAAAGCGGTAAGTTGAGTGAGAATGGTATTCTAAATGGAGGTTTGACTGGCCGACTGACTCGTGTGAAACCGAATCACCAGGTGACCGAGATGGCGCGGTACGGCGAGATGACGACGCTGCACCTGGGCACCAAGACATGGATCCTCCTCAACAGCAAGCGCGTCGTGGCGGAAATCATCGCCAAGCGCGGCTCGCTGACCAACGGCCGGTCTCCGATGCCCATCTCTAGCGGCATCGTGAGTCGACACGGACGGTCCCTGCTGCTGTCGCCGGAGGAGGGCTGGACGGAGAAGCGGCGGGTGATGCACGCGCTGCTGAGCGGCTCGGCGCTGAAGCAGTACGGCGGCTGGCAGGAGCTCGAGAGCACGCAGATGATGGCCGAGTACCTTTACCAGCCGCGGCGCTGGTTCGCGCACCACTACCGCTACGCCAACTCGGTTGTCCACCGGATCGCGCTGGGCGAGCGGCTACACAAATCCAGCCACGAGCTGGCTGACCTGCAGGAGGTGGTGACCCGGTTCGTGGGCAGCATCGGCACCAGCTGGATCGACTGGTTCCCGGAGCTGGATCGCTGGACTCCAAAGTGGGTGCTTCAGCCCTGGCGCCGCTCTTGGGAGAAGCTGGGCCAGTGGAACTACGAGGTCTACCGCTCGTGGTGGGTGCCTGTCCGCCGCCAGGTTGACGCAGGTACCGCCCCGCCCTCATTCGTGCGCGATGTGCTTTTGCATGAGGAGACCAAGTTCACCGGCGACGATCAAGAGGCCATGTATGTGGCCATGCAGCTGATCGAGGCTGGCAGCGACACCACCCGCGAGGTGCTAAATACCTTCGCCATGGCGGCGCTCTGCTGCCCGGACAAGTTCCAGAAGGCGCGCGAGGAGGTGGATCGGATGTGTGTTGACAAAGAGAACGGGACACTTCGTCTGCCCTGTCTGTCAGACATGGAAAGCATGCCCTATATCTGTGGAGTTATTAAGGAACTGCTGCGGTGGCGGCCGATCTTTGTCTTCACCCCGGATCACTGTCTGACGGCGGACTTGGAGTTCGAAGGGTACTCGTTCCCGGCCGGGGTGGGATTTGTTATTAATGAGGTGCCGGTGGGTAATGAGTGCGAGAATCCTGAGGCTTTCACGCCGGAGCGTTGGCTGGATGGCCATGAGGCGGACGTGGCTCATGGCTTGTGGCAATTTGGCGGGGGGCGGCGCATTTGTGTTGGATATCGGTTGGCTCAACGAGGGCTCTTCATCAACATTGCTAGGCTGGCAATGTGCTTTGACTATGCTGCTGTAAGATCTCCCCCCGTTCCTATCTTTATTTTGACACCTACAATTGTCTCAGTAATTGACGCTTTGACGACTTGACAACAGGCCGGGCCTATCAATTCTCGAAAGCTCAATCATCACCTGACGACAGAGCCATTTCCAGTCAAAGTGACAGTTCGTAGCAGTCGGCATGCCCAGTTGATCGAAGATGAGGCGGCGCGGGAAGGTGTTTTGGCCACTGCACAGGGAAAGTGACTCGGACGAATTTGTACATAATCTCTGCTTCTCATGTGCATCTTCTAGGCTTGAATAGACATTGTATCATGAACCGAGAGCTTCGGAATAAAATAGGTACAGTAGTTCCAGGTATGTGTTTGTTTACTCACCATCCTTGACCAATCATTGTAAGAATAAAGACCGGTCCTCAGGCACTTGATTCTTTTAACCTGCTGAGTATTTCAACAGCTATCCCCGTGTTACAGTAGCCTACTCTTTTTTGTAGTATGCACTGAGAACCAGGATATACATTCATGCACCGGTTATCCTGTAACTAAGCCACTCAGTCCTGCTTCTGAAAAGCATCCACAATCCACCGCGTGACGATCTCGGTAGTGCCCCGGGGTGGTCGACGCGCCACGAAATCCATCAAGGGCGCATCATGAGCCTCGTCCAGTGCGATATGGGCGACCAAGTCGACCGTGGTCTGCTGCCGGATAAGCTGCACAAACTGGCCCACATGGTCACGGAAGATCTCCTCCTGTCCCGCCGTAACAAGCAGCTCGTCCACTACCAGCCCTAAATTGTTCCACCATTTGCTCGGAACATCCAACGCCATCCCCCATCCTTTTCCCTGTGAGATCTCCTCGTGCCAGGAAGTCTGGTCGACGAGGTACTTTGCGAATGTGCGAACCACGTAGGGCGACAACACGTCGACACTGAAGCGCTGGCGGTAGGATGGTGTGGTGAGGTCAAGGGATAAAAGCGGCGAGATGAGGAAACAGCCTCGGAGACGGCCGGAGTCATTTCCCACTGTGGAGGTGATGGTGGTAGCGGCGGAAGAGTGATGTGGATGTGGGTGCATCAGCGCGGAGAGCACTGAGAGGGAAAGGTGGCCCCCGGCGGAGTCTCCACCTAGTATGATCTAGTGATCCGGCTTCAGTAAGTAGCTACACGATCTCAACACTGCTAAAGCACGCCAATTTTTGTACAGTACATCGGAGAGTTTGTAGCCATGGTCTACCAAGTGCTGTAGTCCCATAAGGGCTTGTCTGAGTTGTGTAGGATAGCGGTGTCCAGGAACAAGTGCTGAAAAGGCGCGTTGAGGGGATTAGTGGCAAAGGTCATTCCAGCATATCTAAAAGGGGCGAAATGAAAGTCTACTTACAGTACTCTAGTATGCAAACGCTGACATCCAATGAGGCTTCCAAGCAGCTCTTCCTCACATGTGCCATCCAGTCAAGGTGGCCACCTGAAAGTGGGAGCACGTATCCTCCTCCTTGAAGAGGTGAGCTTCATGATTACGCGTTTCATTGACAGATTCGGATAGAGAGAAAGGGCCCAGTACCGTGAAAAAATAGTATCACCTTATCGGATCTCTTAGGCCCAAGCCAGACGAGGTGAGTTGTCTCGTCCTTCAGCGTGTCAACTCGGTGGTATAATCCCGTGCGCTGCGCATTCCGACGGATCCAGGATGTGTATGTTTGCATCGTGGACGGGGCAATTGCCTGGACCTGGTGGGGATGGAGGCAGTCCATGATGGCTCTTGCGCACGCATTCTGGATGCTCGGGCGGAGCGGAAGACCTCGAGCTGAAGCTCCGATCGCGGCCTTGAAAACGTTGAATGTTAGGGATAGAGGGATCCGAAAGGCAAAGGCAGCTATTAAGTCCAACATTTGCGCAAAGGAGAGCTGCCTTCTTGCTGCCATACTGGATTTGAGACTAGGGGTTGGTCAATGCCCGGAGGTACACCATAGGGAAAAGCTCCCTGAAATGTCTGCCAGCAACATGGCTTGGTCTTCTATCCTGGCTGTCTTATCGATGCAACTCCATAGTCTCTTTGTTAATCACATGTCACAATAGTTTCACATCTTGGCTACTGGTTCCCCGCATGGTCGGGTCATCCCGAAAGCCCATCCGGCAATGATCCGGGATCGCGTGCGGCCGCGGCTCAAGCCCTAGCTCTGGCACGGTCAAGGCTATTCCACCATCCTAAAGTGCCTCGGTCACGGTGCATACATATACAAAGCAGATCTTGAGCACCAACTCTTAGCACTAGATTTCCTCCCTAGCACAACTATAAGCGCATCAATTTTTTGCCGCAGTAGACATGGCTTCTAAAGATCCCTTGTTGCCGGTTTCCCCTGAAATTCCATCGTACAGCCAAATTGCCTGCATTGGCACTGGGTTGTCAGCTGTTGCTCTTGGCGCAACCTTACAGCGATGGTACGGCTTGGATGATATCCGTTTCTTTGATAGACACCCCGTCAGTGGGGGAACGTGGTACATCAATTCCTACCCTGGATGCGGCTGCGATGTGCCCAGCGCACTGTACAGTTACTCGTTCGAATTGAATGCCAACTGGACCAAAATGCTGCCTTCCAACCAGGAGATCAAGCAGTATCATGAATGTGTTATGGATATGTATCACCTCCGTGAGAAGATGGTGCTCTCCACCGAAGTCACCCAATGCGTGTGGAGAGACGATGCGGCTCGATGGCTCCTCTACTTACGGGATGTCAAGACAGGCCGTGAATTCACTCACGAATGTCAGATCCTGTTCGCTGCCAGTGGTCAACTGGTGAAGCCTCGTCGCTGCGAGATTCCCGGATCAGAGGAGTTTCGTGGTGCCATCTTCCACTCCGCGCGATGGGACCATAGTGTTAGCTTGGATGGGAAGAAGATGATTGTCATTGGGAACGGCTGTAAGGGAACACTCATGACGAACGCAACGGCCATTCAATGGCCTCCTGCTAACTTTCTCTTCTTGCTCTGACATACACAGGCACAGCGGCTCAGATTGTGCCTGCCATTGCTGGCAAAGTGAAGTCGCTGACTCAAATCATTCGGTCCAAACACTGGGTTTCCCCGACGCATAACTTCGCGTACCCGCCTGTCCTGCAATGGATCTTCCGTTACATCCCCTTCACGATGAGATTGCATCGTCTGCACATCTTCCTCGCGGCGGAAAGCGACTACTTTCTCTTTCCCATGACCAAAGCAGCCGCCCGATGGCGAGCGCAGCGCAAGATCAAACTGGAGAGGTACATGCGGGCCAGTGCCCCGGCCAAGTACCATGACCTCCTGATTCCAGACTTTGACGTCGGGTGCAAGGTTCGCATCAACTAGAAGCAGATATGTACCATGGCTGACGTTCATATACTCCAGCGGCGCATTATCGACTGCGGCTATCTCGACTCTCTGCACAATGACAAAATCACTCTAACCAATGTCGAAATCGTCAAGATCGTCCCCGAGGGCATACAAACAAAGCAGGGAGATATCATTCCTGCCGACGTGATTGTGCTCGCCACTGGCTTCGAGACCAATACATTTGCCCCATACATGAACATCGTCGGTCGCAACCGGGCGAGCCTGAGCGAGCATTGGGCCCAGTATGGCGGTCCGTCTGCCTACAATTGCTCCGTCATGAGCGGGTTCCCGAATTTCTTTTTGCTGCTGGGACCGAATGCGGCCACGGGCCATACTTCGGCGTTGATGGCTGCAGAGAAGTGCGTATTGTCCTTTGGATCTTCATCTTCCTAAGTTTTTTTTTTCTGACGTTTTTATGCCTCGAACAGCTCTATCAATTATGCACTCCGCATCTTGAAGCCTGTTCTGAGCGGCTCTGCCTCGGCTGTGGAAGTAAAACAGGAAGCCGAGAGAAGCTATGTCTACTGGGTGCAGGGGGCACTGAGAAAGCGTGTGTGGAATGCTGGTTGTGTCTCGGTAAGTGTGCTCTGCCTACAGTAACCTGTGCCCCTGAATGTGCTTGAAAGCTTATACCCATGCTTGAATCAGTGGTACCTAAACGAGTCGAAGTGGAATTCGATGTCGTATCCTTGGACGCAGGCGCATTTCTGGTGGCGCAGCCTGTTCCCGACGTGGTCGGATTGGCATATCAGGGTAAGGGGGCCTTCCAATACGAGGTCTTTTCCTTTTATTAAATTTGACTGACATCAAAGATTCAGTGGCAGAGAAGGAAAGGTCCGAAGAATCGGTCAGCGTCGCGAATCCTGCTTTTCATTCTCCTTCTAGCTCTGCTCGGAATGTCGAAGCGGTATTTGCACCTCATTCCAGTCGATCTAACCCAGGAGTTGGGTGCTTGAAGTGTTTCTATATCTTGTCTTGCACAATTGGACTCTGTCTAGTCACTATTTCCTCTTTTAATGGGACTTTTGAGGCTGCGGTGCGGAATTGTGATTATGATTCATAAAGTTTATGGCGTGTCAATATATCATGGGGCACAAGAAGGCCGGACCTTGTAATCACGTGATCGATAAATACAAGGTCTCATTGACGGATCAGTAAAGCAAGATGTGGGAAGAGAAGTATTGCTGCTTTTATTCAGGGTCTTAGGAAAAGCTCAATGTAGTCGAAGGTCAACAAAAAGAGGATTGAGCTGATTCTCTCCCCAACACGAACAGGTTTTCCCATGGATGTGGGGCGCGCTTTCTGCCTTCCGCGCCGCGCCGCGGTTCTCGGCACCCCCCCCTGACTGATGCTTATACCCTTCCCCAGCCCCGCAATTCAACCCAAAACGAACTGAAAGACAAAACCGCAGTTCAATTTGCCTTCTGCCATCCATTTCGTCCTTCGTGCTTTGCCTTTTGTTTCTTTGCAGCATGCCTCCCAAAACGGGCGGAGTCACTAAACCACAACGCGCGTCGCGTCGGAAGATCGCCCTCGCCTGCGATGTTTGCCGAGAGAAGAAGACTCGGTGCGATGGCGTGAAACCCACATGTGGTCCATGCCTACGACGCCCCCATGGCGCTCGCGGTTGCGTATATACCATGGATAACGCCAGAACTGCAAGTCAAGATGAGTAAGTCGTTGGTATCGATGATGAACTCGTGCTATTGCTGAAAGAGTGGCTCAGGTACATGCGCGCCTTGCACCTACGGATTCAGGAACTTGAAGATGCATGCGCTCGAGCTGGAGTGTCATTATCTGCAACGGAAGGGAGCTCTTCGGGTGTGAGCCTTTTAGCAGAACAACCACAACATGAGCGTCAGTCTCCGGCGTCGTCTCGAGAGCTTCAAGGGGGACAGGGAAGTATCGACCACGCGAACAGTGTCCTTCATGGTGTACAACCCACTGCCACCGTACCAGAAACAATACATAATCATGGAACAGGAGAGGTAGACACCTTCGACGACGACCCCCGCTCTGCGTCGCCGCACTTCGAAAGCCCTGGTCATGTTACGGGAATGGGCCAGATATCCGCACCGGACGGGTGTTTGCGTACGCCTGCACCTGTACCTGCCAAAGAGTACTATGGCTCCTCCTCCACTGCCTCACTCATGCGCTTCGCGCGGATGACTCTACGCCCACATTCATCGGGGCCGATTGGCGCAGACTCTCAGGGCACTCCTAATTATGAATTCCAGGAGTCTGCGAACACCTGCTATCGACCGGATGACTATACACTGCCCCCCCGCTCGGTGGCTGACCAGCTACTCGAATATTACTGGGACCGGGTAGCTTGCATATACCCCTTTTTTGACAGGTCTAACTTTGAACTGGCGTACCAGAACCTCTGGAGGTCCGAGAAAGAACCCATGAATCAATTGTCGAAACTTAACATCGGTCTGGGTGGGCAGTTCGACTCAGGCCCTAGATCGATTGTGTTTCACGCGGCCTTGAATGCCATGTTCGCGCTGGCCTGCCATTTCGCGGAGATCCCAATTCAAGAACGAGAGTCGACCGCCCACTCCTTCTTCCTGCGAAGCAAACGGTTCATTGGTCTAGACATTCTGGAGCATAACACGATCGGGGTAGTCCAAACGCTTCTCCTCACCGCCCTGTATCTGCAGAGCACCCCGTATCCCAGTCGATGCTGGAATGCAATCGGTTTGGCATGTCGAATCGCGCAGGGGCTGGGCCTGCACAAAAATGACAGTCGCTTTCCGTGCACCTCGTTGGAAGGTGATGTGCGCCGGCGAACATGGCATGGTTGTGTAATGCTCGACATGTAAGTGCCCCATATTTCATCCCTAACTCGGCGCATCATTTCTGATAGCGTTTCATGCATATAGCCTAGTCAGCATGACACATGGCCGACCCAGCATGACTAGTCATCTCGCCTTTCTTCCACTGCCGCGTTCTTTAGACGCTTCTGTGTCACCTGAAACCGAAGCAACACGATCAGAAATGAGCTTCTATGTTGCGTCAATTCAACTACACCAAATTCTCGGCAAGATCCTATCTGACGTGTATAATACATGGAATAGCCAGTCGGAGGAGGACCCTACCCCCTCGAATCTCCCGAAAGACTTCAACGTAGATAATGTGATCGAGCTGGAGAAACAGCTTCATGTCTACAAGTCCACTTTACCATCATATCTTGACTGGACCGTGCCAAGGTCGACATATGGCGGCACAGAGCCCTCCCCCACTTTGGAACGGCAGCGGAATGTTCTCCACGTACGGTGAGCAGTATAGAGCCCCTTGACTCCTGCCCAACCCAAGTCTCTGGCTCACAGTGTGTAGGTACTGTCACATCCGCCTCCTGCTTTACCGACGTATCTTCACTCAGTGCTACTCAGAGACGGCTTCACACAGTGCTCAAGGCGATGGGAGTGAGCCTGGTCGTGTCCCGCTCACCCAAAACACCGACAATACACTTTACTCCTGCATTGCGGATAAATGTGCCGAGACCTGCGTTATGACCGCAGTCGATCTCATTCAAGCGGTCTACGACACCTGCTGGACTACATTTACAGGTGCATGGTGGTACAATGGTTTTTGTAAGACGACCCTCATTTCCTCTTTCCTTTCCTCGGTTCCTGATTGAAGATGCGTGCTATAGATACAACCACCGCAGCACTCGTCCTGGTCATGTCCTACTCGATGCCATCGTTGTTGAGGTCGATAGGCGCCTCTCTGATCCAAGAAAGCTGGGCCAAATGTGAAAGGATCCTTGGAGACATGGCGACTTACAGCCACTCGGCGCGAACCTCTCTCCACTTCTTGCAGACCACCTTCAACCAAGTCGCTAGCCGCTGTCAGCCCTCTCCCGAACCCAGTGTGAACGCTGCAGACGGCACAAGTAGAGTTGTTGCGGAATCTTACGCTCTCACCATCCATCGAGATGTGAACTTGCCTGACTCGGAGGAAGTGCCAGAGAACTCCCTGACTTCGAACCTGTGTTCATACTCTGCCGATAACAATCTGAGTGCAGAAAACCTTGGTCTCTTTTCATGGGTGGATGTTCCGGACTTACCGCCGTGGCTAGGTAGTGGTGAATTCTGGTCGGGAGATCCAAGCCACTGAGACTGTCATCAAAGCACTCACTACTCACCTGATAAGAACCTATATCCTTATTCAGTGGTCGTGGTTTCACAATAGGAGCTTTCACTCATCTCCAGGCTGGTACCGGTACAGTACACGGTAAGAAAGAACCGGAAAGTTCCCGGGCGGGTCATTCTTTGGTCTCCGGTAACCACCGGTATTCAAGTATTATTTCCACTTCCCCCGCGTTTCGGGACTTCATCTCGAATCCGCCCCCCCTCCCCCCAAAAATCACTGTGGATGATTTATATTCGGAAAGGCAGGAGACCCTCAGGATCTGTACTATCAATGCAGTCTGCTTTCTCTGCTGTGTGCAATTTTCGCCTAACGACCAAGAGCATGGTTACCCCAAGGAGAAGCTTCCTCCCTCGCGAGGGATTGTATATTGATCCTATTGTCACGGGCCTACGCAAGACGGTTCTCTATCCCGGTTTCAGCATCCCTGCCTGGTGCGTTGCGCAGAAGGCGGGGATATCGTCGCCGCTCTACACGCAACTTGCTCAGTACCTCGCTATAGCCAGCGCCCTCCTCTGGCTCAACACGTATCTCAGTAGGCAAAGCCGAAACAACTGGACCATCGATCATATGTGGAATGGTGACTGGACGAAAGAGATTGTGGTGGTCACTGGGGGTAGTGGCGGGCTGGGGGCAGGAGTCGCTCAGCGCCTAGCGGCCATGGGAGCCCGCGTCGTGGTCGTCGATATCATCCCTTTGACTTACGTGCCCGGTTGGTGTTATCTCACTTTTGGCTGGCAGCAAGATGCTGGACCTGGAACTTCTACTAGAAGGCGAGCTAACCTACGAAACTCGCTATGTTTCTCGGGAAACAAATAGAGAGCGACCGCATTACCTACTATCAATGTGATCTGAGCGATGAGAACCAGATTGCATCCCTTTGTGAGAAGATTCGGTCTGAGGTTGGCGACCCATCTGTCTTGGGTGAGTCGAAACGAGAAAAGCACCAACAAGGAAGAGTTAGGGTTCTGGCTGACATGAAGCCGAATATAGTCAACAATGCCGGGCTCTCGCGCGGCCAAACCGTAGCGGAGGGGACGTACCACGATAATAGCATCACCTTCAAGACGAACCTCCTCGCCCCGTTCCTCCTGACCAAGGAATTCCTTCCCGGCATGATTCACCGCCAGCATGGCCATATTGTCAACGTCTCCTCAATGAGTGCATATATTCCCCCGGCGGGACTGGCGGATTACGCGGCTTCCAAGGCCGGGTTAATCGCGTTTCATGAGGTATATATTGTCTCTTATGTTTCCCGGCCGGGATAGACCCGGCAAGCACCGGTGTACGCTAACCAAGTCTCCTCGATAGTGTCTATCGCAAGAGCTCAAATTTCGCCACAATGCTCCCCAAATTCGAACCTCGCTTCTGGTCCTGAGTTTTACCAAAACCCCGATGTTTAAAGGGGAAACCAACCAATCCCATTTCTTCATGCCGCTGTTTCATGCGGACACGGTGGTGGATGCGATCGTTGACACTCTGGTCGGTGGGTTGAGTCGGACCATTTACTTACCGGGGATCTTTCGGCTTTTTGCTGGATTGGTAAGCTTCGATTCATATTTCAATCTCCGGTTAGGACAAGCGAGATCTGTTGATACTGATTGTGTATCGAATTTAAACAGCGAGGTGCGCCGGAATGGTTCCAGACTTTCATCCGAAATCGCTCGCAATCCTTAGCGGTGGACTTTAAAGGCCGGCAAAAGATCGATCCGGTTGCGGGAAAGCTTGTCTAGGGTTGATGATATCATGTCCCGTGAACTGCAGATGTGGATAGGAGATTCTATGGCTATGGTGTAGTTATTGTGTTAAATTGTACAAAGTAGACGGGGGCTGTGCCGTGGCCGGAACGGTCGGCGCATGCCCGGGCGGGGTCCGGAACGCACCCGATATACTTACTTCTTCCTGGATTGAGTGCAATAAAAAGACCCTACCTCTCTAGCCCGAAGGTTATGTTCTCAAGCATCTTCACCATCATTCCTCGTGATCGAATGATTTATAGGTTCTTGCTTGCATTGTTGAATTGGCTTCTACCCTGGACCTGGAAATCCAAACTCAACGAGATGACGGACCACGGGATGGACTGGCTGCAAGGGAAGATCCTGGCATGGACTCACCCACCGCCCGTCAACAAGATTGACACCCACCACCATTTTGTGCCCTCGTTCTACCGGGAAGGTTCGTGTAGCCCAGCCCTAACTCCGGCACTGTAACAACAACAACAACTACTAATGCTGGGATCTTCCATCGCCAAAGCCGTTGAAGCAGCGGGAGGTATGTCCAATGACCAAGTCAACCACCACTCTATTTAACCAACCAAAACTAACCAACTACCAAGGTGACCCAAGCGGCTGGCCCACCCCCAGCTGGAGCCCGCTGCGCTCCGAGCTCCTCATGAAACGCCTGGGGATCCGCACCGCGATCCTCTCGACCACAGCCCCAGGGGCCTGTATCCTCCAAGGCGAAGCCTCATACAAGCTCGCGCGACAGCTGAACGAGTACGCGGCAGACCTGCGCGACAAGCACCCCGACCGCTACGGGTTCTTCGCCAACCTCCCAGACATTTCCCTGCATCCAGACGCCGCCCTCGCCGAGCTGGCCTACGCCCTGGACACCCTGCACGCCGACGGCGTCACCCTGTTCACGCGCTACGGCACCTCCGCCGCCACGCAAGCATACCTGGGCCACCCGGCCCTCGAGCCGATCTGGGCGGAGCTGCACCGCCGCAAGTGCGTGGTGTTCGTGCACCCGACCCACCCGGCCGACACGACCGCGGTCAACGCCCACCTCCCGCAGCCCGTCATAGACTACCCGCACGAGACCACCCGCACCGCCATGGACATGATCCTGCAGGGCACCCGCCGCAAGTACCCGGATTGCCCGGTGATTCTCTCGCACGCCGGCGGCACCCTGCCGTATCTGATCACCCGGCTGGCGACGCCCCTCCGCAAGGCGCCGGACCTCGCGGCCGAGTATGTCGTCGGCACGACATACGAGCAGGTCATGGCGGATTTCCGGAGTTTCCACTTCGATCTCGCCCTGTCGGCGGCGCCGCAGGTCGTCGAGGTGTTGCGGCGGATGGTGCCGGGCGATAGGATTCTTTATGGGGTGGGTTGTCCTTCTGCTCAGGCCTTCTGGCTTTTGTTCTTTCCGGGGAGGGAAGTGGAAGGGAAGGGTTTGTGTGCGCGGGCTGACTGTGCTGGTAGAGTGACTTCCCCTACGCCCCGTTGCCGGCGTATCCGGCCTTCTTGGAGGAGCTGGAAGGGTGCGAGATGTCGGAGGAGATGCGCGAGGGGGTTTATTTCGGGAATGCGCGCAAGTTGATTCCGAGGTTGGCGGGGGAGGCCGGGCGTGGGGGGAAGATCTGATGCTTAGCTATTTGAGTAGGGGGACGAGGAACTGCCGTGATCAGAGGAAAGGAGGAGGTTGAGGCCACATGGCGGCTTCTGCAACTATAGGTATAGAGTTTGCACGCGGTCAATTGTATGGGATAAGAGGATATGAGCAAAGGGACACTGTCAGCGCAACTAGTGAAGTACACTGCTCAACACCTATAGCCGCGGAACGAGCATCGTGCGTGCGGATTGCCGAGGAAAATAAAAGGCTGTGCTGTGTACTAGGGACTTTTGGAGAGAAAAAGCGACTGCTAGAATTCCAGAGTGCGTCAAAGTACAAGAATATATCTCATGCGATTAAGACTAGCTACAGCGGTGTTCTATGTCCGTATCAAGCAGTATAACACGTTATTGACTCAAGTCAGGTGAATGTTTGCATCTTGTTTCAGATGGCAGCTTGCCTTTTACTCTGTATTCTTTATCTTCGAGATGTGTGTTACTCTAGATGGTCTTGTTTTTTGCGACACTCCGTTGTCTTGCTTTTGGCCTCTCGAAAGATGAGCTTCTAGGCTTAGCAACAAAACCAGCAGGTATCTGGAGAGATGTTCACCTTCCTGCATATCAAACAGACTTGATAACTGCTTGCTTTCTTGCTTGATCTGTAGTTTATCGCTAATTTCAGTCCCCTCCGTGAAGCTCTTTCCCATTTGCAAGTGGTGCTATGAATCACTGTAGATCTTAACCAAGTCCTTTTTTATCTGAGAATAGTATACAATTTAGAAAATGGAAAAGATAGAAGAAAATCACAAGACATAAGCTAATAGTGGACAGATGAGTAGAGAATTTATACTTTATTTAGTACTAGACTCCTGCACTTGTACAGCTAGATTGCGTAGCTTTCTCTTTTCTTCTTTCCCTCCCATCGCTAAGATATAAAAAGAGCCAGATTTGGAGCTCGAGTAAGAACGTGCACCTTCTCGATTGGGTATGTCTTGACATGCGGTATTCGATCACATGTAGGGAGAAAGCCTTTGCCTCGCATTCGAAGCAAACCGTGAAGCCACCGCCGTCTGAGGCATGCCAACCTTAAGGATCAAGTAGACAGCATCTTGAACGGGAGTATAAGCAAGTCGAATGTTCTATATTTAGCGAGCGAGATAAAGGATACATGGCGATTCCCCTCAAATGACCGATCACCATAACTGAGCTGATTCCTCGTTGACAATGGGCAGAATCGCGTAGGGCGAGGCACATTTAACTGGCAACCCTCTTGGGGGAACAAAAAGCATTTAAGAAGAGACACGATGAACAAAGAAATATGTTTTCGAAACAATCTAGGATCATGGCAGACCTTTGTGCTGCAGCACATGAAAACGAAGTACTAATTTCTCGAGCAACAGAATTTGAATGAGATCACATCAAATAATTAGCTTACCCCAAAGCTCATCTCAAGTTCAAGTGCGCTGGTAACAAACCCACTCCTTTGAGCCGTTTGGCTACTTCCTGCCAATTTTCTTCGGATATCTGATTGAGGCGTCTTCGCCCTCTTCCCAGCACTCCTAGGTCAATGATCTTCCGATGCTAACACCCCGCAGGGACACTGTCAGCATAACAACCATCAATACGATATACAACATAGAACACCAAGGCGGGCTTCGAGACCGCCGACTGGGCGGGCCCTGCAGTCTCCGCGGGTTTGGGGTTGGAAAGGCAAGAATAGGACATACATCGGAAACGGCAGTGACTTGGTATACCTCATCAAGAGAGCTGTAGGAAGGGTGGTATGGCCGGGGCCCTATTTAATCGCCCACTGCAAAGCGCTCGACGGTATCCAAGTAGCCTACACTGTAGTCCATCCCGGGCAAGATCAGAACGCCGGTCACACCACCAGCTACATCCCTACTTACGGAAAATCCATGGAAGCTTTCGATGTCGATTGTTACGCGAACCCCGGGATAGAAGTACGGATTCGGCATGCCCATCTGTTTCCACTGCGTCTCCCCATGGATCTCCCTTGCTTCAGGGCATGAGTAGCCCAGCATGGCTCTGGATCCATCCTTGAAAAAGAAGTCCAATCCAGTGACGGAAGGCTTGGCGGTCTCCTGCAACACGGAGACCGCAACCTGGCATACCGGAGCGTGGATTTCGACAACCTCCCGGTACGTACCCCGCACGAGGGTATTATCATAATGATGGAGACCCATGCCGCGGAAGTCAAGTGGGCGAGGCCGCCCGGAATGCAGAGCCAGGGCTGTGTCGCGAACCCAGCGCAGCGCCTCCCACGTCCCAATCTCCAGGCGAAACCCCCAACTACAGCCCCGCTTTCAGGTGCAGTGGTAGAGCAGCCTCCAGTCGATCTCCCCCTCCTCTTCCTGCCTCCTCCTTCTCCCTTTCCTCTCAAAGTAGTTGCGGAGGACGGGCAGCAGGAATCCCCGCTCTGCATTGATCTCAAATCTCGTTTTCCAAAACGCGGGGCTGGAGAAAATGCCTACAAATCCGCGTGACGCGCAACGAAGATGCAAAACATCCCGTGTCGGTAGCAAGATGGCAATTGCTTCGATGATCTCCAGGGGCAGACGCTGGAAGCCATCCCTGCCGGTTCGATGCCGGTGGGAGGCGCGCCGTCGCGGGGTGATACACGAAGCTGGCAGAGGGGGGTCTCTGGGGAAGCGCATGAGCTCTTCCAGCGCGGGCAGTCCGAACCGGCCATCACGCCGGATCTCTTGATCTTCAAACGTCGAGTGGAAGGACGGGTGGCCACCTGGCGTAAATGCGTGGTGAGAATGCCCCGGCGTATAGGGCAATAACTCCAATGCCTCGAAAAGACTCCCTAGATGTAGTTCATCGGGGCCGAAATGCTCCAGCAGACGGTGCCAACAGACTTCATGGATGAGGTACACGTCGGTCTGACGATGCGCGGGCACATCACCCGATCCCCAGCTATCATCGGTCTCGGTGTCTTTTGGTACTCGCGCCGCGCCATGAGCCCCCGGTGAGCTAGGGGCTGCCATGACGGTCCGGGTCACCTTGACGCCGGACGTCGTGCAATAAACTTGGCTTGATGTCAGCATGAACTGGAAGCATGTACACATCTCGCGCGAGTGATCAGGAGGCTAGCTCACCGGCCCTGAAAGGCTTCTTCCATGGGATGGGTTCGTGGATTACACCCCCACACACCGTGCAGGGGACGATCCAGAACTCTAAACCACGTTGCACATGAGGCTCAAATTGTAGCACTGAAAACATGATCAAAGCTTAAGACACTATCTTCCGAAGCTACATGAGGAGAAGAGAGGGCAACTTACATATTGCCTACTCACGTTCCCGTCCCAGGCCTTTTATATCTCCCTCGCCCACGTCATCAGGGTGTCATTTGTTGAGGAGACAGCCGGCAACATTCCCATCCAATCTCCGCTCGATTCGATAGGCAAGGCCTCCTGATTTGACGGGAAGTGAGTTCCAGAAATGCTAAACAATGGTCAAGCGCCCGAAGCCTGAGACCGTAACACCGGCCATCCTTGATGTCCACCAAGAAAGGGCCACAATGGAACAATCAGTACACTAATAATGTAGACCTTCAACACAACAATCAATAGCGTGATCCTCTGATACTCAATGTCGGCAACACAATATAGTCGCCCGAAACAATAGAGAAAGTAATCGATGGCTATTCAGAGAGAGTTCTCCAGGGGAGGGGAAAGCGGCTTGATCAGGTCGCTGCGTGTATATATGGCTCTGCATTCCAGCCTCTTTTTCGAGTTCTCTGTTTCGTCTTCCTCTTCGTCCCAAATCATCGTATCTCAGGTAGGAAGTCCATCTTGGTGACCTTTTGTTGCGTGTCCAAGCTGATGAGGCGCAAGCACAACGACCACAACAACCACAACCACAACCACAACCACAACCCCCACAACCACCACCATCACCATGGCTCCCACTCAGCAGGTATGCAACCACTCGTCGATGCCTTATCTCTTGTGCACGCGTGTCTGACGAACACTCAGCAAATCATCGTGAACGCGGGTGGCCGGGCCACCATCGTGGCCCTCGCCGACAATCGCCCCCGGGCACTGCGGAGGAAGGACCTGAAGAAGGTCCAAAAGAAAAGACAGGCCCGCAAAGGGCTAGAGAGCAAGGTCGCCTCCCACGAGGAGCTGGTAAGTCCGAACCAAAGGCATTGACAGATTGGTTCGAAGCGAGACTAATAGCTTGTCTGCCGGGAACAGCTGCGCGAGGCCGAGCGCCTCGAAAGGGCGGCCGCGGCGGAGGAGGCGGAGGTGAGGCGAAAGCGGGAAAAGGCCGCGGAGCTGCGGCAGAAGGCCGAGGCCCAGAACAAGGGCGGGGATGAGGGGGTGGCTCTCGCGGTGAGAGTGAAGGAGACCGCCGAGCAGGATCATCAGATGCAGTAGATGAAATTCAAGGTTTACGGCGCTGGACGCCGGTTCGTTCCCACCCAAACATTGCGATCTTCGCTCCTTCTCGTACCATTGTAGCGTACCTACCTCTCATTATCCCTGTTCATGGCAGCTTTGCGGGCAGCGTCAGCTTTGGTGCCAATGTTTGACGTAGCTAGCTGAGATGCTCTCCACTGTCAGCCTTGCTGTACTGGTTAACCTCCAACGTCATGGGGGCACAGCGTGGAGCAAAGTGCTGGTATGCCTATCACACATTCTGCAGCTATAGATGGGAAGGTCCTGCGACCTCTTTGAACCTACTGTACAATATATTGATTCGCAACCGCAATTGCTCACGTAAAATGTACATGAATGTCACCAACCATATCAACGTGAGTTATACCACCACAGGCCTCCCACCTCCCCGAGTCTGCGGCTTCAGCGTCCCGAGAACGTACAGCTCGGCATAGAACCTATTGACAAAGTGTAGCTATTACTACATCTGGCCTCTATGTCTAGAATCATCCACCTCCATGCAGAGAACCCTGCAAGAAGTCTACTGAAAAGCGGCCAAAATCTCATCATTCCACCTGCCCGTCATCAGCAACGATATCTCAACATCATACAGACCAAAGCAAGAGAACTTACAAAAGATACTTCCCCGACAACTCCCGAGGCGCATCCAGCACCAACCGCGCAATAACATGCCCCGGCTGCTCGGGTCTCAGCAACCCTCCATCCTTGTGGACGGTGGTAAAGAACGAATGGAACTGCTGATCCATCTTCGTCGCCAGATCCTCCCGGATGCCCCGCTGCATCTCGGTGTCCACGATGCCCGGATCCACCGACACAGAGACCACCTCAGGCTCTTCCTCCCCCAGCGTCAGCGCCAGATGGTTCATGGCCGCCTTGGTGGCGCCGTACAAGCCCCATCCCTTGAAGGCTGACACGGAAGCCGCGGATGAGGTGAACATAATCCGGCCTTGCGTGGCGCGAAGGGAGGGGAGAGATGCTTGCACCTGTTGCTTATCGTTAGTCCATCCGGGACGGTTGATCTTCCAGGCATGATGGTGCCTTGACGTACAAAAGCAACACAGCTGAAATAGTTCACATCAAACCCGTGCTTCCATTGCTCAGGGTCCGCCTCGGCCACATTCCCCACCTGCCCCAGAGTCCCGTGGTTCAGCACGAGTCCGTCCAGCTGTCCGAAGGCCTTCAGCGCCAGATCGACGGCCTTCCGACCGAGCGAGAGATTGGCGAGATCGCCGCCCAGGACCTCGACTTGGCTGGGGTACTGGTCTTTCAGGGCTTGAAGGGGCGCAAGGCTTCGCGCGACGACGACCAAATTGGGGGATTGTGGGCTGCTTAGGAGGTACTTGGCAATGGTCAGGCCGATTCCTTCGTTGTTGTTAGCCTTGGTGGGGAGAGAGGGAGATTGCCATGATGCAAGTGGTGGACGTACCGCGCGAGGCGCCAGTTATGATGAAGGTTTTGGGGGACATGATTGGATCTACTTTATTGGGTGCCGTGTGAGGATATCTACAGTATGAGAGTTGGTTACGGTGGAGGGGGACTGGTTGAGAGAAAAACACGGTCGTGGGTGAGGCTGACCGAAAGTGTGGCTTGGCCCGCTGGAGACTAAGTGGGGAAAAACGTGAAGGCTGGAACCCTGGATGGGTCCACTTAACTGGGACTACGTCATTTGGGGTTAATTAGGGTTGTGATGAAGCAAGGTAAGCTTGTCATATATTTTGCCTTGGCGATGTGATACTGTACTATGAAAGCATTAATCTGGCGTTGCTTGCTAGGTGACTTGTTAGGGTTTCCGTAGCGGCGTTGTTCTGGTGCCTCAGGCAGGATCGGTTGCCGTCCTGGATGGAGGCTTTGCAGTATAGGAAGATGCCCCCGACAATTGTCGTCCGAGTTTGGGTGCTACCTGTACACAACAATTGGTCCCTTATAATCTTCGATAAGGCGCTCTCCGGATTTTTCGAGAGGAGTTCAGCCTTGTTGACCAGGCAGATGCTACCCCGCACGTATGCTTAATTCATTTATCATACTTTGTGCTAGGTGACAGCTCAACGTGCTAGTGCTGACGACAGGGGTTGGGTTGGGTCAATTAAGCACAAACCTCACCCAAAAGCGAGTACAGACATCACGCTTCACAAGCCACCAATCTCGAACTGGCCAAAGATAAATAGAATATCCCCCCTCTAGGCACCCATCTATGACCCCTGCACGCAAATATCAGCTCGTGGCCGCGGTACCTCCCATTGCATGTCTATTGCCTCGGCGACCCTGAGGTCACAGCAGGATATAAAACGGGGGTCTCTCGTCAGATCTCTTCGGTTCTTAGTCTCCGTCGCAAATGCGCAACCATGAGACAAACCCAGACAAAACCTCAACCTAAACCATTCAAAGATTGGCCCAACGATGCCGCGGTAGGTATCAGTCCGTGCCTGATCGCGACTCCGCGTAGCAGCCCACTGAATGCTTTGCTGTTAGTTTGAAACGACGACCGAGCAACGCCAGCCCATCGAACTGCCCGTCATCGGGTCTTTTCCATCGCACGTCGCGGGAGTCCTGTACCGGACTGGACCGGCTAGCTACAAAGTCCCCGGATCGAACTATCAGCTCCACCTCTGGTTCGACGGCTTTACGCAGCTGCATCGTTTCCAACTCGTGCCCCAGCCAAGCGGGTCGTGCAAGGTGCTCTACAACTCCCGCCGTCAGGTCGATGCGCTGATCGAGGAGGTGCGCAAGACGGGCACACTGCGCGGCATGACATTCGGGCAGAAGCGAGACCCTTGTGCAAACTTCTTCCAAAAAGTCAAAGCAGTCTTTGAGACCCAATTTGAAACCACAAACCCGGAGATGGTGAATGTGGGAGTCACGGTGCATGCCAACGTAAGTGGATCTTTCCCTCGGGTGCTCAGTTCCATTTTTTTGAGCAGATGGACTCATGGGAGGTGACAGATCCCAGGCATTCCGTCCCACCTCAGAGCTGTTGCCGTGCTGCCCGCAATGCGGCGTAGTGATAGGGCTTGAAATTGACACGATGTTTCGTTGATGTTTGGAGAAAAATACTGCGAATAGAACTGGCAAGCCTAGAGGATATGTACGGTACGTACACACTTCACAACACATATTCGACCGTCTTGGATCGCGGACGGCAGGCTAGAATGCTCATAGAACACAGCCCACCAGATGCCACGCAGTAGACCTGGACACATCATTGCAGTGGTCATTTTGCCACTGGTAAGACAACCGTGGTCAGTGGCGAGTTGTGCCAGTCTGGCTTCCATCGACTTCCAAATGACGGGTGAATTGACTTACCAGTTGCTATATCAGCATTATGAATGCGACAGCAGCCTGACTGCGGGACGGGAACAAGCGACTTGGGCCTTTCCCTTTTCGGCGGCGACTGAAGACCACTCACTCACTCACGGGCACGGCACCCACACAATTGCGACCCACATCGGGTCAAACCGACACGAAAATCCTTCCAGGGTTAGTCCCGACCTCATCGAATGGAACTACTGCATTGTAGCCTCAAAGATAGAAAAATACTGCCCACATCCTAGAGACACGCCGATGAAGGAACTCCTTTGACCAATGCTGACCACCAGAGTCCCAAATCAGGGCTATCTGTGCCCACGGGCCAGGGCGGTGAAGCAGCCGCCCAATCATGGCGACATATTATGGCCACGGCCCTAAATCTGTGCAGCCTGGAGGATCCGAAGGATTGTCGAAGACGGGGAGCAAAACGAGGGCCAAGTCTGCAGGCTTATCAATCATCCACGAGTGCCCGTTCATGCAAGTCGGCAAAAAAATATCACTCGAGTATTACACCTTACCCTTTCCTGCGCACGATCTCAGAATACGAGATTGGCGTGCCCACAATAAGTCAACAACGCTGGCAATTCGACGGCCAAGACTTGCAAAGCCGCACCGCAATATGGACCCTGAAACTCGGTTGGTTGACGATATCGTGGGTAACGGCCGGCTAACCCGGAACGGGAAAGGCACGACTACAAGCACTGAGTGTCATATCAGCTTGGGCTGACGAGAACTTTTGTCAGGGCAAGGTGGCTAATTTGGAGATAACGGTCTATAAAAAGGGTCTGAGAAGCCCGCGATGAGCCGGACAGAGACTCATCAGTATTTTCAACTCAAGTTTCTATCTCAGAATCTCCTTGCCTTGTTAGACTTCTCACAATGACGCTCACTCCAAAGGGCCAAGCCCAAATTTCTGCTGGACAATCCCAATACCAGCCTCCCTCCACTGGCATCTTCCGTCTGATGCCAGCCAGCTGGGTCCCCTACGCTGAACTGATGCGTCTGGACCGCCCAGCCGGCTTCTTCGCCTTCTACTGGCACTACCTGATCGGGATGAGCTTTGCCGCGGCAATCCTGCCTTCCGTGTCCCTTCGGGCCCTAGTCGAAGCAGCAATCTACCAGATCGTGTGGGTGATCATTCTGCGCGGGGCCGTCTGCACCGTGAACGACAACTTCGACCAGGAGTTCGACCGCCAGGTCGCGCGGACCCGCTGGCGGCCCATTGCGCGTGGGGCGGTCTCTACGATGCAGGCCAACCTCTTCGCCGCGGCCCAGGTCGCCCTCCTGGCCGGGATGGCCCTGCGGTGTCCCCTGCAGCAAGCCGCGGGGCTGACCGCCGTCCCGCTCTACGCGAGCCTGACCACGCTGATCCTCAGCGTCTACCCGCTGGGGAAGCGGGTGACCGACATGCCGCAGATGATCCTTGGCGTGGGCTTTGCGGCGGCGATCCCCTTCTCGGCCGCCCTGCTGGGGCTCGATCTGTTCCCCGTGTCGCCCTTCGCCTTGCTGCAGGGCCAGGGGGGTGCGGATTCCCGGCTGGCGGCCGCGTCGCTCAGCCTGTGTGTGGCCTCGGGCCTCTGGACCGTCATCTTCGATACCGTCTATGCGCACCAGGATCGCGCGGACGATATCAAGGCGGGCGTGCGCTCGCTCGCCGTTCGTCTGGGCGATCACACGAAGCCGGCGCTTGCCGTCTTGGCGGCTGCGCAGATCGCGCTCTTGGTGTTTACGGGCGTTCAGAGCCAGTTCTCCGCCGTGTATTTTGTGACGTCGTGTGGAGGCGAGGCGCTTGCGTTGGCTACTATGCTCGTTGTCGTAGATCTGAGCAAGCCGGCGAGCTGTGCTTGGTGGTTTGGGAAGGGAACGGCCATTGTGGGGATTATTCTGCTGTCCGGATTGGTTGGAGAGTACTTGTTGAAGTGATGTGATGTTTGATTTTTTGTTGAGGTCAAGTCTCATCCCTGAACACCCGAGCGTTGCAACCGTGGGGTATGGGCTATATCCTCTCCCTCTGGGTGCATGGGTGAAAGATTACATATGGTTTAGAGTGAATAGCATACGTGCTAGCTAGAATATGATGATTTACTGCCCTGACCCTGTCCAGGACTGGACTTATGACAATCTCCGAGTTTCCAACAGTCGCTCCTTGAGTTCAGGTTCGATGCTTTACCCCGGAGTAGAGATAAAAAAGCAGTAGTGCTCACCGGTCCCTACGCACGGCTCACATCACGTCACAGCGCCAATGAGCGCTAATGCTTGATTGCTGTTTCATTCTTTGTTTCAAGAAGGATGGTCTTCCCTGTCGGGCCAATCTGCCAGCGCCCGCGCTAGAAGTAGCTCCTTTCATTACGCCCTTCTGGCACATCCTAGCTCCTGCCCTGTCGGGTTTAGTCTACAATATGGGTTGTCTCCATCTTATCGGCAATGTCAGATCTTCCCCGCTTGGCCAAGACGAGGCGGGCTAGCTTCAGACATAAACTTTGTTTGTTAAGGCTTTGGCGTTGGGAAGAGTAGAACGGTCGATGACCTTGCAAATTTACCTTTGCCCCACACACCACATCAGGCCTCACCCTCTCCTTCCTAGCTCGCAACGGTATTTGACGAGTCATGTGATTCGGGCTACCCTACCTTCCCGTCTCTGCTGTGTCTAAGACATTTCGGGTACACCTGCTCTGCTGACTCTAGATCATAGTCACCGTTCATTCTGCTGTTCATGATTGTGTCCGAATGAGTTTGTGCTTACATGCAACGTCATCGTATTGAAAAGCACAGGCTCTTGGACCTTGCACCCAGAGGATCTTGCACATACCTCAAGATAGTCTATATTTGGCTGATGAACAGTAGGACAACAAATTCAGTCCCAGACCAACAAGAGATGCATCGCAAAGCACTCACAACAAGTCAAACGAGTGTAGATAGTTAGAGTGTTCAATATACATATTATCTCAGCATCAAGCTTCAACGCAAACCACTAGGACCGGGAGAAAGATCGCTCCACTCTCCACAACCATCCATTTTAGCAACCCCTCAGTCCTATCGTCCTAGTAAGGAATCTGCCGATGGAACCACTCCATCAACAAGGACACCTGAGCCGGGTGCGCAATAGGCACGTCCTCGAACGCATCGCCCAACTCCATGACGACCTGGGTGCCGTTGGCGCTGTTGGGGCTCCAGTAGGGCAGGGAGCCGGCGGTGTACGAGCCGCCGAGGTTGGGGTCAAGGGTTTTAGCGAAATTGGCCCAGTAGGCCGACATCTTCTCCTGGATGGCGTAGTCGGTGGCGTTGAAGGGGTACCGATCCGTGTTGGCGTAGAGCGCGTTGAGGGCGTACATGATCTCGGACTGGTGGAAGGCGCCCTGGTCCTGGCCGGGGGGTGCATGGGTCCAGTAATAGGTGTAGAACGAGGAGGAAGCGGCCTTATACCACTCGGTGGCGTAGGCCCACGAGCCGACCAGCGAGGCGTCCCGCGCCGCCGCGTTCCACGACTCGTCCTGCGTGCCGTTCGTGTCCGGGTACAGCTTGATGTAGCGGTCGTAGAGGTCGCCGTACTTCAGCGAGGTGTAGTTCTCATACTGCGCCACCGTGTAGTCCGTGCTGGTGGCCGCCCCGGACTCGTCCTTGGTGTTGCCGGTGATGATGGGCACGTCGTTGGCCGGTCCGTTGCGGAGAGTGTCGATGTACTTCTCCGGGAGCACGTACCCATCGAGCACCGGCTTGAAGATCAATGGATAGCCAGCAGACAGGGCGGTGACCCAGTTGATCCACGTGGAGTTGACCCGATCCTGCGATCCGACGAGAAGATCTTCCATGGACAAGGTGCGTAGCTCGGCGATCGTCGAGACATTGTGGCTTGCCACATAGCTTTCGCCGAAGTAGATCGCGGTGGACATGTTGACATACGACGTTGCGAGGCCGGCGAGGAGGGGATCATAGGGGTATCGAATTCCCGACTCGGAGATTCCACCGTGGAAATAGCCCGTGAAAAGAGGACTGTTCACCGCGTGGTACACTTGCGAGGAACCGAAAGATTGGCCAGCCACAATTACGCGATCCGGATCGCCTCCGAAGTTGGCGATATTCTTCTGAACCCATCTTAGAACCTCGAGTTGATCGAGCACACCGTAGTTGCCGGACGTGTTATATCCTGTTGTGCGCAAACCCTCGGCGTTGAGCTCGGGGTGGGCCAGATATCCAAAGGCATCATCGCGGCGGTTGAAACTGATGAGGATCACATCTTTCAAGGCCATTCCACCTCCATAGTACCACGGGTTGTCGCTCGTCTCGTCGGATCCCTGGTTCCACACCATGACGGGGAGCTTGGCGTCTGCGGTGCCGGCATTGGTCCAGATGTTCAAGCTCAGGCAGTCTTCGCTAATGTACGAAGTATCGCCGGTGGGACACGCGGGCCCGAACGCCGTGGCCTGCAAGGTGGTGTTCCACGACTCTCTGGGTTGGGGCGGCTTCCAGCGGTTCTGGTAGCCGGTGTCGGCGGCGTACGGAATGCCCAGATAAGCCGTCACATTGGATTCGGAGATGCCAAAATAGGTCTCCAGGGTGGATTCGTTGAAGTACTTATATCCCTGGACTGGGCCGTAGGTTGTCTGGATGACTTCATCCCAGAGTTGCGCTTGGGCGACTGCAGCGCCCAGAACCACCGAGGTCAAGGCCCGCGGAATCGAGACGGTCATTCTGGAAAGACTAGACCAATGATGATGATGATGATTGAGAAGGAAGGGGAGGTTGATGAAGGGATTGAGCGAAGATGGATTCCTACCATTCTTTATATCTTTGTACCAAGGCAAGATCTCAGCTGTGATGTCTACTCACCTGTACTGCGCCGGCAAGGGTTGCGTCGCGAAGGTGCATGTCGATGACTGGAGTTTTGCATTCAGTGTACCACGGATGTTGACCAGCCGTTCCGTGCATGATCACTGACGATCGTTGCCAAAGCCTGTTAGTGAGCGTCCTGTCAGGTACAATTCACTAGGCAGAGGTACGTCAACTTTTGATTGCGAGCATACGTAGATACCAAGATGAGAGACCAATGACACGCATTTGTCCTTATCCACTAGATAGTCGTTACGCCTCCCCTCGAGGACCGGATTCTTGGCACTGGCCAGAATTGCAGACGGGCGTGATTAGGCGCGCTGCAACACGTGTAAAGACAAGTCTCCAGGACCAAAGACTCGATATACGTCTTTGAGAAGCACTTGAGTTTTTCTAAAGGTGATCAACACAATTGTCGGGAAGTAATGTCTGGCTTATCCTTTATCAATGAACATGAACGAATCCAACCATAGATCCAAGAATCTTTGGGCTTGGGTTTGAGCTTCGGTAATGGCTCTTATGTCTGTCTTGCACGCTTGACCTTGACGCGAGACGAGGCGAGGTCTTGAGGGCTGCCGTGCGAACATCCCAGCAATGGCAAGGATCGCTCGGGACTGGCTGCCCAATGCAGGCACCAGACCCGGAGACCCGCGGTAGGGCTCGGCACTAACAGCCCGACCGGGTGCTCCCGTACGAAACCACTCGGCCCAGCACCATAACTCCGGCTACTAGGGTCTCGCTAAGCCTCTTTGAGCTTCGACTCTGAGACTAAGTCCGCCCTACAACCGCACAGGCCGAGCATACGTGCAAGATGAGATGTTGCAGCCTCTGGCTACAGCAACGGACGAGATTCCACTTCTCATCTCCTCATAATCTACCGGCCTACGTAATCCCTGAGGAAAGCTAATGTATTCCACGACGCCTGTGATTCCACCTTGCCACTTCGGGGCAATGCCACCCTGCTTCAGTCATGAAAACCAGGGTCGTCCCCGGCTGAAGACGGTAGAACTTCCTCCCTTAAGTCTCCGACTCGGTGCTGGAGGTAGTACGGGTCCCTCCAATAAGGCAATGTCACTGTGTCTGCCCTGAAGCCCTGAGGCAGTCCCATCTCGTTGGCTCTTCACAACTGGTTGACCTCCGTGCAGTCTTACCGAATGATTTCACTTTAGTCACCATCTTCGCCAACTTTCGGATTCTCAGCTGGCCAATTGACTTGAGGGAATCGGGTTATAGCAAGTCAAATCTCAGCTGACGGGGAACGAACACCCCGGTCCTATACTGTGCCAATTTGCCGTACGGTACATCGCGGCCTATGGCACGCTAAGGCCAGTCTGCCACTCATCCTCTATTGTAGAACCGGAGTCTCAAGCGAATGTGTGTGGTTGATCAAGCTGTTGCAGTGAGCAGGACGCGCGTCACATTCTCCCCCATCCAAAATGGGCCACAGTTTAAGCCTCAAATACTGAGCTAGACGAGTCGTTAATCTGTAGATTCACACCCTAGGTCTCTTGAGAATTGACCGGAGCCGTTCACGAGCTATCCCCGCTACGACTAGGCCTGGGTGGAGAGACTCTTGATTTGAAGGAACGGCTTTAGAGGTCGAGGCGAGGTTCTCGCTAACATCAGCTAGCCTGTCGCGGCGGTGTGAGAATGCCCTTCTGCTCCATGCTGTGTGATCACGGGCCCGCTCGCGATTATGCGGCAGCACCACAGTTAAAGGACTTCTACCAGGCACATCCTTCATTTACGCTTCATTGACCTGAGTGCCATGCTGTGATAGTAACTGTCGGACTGTTCAGTCAGGAGATGATATTGGCGGAGTTTGCTCCTCCTCATCAATGTCGATGTGGTCCCAAAATCACGGTATCTCAACTTGTGACAAAAGGTTTTGGCCGCGCTGGCGATAGGTTGTGAGATTTGATGTGCTGTCTTGGTCGAAAGGCGCTGATAAACCACCAACTCGCTTGGGACAGTAGATCCATGCCACCGATATCTCTTTTAAGGCGACATGACAAGAAGGCTCTCATCATTATCTTGCCAGTCTCTTCCTGAGCCCCCTCAGTCTTCGACATCAACGTGTGCTACTGAATCTAGATGCAAACGTTGCGATGTGGCATGTTTTGCGATGGACCCTGCTTTTGACGATTGAACGGCTCAGCAATGGCTGAAAAAAGGAAAGTAAGTCTTCTTCACTTTGACGGGGACATGGCGATCTTGTCGCTGGGTGATAATATACAAACAATATCAGTGCCTTGTTTAAGTCACGATAGATAAGCTATGACAAAGGGGTAGTAGAGTCGGTCTGAGGACCGGTAAGTGAGGATAGTGGACCAATTGATCCTCCCGCCGAAATAAGAGACCTTGATCCGCAATCTTTCTCAAACTCATCCGCAATCTACAGCTACCTGCTTCTTGGCGGCAAAGGAGATCAACTGTTCCCTCTTATCACACCGAGTGGGCATCTCACCTTTGCGTGTAGACCGTCACATTTCTACACTACACTAAAATCCCGGCGGATGATTTTGAACGAAGCCTATCCACACCGAGCCCCGGACAAACATTCATCGTGGCCTCTCTCTTTCCCTGTTATGCAAACCGATCTAGTGGATCACGAGACAAGTTGGATCCTCGACATCAGTCCCGATGAAGCATTATGCTCTCGTGGGGAGCAGTGGCCGTGCCAGCCTGCTCAATACGAGCTTGGCTCACAAATACACCAATCCTCGTGTTCTGACGGCCCTTCGCAAACCGCTCTGTCTCTGTTCGTTCACTCTTACCATATTGAATTCCCCTAAACATGTCTCATCGATAATATGCTTCCAAATCCTACAAAAACCGCACTCTCACACTCAGTCCCTGGTTCCACACCGGCTGCATCGTCTCGCCACCAAAACCCACTTCACGCTTCGAGCAAATTAGAATGCCCAGCTTACTACACCGGACCCCTCGGCTTGAGCTTCACCATCAGCGCGGACTTATCCCACAACAGATGACATTCTTGGTCCAGCCAATCCGACTCCGTATCCTCTAGTTCCATGTCGAAATTGAAGATCATGCGGGCCAGGATGATGCGCATCTCGACATATGCCAAGCTGAAGAAACCACCGTGTCAATAATGTCAGCAAACAGGCAATCGGTGGGGTCACATACTTGCGGCCAATGCAGTTGCGGGGCCCAAAGCTGAACGGCTGCAGCACGTCCCGGTCATCGGTGGCGTATCGCGGGTCGCCGAGGTGGCGCTCGGGGACGAATGCATCCGGGTCGGTGAAGTTGGCCGGAGACCGGTAGGCGGCGTAGTGCGGGATGGAGACACTCGTCTGACACGGTTAGTTACGTTTCGGATCCACGACTCAACACTCTTCTCTTGGATAAATGTACTGACCCCTCCCGGGACCCAACCCCCAGATATGACATCCCCCTGCGGATCCACCACGCGCGGCAGCCCCACCCCCACCGGTGGAAACAGGCGCAACCCCTCCGTCAGCACCGCCAGACAGTAATCCAGACGATTGACGGAGTCCAGCGTAATCTCCTCCTCTGTCGCAAAGGCGGACCGAACCTCCTGCTGGAGCTTGTCCATCACGCGGGGATTCTTCAACAGCAGGAAAGTCACGCCGGACAGCAAGGTGGCGGTTGTTTCCGACCCGGCGATGATGAGGGTGCTTGCGTTGGTGATCATCTCGGGAACACTGATCCCCTTTTCCGTGTTGCCCTGGTGCTTGAGGATATTGGCGAAGAAGTCCGGACGCTCGTTGGTCTTGTTCAACCGGGCTTGCACCTTCTGTCTCGTCAGCTGTACGTGCCACCTCTGCTGCTCGAGGACCCGTCTCGGGGTGATCGCGCGCATGAGGTACTGCGTGCCCGGCAGCCGGCGCGCGACGTTGAGGTACGAGGCCACCTTGACGGAGCTGAAGATCAGCCGCACCCAGTCGTGGTAGGCCGCGTTGTGGAGGCAGTCGAAGGGCTCGCCGAAGGCCAGGTCGCCGATGATGTCGAAGGTGCAGAAGTTGTACCAGGCTACCATGTTCAGCGGGGTTTGGGCATGTCGGGCGTGCTCGTGCAGCCGCTGCATGAGCAGGTCGACGTAGCCCCGGATGATGGGCTCCTGGCCGCGGAGGGCGCTGTCGGAGAAGGCGTGCGAAAGGAGGCGCCGGAATCGGCTGTGGTCTGCGTCGTTGGACTGGTCGATGCTCGGGACGTTGTCTGCGGTGGGCGGGTACGCGTGACGGTCTTTGGGCTTCTGGCCGTGGCCTGGGCGCGTGCCGTAGATGGGCCTCCAGGCGTCGCTGCTGATGAAGGAGAGCTCGTTGGGCGCGACGCGGACTACGTGCCCGTATCGCTTATGCAGTGCGTTCATCTCCTGCGGGGGTCGACCCCGGAGTGTCATTAGTAGGTACGGGATCCGGGTGGCGGCCATGGACCTGGGGCCGGGGTATTTGGCTAGCGGGTGGAAGAACACGTTGTAGAGCACAATGCCGATCAAGGGTACAGATATCTGTGCGGGTCGGTGATGATTAGATAGGGAGTCGGAGTTCCTGCTGAGATATGTGAGCACTTACGACCACAACGAGTAGCCCCAAGGCGGGTACATCCGATAAAGGGCCGGCGGGGAATCTCTGGATAGCGGCCATTCTGCAAGAATATCACACACTCAATACTAACACACTCAATACTAGAGATTAACTTGCGATAACGGTCTTTGAGAGCAAATACTGAGTAATTGTCCCAGCGTGTCGATCCAGTTTATATCAGTCTCCATGGTAAGAACCCCGCACCTGCTCGCCCTCGCTTAGACAATGGTGCCGCATACCCTGGTCCAAGTCCTGTACCATGACAAACTAGATCCCCAGCTTGCTCGGTTGATTGTGTTCTAAATGAATCCCCTGGCTCTCAGTGGGATCAAAAGCCTTCACCGTGCATGGGGGATCAATTACTTGTGCAGCCGCACAGACTGTCGATCCCCGTTTGCTAAAGCTGACAGGCTGTCAGACAACGGCTAAACTGCCTCGCACACTTGGTAAGCTGCGTGCAAGTACCTCGACTGGAAAAGATCAACATGTTGTGCGATGTAATAGCCACTGTATGATTTGCTTGGGATGGCTACAGGAGTGTACCACGAGTGGGGCTGCTGTGGATCAGCGGGCGGGGTTGCGGCCGAGTTCCCCGTACCCGTACGGCCCGCTGTTCACCTTCGCTCATCCCCTTCACCGTGACACCGAGGAGAAATGGCTTGGAAAGAACTGATTAGGCAACTCAACTTTTTATCTGGGAGGGCTGAATGTAATAAAATCATGGCGTCTGTCTTTGAATGTTTTTTCCTCCTACTATATCTGAATAGCAAGGTCGAGAATTAAGGGGCGGTTAACGTGCCCCTGTAGACAAATATACACTTTGACCAACCACATCAGATTGACTCTGAGAAGATCAAGACATGCACGAGAATAGTCTCAGGTGATCCTCCCTTGTGTCAACTTCCTGCACAAGGATTTGATAAGCAAGTACTAGCCCCAGACTTACCTACAGTGGCTGTACACAAACTGCCAATGAAAGAATCAGGGGAACATTCAGTTTAAGCAAGCTACAACAACTATACAACAACAACAACAACAACAACAACAACATGACAGTCTGTACTATAGTCTTATGACCTAACATCTTGATTCTTTGCTGAGCATGAGTGTAACTAGTAGGACAAGAGCTGGTATGTTGTGCCGTAACCCGCCAGACACTATGTACAACTACGACGTTAGCGATAAGCTTCGACCCGATCGCGATCAATCCTTGGCAACGTCACCTCGCGGCGAGTCAATCATCAACTTGCTTACAAATGAGTTACTGTGTGGGATATTCTTTCGGATGGGAAAGGTCTAATATTGGCAGTTCTAACATTCGAAGAAAGTCCTGGTCCATATGACTTTGGTCTAACCTCAACAAAAAAAGCATGACTAACAGAGACCTCAAAAAAATAAGATCGAAAATAAAAGCAAGTCGCCTCCAAAACTCGAAGCCATAAGAAAAAGTTGTGAAAATATCTTCAATCACATAAATTTTGAGATGTTGGGATCGATCAGCCTCTGGGCACCTGGCGATGCTAGTGTGAGATGGGAAGATGTTCATCCTATGGCGGGATATGCCGGTCGGCCAGGGTGCTCGCGCACATCTTTGACTCGCTCTGATCCAAGGGCCTGGGTAAGGTGGCGGTTGGTGTACCGTGACTTGGTGAAGGGTTGAGGGCTTCACAAGCTAGCCAGCATCTGGAGATAATGCGTCTCCCTGACTCCCGACGGAGCCAATTTCGGGGCCTTGCTCAGGATTATGACCAAAATGCAAGGCCTTGACATGAACTTTCCTTTTGTTCCTGGCTCGTATAGTGGCTAGCGTGGTCTCCACAAGCTGGTTTTTCAGCCCTTTCAAGCAGAAGGGCTCAGCATCCTCTTGGTGTGATTGATATTCTCTAGAGCGCTGAAGGTTCATTCGGAATAAGAGCTGGTCCGAATGATCTGGCGTGAGAGAGAGGGTTGTAGTGTGAGGCGAGTTTGAACAGCCCTACGAGGCGAGCAACAGAGCTCCGACAACGAATGCCGCACACAGAGAAGAGACGTCGATCCGCAGCAATGTCGCGCGACTCTCCTTCGAATCGCTATCCGAGGACGAGGTGACGCCGGTCGCGTTGGGAATGGCCGAGGAACCCGTGCCGATCTCGAGGATGTGGTCATCGCCAGGGTCGGTGTTCGTCTTCGCGATGGCGACTTCGTTGTTCTCCAAATCATAAACCACGTACGCACTGCGCAGGAAGGTATCGCCGAGCACGAACTCTCCTTCGTCGGAGTCTGAGTCCTGGGGCACGATGCCGAAGACGCAGTAGGAGCCCGCATCCAGGAGCAGATCACCCACCGGCACGGAGAGGTTGAAACCCGAGAACTCGAAGACAACATCGTAGTCTTGGTCCGCGACGTCGCAGTCGACGATCGCGTAGCCGGCCCGCGCGACGTACTCGGCGCCCACGGCGCTGATCAGATCCTGGGCGGCGGCGGAGGGGAGGTAGGTCAGCGAGGTGCCGCTATCCAGAACCCCAACCACGGGAAAGGCGGTGTTGTTGACGCTGGTGCTCTTGGTGCCTGTGACGTGCACCCCGTTGAGGCTGACAGCCAGGGTGTCGTAGACGCCGTTGATTTTCTCGATCGGCAGGGTGTGCAAGCTGCCGGTGTACTTGGCGGTGTTGACTCCTCCGAATAGGATGGTGCCTTCTTTGGCGTCCAGGTCATCGAGCCAGAGACTGTACGCGGCGGAGTTGATGAAGCCCTGGTTGGCGAGCGCTTTGGGGAGGTTGGCATAGACTCCGCCTCCAAATTGAGCGGAGGTCTCTCCGCTGGCGTATCCGATACCTAGGACTCCCTCTAGATTTCAGGTCAGCCATGCCTGAGGCAGGAACTGAAGATCGACAGGGGGTTCGACTTACGACTGCTGGTGCTGTTGGTAGCGACACCGAACTGGAAGTTCGTCAAGGTGACGTTTCCTAACTTGACAGTATCGTTCACATAGTCGCCCGCGGCTTCGCTTCCATCCACGTATTGAATCACGAAATCATCATTGACCAGAGAGTATGTCGAGGAGGCCGAGGAGTCATAAGTGCCGTAGGAGTTGTTGGAGCTGTCGGAGCCAGTACCCGCCGCGTTGACCCAAAGATCGCTACTTCCGGTATCGATGATGACGCTGACGTTTTGTCCGGGGGTGCCCAGTTCCAGGCTGATTATGTAGTCTACCTCCTATTCAATCCTGTTGTCAGTCACTTTCTTCGATCCAGAGAATGTATGCGGCAAAGCAACAAGGGGGAGGTGAAGAGAGCGCACAACGTACATTATTCCCGATATCGACGTCAACAGTGGCTCGTTTGTGTGAAGATCGAATCGCGTTGTGTCTCCGCTGGACATTGTATTGTAGAGTCGCCGGTTGACTGCGTTCGTGCAGAGTAAGCGCCGAAATGGGCTGGATTAAGCCGCCGGCCAGCGAGAAAAGGAGGGCGAGATTCTTCATGATGGGGATGGGACGGACAGCTTAAAGGGCGGTAACAATGCGTCGAAGGGAGGGGGCTGGAGGGTAATTATACTGCAACGAAATTTAGCATGGCGTCATGGTTGCCTGCCACCATGGTCCACTTCAATGGCTTCCGATCAAGCCGCTTGATGAATCTGATGAATCTTTAGTTTTTTTTGCTGGAGCCACGCGGCCCCCTCGGAAGTAGGGCGGGTGGTTTTGGGTGGTTTTGGGTTAGGCAGATGCGATTTGGGATTGACGATGACGCGGCTGTGGCTTTGCCGCCAACCCAACTGGGAGGTTCTGCTTTCGGCTGTCTCGGCCTCTAGCAGTAGACTAGCCCTGCTTCAGCCTTCGCGGGAAACTTAATTTCCGCCATTGTCTGTGTTGCCTGAGGCATAATAGTGCTCAGCCACCGCCAGCCCATCCTGCGCCATGCAAGGCTTGGCTTTCATCCAGCTAATCAACCATTCGAGTCGATGGACTCGTGGACTTCGCATTGGACCCAGCCAGTCGCCGCCCCGACCGCTAAACACCGAGCTTCGCCCTTCAACTCCGTCCGCATCTCATTTCAAGATCACGAGGTACTGGAGAGAGCGTCAAGCAAGGTCCTGTCCAGCTGGATTTAGAATCGGCCAGTGGTGTCTGACCTGGCATAACCAACACTGAGAGTGCCCTTATTACGCACATTAATCGAGACCGGTGACGTTCATCGATCTCGAATTTACCATTCCTATTTCTGGAACACATCCCTTCATCTCCCGTATACATAATATTGAATACTGATTGTTGACCTCAACAATGACTAGTCTACTCGACAAAAGAGAGAGAAAAAAAGGAAATCGTCACCGATGCGAGGAACATCGATACGCTATGACGAATTATAGTTCAGACCGCCCAAGGACGAGATCTGACATGCGAGGGCGAGGCAAGGTCACGTGCTGTGATGGGCTTCCGGGATAGCATCATCTCTGGTATCAGACTGACATACGTCCTCCCAACGCTTGCGGATCAAGTTGATGGCGGGAAAGTCAAGCAGAAACAGCTTCGAAAGAGCCCTCTAAAGCCCATCAAAAGAGCGCCTCAACATCGAAGTCCATCGTCCAGCCGCGGAGGTCTGGAAAGAGGCGATCCCGCGCTTTCCGGCAGTATACAACATCCCCGCAACCGCAACCTCATCTACCAGGTAAAATGCGACTGGAAATCAACGACAAAAAGGCAGATATTCAAGTGTGCCTGCCCCCGGCCTGGGTTGAACGCTCGACCTTTAGGCGGCCAAAAAAATAAGGTAAGGACATTATGGACATTCGAGGCGACTGCAAAGTAATTTCTCCTTTGCTGTCGCCTCGGATGCGATAGGTTCTTTTCTAAAATGGCTTATGAACCTGCACCCCTACCCGCTCGCCAGCGGTTTAGAGGCCAGCATCAGCTCTGGTACTTTATAGATAACACAGTAAGCTTCCCCTTGGTCTCGCAGTCATTTTGATATGCGATTCTCGAGATTTCAGCATGGGGGTTGTCGAATGGTGCCAGAAAGGTGCCCGGTGAGGCGTACTAGGTCTACTGGGGCATGGGCAAGGAGCTCGGGAAGGCAGCAAGGCACTAAGGCATCAAGGTAGAAACGCGGCATGGCACTAAGGCAGCGAGGCATCACAGCCCCTAGGCAGCCCCAGCAGGGCTGGAAGATCATTAGAGCCTGGATTGATTCTAGCATCATTACTCGAATTACTCTTGATGACTGAAAACCTGAATTTCTCAAGCATTGGTCATGGGGGAATTAGTTAACATTCGAGTATTAGTCAAGGTGGCAGTGTTTACGAGAACTCATACATCAGCAGGGCATATCGTTTCCCTAGAGAATAATTCAACAAAAAGTAAGTACAGCTATCTCATCCAAAATACTGATAATGGTTCCTTTGTTGGGCTTCTACGAAGCTCGAAATTCCCCTATTATTTACTCCGAAATGCTAGAGGAGGTGGGGATCTACCGTTCATCTGCCGAGGTGTTCTTGCCTCAGGCACTAGGGCCAACCATCCATTCCGTACTACAGATCTCTTTCACTCGAACCCAGCTGATGACTTCTCATTGCTTTGCATCCAGACATAAGTGACTATATTATTATGGACAGCTATCTTCAACTAGCGCCTTGAATCCCCGATAGGCTCAGTATTGTGACTGAAGACGTGTATCGGAAACATCTAAAGCCTACTGTCAAACAGCTGGCCGAAGTTCCTTGCGGCCATGTTTCTTTGACCCCATCTGACCTACGAGGGGTGCACTGACGGTGGTCGCGGCTCACTAAACAACTGAGCCTCGAGCGACCGGAAGACAGTGCATATGATTCTCACATCCAAAAAGCGTAGGCTCTATATTATTTCTGGGGGTTGGGTCAAGAAATGTCTAAACACAGACTGTATATCGGCCCCGTCCCTTTCGGAGACTAGCTGGTTCCAAAGGCTTGTTTTGCCGGAGGTTTGAGCTTTTTTCAGGGCTCTCACCTACTCACGTGATTCATCGTCGAGGTCTGTGAATCGAATCTATGTATTGAGATTCAGGACAGGCGGCGTACCCTACCGTTCTTTGTCTATTCCTCTTATAGAGCTGTAGTATATTCGCTGTGTATTACGAGTGGAATCAGGTATATCGCAATGATCTCAACATGCGCCTAGGAGAGAGCCGCTAATGTCCTCACTCAAAAACCGCTCTCGATACATCTGTTCCCTGCCATCCCGCGACCAAATACCTCACACATACTCGGCCTCACCCTCCCTGTTCTTCTTACGAGGTCTTTTCTCCGCTTGTAAGCAAAAATCAAAGAGCGGCAGCGCCTTGGGGATTAGATGCGGAGGTAGCGAGGAAGTTCTTGTCCAAGTCTGTGACCTCTACCTTGACGCTTTCATCCGCCAGTTGTCGCTGTGAAAGTTTCTTGAAAGCTGATTTTGACATCTGGACGCGAAGTCTCGCTGAACCGGATCTGTCCCGGTGCTTCTCCGTCCACCCGCCCGTTTCCCGAAGCCCTTCCCATTTTCTCCTGTAAAGTTGTATCGGCCTACCTAAATATGAGTAGCGCTAGTTTTCCAAACAGAAATCATGCAGACTGCTTTTTCAAAGCAAGGCGTGTGAAGTCCTGTTGTTCATATGCCCTAGTCGGAAGAGCTTTAGCACAGGCGACGCAATTCCAGGCTCATGCGCGCGGATTATGTGCAGCTGCGCTGGCTTGGATAAATTTGGAGAACCATAAATAGTGTGGATGTCAGATTTCAGGCATGTGGTTCGACTCGAGTGATTAGATAAGACATAGTGACGTTCAATCAAAGCTCAGGTGAAACATGAGCCTGGCAGAATGCGCTGGGGATCGAACCGAAGCAGGTGTCTCGTGAGGATTGTATGCGCTGTGACACCGTTAACTCGTCAAATAGCGCTAAAACCGATGGACACAGATGTGTTATAATCAACGAGGGTTATTTGTACAAATCCCATTGATGTTAAATCTTAGCAATCGACTGAGACAGCCGCATACAGAACAGCATGGCACTGAAGATCCGTCACGTTGTAGGAACTTCCTTCGCAATTGGACCCGCTCCACGTTTCCACCACACAACCACTGCAGCGACCAAAGATGTTAGCAAGCGTGCACATATTGAGTGAAATGGAGCAGCAAGGGGGTCCATAGAAGAAGACGCACCTGTTCTGAGTCACCTGGAGCGAGGTCTTGTCGGACGTGACCGCCATGCAGGTAGAGACATTGCTCTGCGTCACGGCAAAGACATCCTCATTGCCGCCACAGGTATCGTTAGCATACATCTTCACTACGGCAGGGTAGGCGCTGTTCTGTGTTGGAGCGGTGATAACTGAGGCCTCAGTGGTGGAGCTAGATGGGGTGGTCGTTGTTGTTGTTGTTGTCATCGATCTCGTCGCTGCGGTCGTTGTTTGTGCGGTCGTCGTCGTGCGAGCTGTACTCGAAACGGTCGTGGTCAATGCAGATGAATGATTGCTGCTTGAAACATCTTTGTTCTCGGTATGTGTCTTGTGCTGACTGCCAACCACGCCTCCCACCACAGCCGCCACTATTACCACTACCAGGACCACTAGGCTACTCAGCACCCAGCATCGCCGCGTTCCAAATGTCCGGCTGCTCGCTTTGTGTTCAACCAGCGCCTGCTGCTGCTCTTTCTGGGCCGCCAACTCCGCGTCGACCACGAAAAGTGGTGGTGTCTTCGACTCAGGAGTCGAGTGAAAATGACCATGGCTGTACGATGTCACCTCCGGCTGGCTGTGGGGATCTTCTTCGATATATGCCCGCTCCTGTTTACCACACAAGTTGTTAAAGGCCTGTCTGGTACGCAGTATCTCAAACGCAAGGAATTTCGCAGAAGGCGTACCATTGGAAAAGTCGAGTTTCGTGTGCTAGAGCTGGATTGCAAGTGGTGAGAGAGACGGTGAAGGTTGAGTCGGGGCTTCTGACAGACAAGCAAGCAATAAAAGAGAAGAGGAAAAGAGGGGAGGAAGAAGAGAGAAAAGAGAGCAGCAAGCGGGACGAGCTGAGCCGCGCCTTCGTACAGTATATTGCGACCGTTGTTTAGCTAGAGCAACCATGAACCTGAAAGTGGAGTAAGGAGCTGAGAAAATGCTAACGAATGAGTGTCTCGAACAAATCTTGGAGGTGAAGAAGGGTGCTGATGGCCCACGGAAACGTGCGATGATATGCGCTACGGTATTTAGTGCCTCTACTTTGCACATTCTGAGCCAGTCACAGGCGCTGGAGAGGAACATTCTGGCCCCCAATTAACAAAGGTCAGTAGATTAGTTTGTCTGGCGTACATAGTGGACACTAATGTCGCGACTCGATACCCCAATTTACCTAGTTTGATGGCCCGAATAGCTCGGTTATGAGTCTATCGCTTGACTAGGTTAAAATACCTCACTGTCGAGACCTATAATTGTGTGATTATTATTGATACCAAGTCATAAGTTACCTAGCCTCCGGGTAGACTGGGACCCACTCGCCTACCTTTTAAGCCAGTCACCTTTTATCCCAGCCCAGACGAAGATGCATCCCTTGAAGCCAAGGTAGGTTAAGCATCGATAATTAATGACCAGAAAGCCCTTGGTTCGTCATGATCTTACCTGGTTCATAATTAGTATTGGCGTCTTGTGACTACTTCTCGGACTATCAGTCTATAGATGCACACTAGGTCCTTTTGTCCCGGGACAATGTTGTTGATTTATATATCTCGCCGACCAGAGAGAGACGATTTATCCTGGCCACCCAGCAATGCTATTTCTATCGGAGTAATCTTTTACTCTTCTTTGAGGAAGACAGGATGTGAAATTTGAGAGTCCGATTACTCTATTCTAACGCAAGTAGACGTTGGGACAGCAGGCCGTCTGTCATCGCAGTCATAATCAACACCCACGTACAACACATACAACCATTGCTCCTCATTCTTCACCCTTCTCCCTTATCAATCACCATCATCTCATTACTAAATAAGACCTACCAGATCCCCTTGCTCTACAACGCTTACCGCCCATACTCCAACGCCAAACTCTGGATCAACCGAATCCCCTCCTTCCGCCAATCATCCCGCTCCACAAAGGTAGTCACATTCGCGTCCCAGACGACAATTTCTGGCGCCTCGACACGATAGACAGGCCACTGCACCCCGTCCTGGGTGGCGTTGCGACCGCGCCCCAGCCAGGCATTAGGGTCGAGACGGGTGACGAAGCTCGCCCACGAGCCGGCCATCAGATAGCTGAGCTCGGCGTAGCTCGCCGGCATCCCCGCAAAGGGACTTGGGTCATAGCCCTCCCCGGCGAGATTGTTGAAGATGAAGGCTACGTCGGAGAAGTGCTCCACCCCGACCTCCCACGCGAGGCCCGCCGGCTTGGTGTTGAAGCGGTAGCAGTACGCGGGTATCCCCCGGACGGCCCAGACCTCGCAGGTGCGTCGCCGTGAGGCGATGAAGACCTGGTCGCCGTAGTAGGCGGCCGTCTGCCGGAAGCTGGCACCGTAGGGCTGCGGGAAGGTGATATTGGTGCCGCCTAGCTCCTCGGTTGAGGGGATGCCGAACGTGGTTGTGTTGGGGTAGAGGGTGAGGAGACGGGTTGCCATGGTGTCATTTAGGGCTAGTTGGTAGCTGGATGTTTCTGGGTCATCAGGTTGTCTGGTTTAGCACAAGCCTCCAACTTTATTAATCTGACAGGGTGAAAAGCACATACCAGTCATCCAGCCTCTCAATTCGAGGGAGGTATTCACCGGCTTCGGACACTGCGTCGTGCCCTCGTCGGTCGTCGTGCCGGCAATGATCGGCACGTGCACGAATGCCCCATCTTCCAACTGTTGGCTGGGGTAGCGGGCCACAAAATCACCGTCGATGGTCGGTTCCCACCCCGTGTTGTACGTAGTCGTATTGAGGATGTTGTTCAGGGTGGCAAAGGGGAGGTCGCGCAGACAATCCAGCTTGGTGGAGTTCTGGTCGCTTCCGCAGCCGGCGGCTGCGACAATCCCATCAAACCTCCCTTGATATTCAGAGGTCAGGTTCAATGGCCCCTGCGGAATGACGGGGCCAGACTCCATGATTCCCGCCCGGAATAGCTTATCGTCTCGTCCGTTGAACGCGCGAAGATGGTAGCCCACGCTCTCCGACCCGGCACTTTGTCCGTAAATAGTGATTCTGTCCGGGTCACCTGCGGATTTCAAATATCTTGTGTGAGATGATCCGCATACTTCTGGTATAGAGGGTAGACAGCCAGAAAGGGGTATGAGAAGAGAGTAGAAGATAACGGACCTCCAAATCCCGCGATGTTCTCCTTGATCCAATGTAGAGCTAGTCGCTGGTCCTTGAGACCGAGATTCAACGCCCCGCTGGCAGCCACCTCGTCGCCGTTCAGGAAACCAAAGGGTCCCAGACGGTAAGCTAGACTCACTGCAATGATGGCTTGATTGATGACGGCGGAGTTGTTGACAATGAAGGTTAGGTTATATCGCTTATCCGGAGTACCTCCTTCTTTGAAGCCACCGCCTGCAGGACGAACATGGTCAGCACTCACAAAAACGTCGCTTTCTGCTCGCCAGAAAAAAAAAAAAAAAAAAGAAAAGAAAGAAAGACAAAGATAAGATTAGTTACAAGCAAAAGACAGACACGTCCGACCCTGGTACGATTGGATTATCTTACCATGGATCCATACCAACACTGGCAGACTGTCATTCTCGTAGCCAGACGGTCGGATTACGTTAAGATAGAGACAATCCTCGCTCTGAAGGTACCCTTTCTGATCACCACCGTAGCCAATACACTCCTACAAACGAGCTTACTTAGAACAGAACAGCATAACATCAACCAGAGGGAATTGCTCACAAAGGCATATTTGGTTGCCGGGCGGGCTCCCGTCCACGAGGTATTCAGGGACTCCGGGTTCGCAAAACGTCGATTTTCCAATGGTGGACGAGCGAAAGGGATTCCCAGAAAGAGATCCTGCTGATACTCGGGGAGGTATTCACCCGAATAAGTCCCGTTCAAGGTCTCCCCAATTGGGGGATTCGCCTGTATCGCAACCGACGTGACTGGTGTTGAGTTGCAAAGTACTGCATACAAAAGGACGCAGAAGAGCGACCACATTGCTGCCTGGGAGAGTAGTGAAATTATTCGTGCTTGTTGTAGACTTCTGCCCGGTAGTGAATCCAAGTCTGGCGGAAGAGCTACGTGTCACTTATAGGCCTACGAGGCATGTCCTACGCTTTGCTTTGCCGAGTCTATTCCATTGCCAAACGTTTAACCATACAATTTCTCGCCAATCTCTCGCTAAGCATTCGGGGTACAATGGAACGAGCATGCACATGGCATGACGAGGGTGTAGTAACCGATGGTACCAGTATTCCGTCCGAGGTCATGCGGGGTGCTCAGGGCTCGTTCTGTGGGGTTAAGGGAAGATGAAGCATGTCCCAGTGGAGAAGTGGGTTTACCCCGCGTGGTGCCTCCGAGAATCGGCAATGTCCGACGTTAGTCTCATATCAAAGAGTATGATATAATTCAATTTGAGCTAAAAGCACACTAAATTAGCGGTAAGAGCCCCCCTCTCGCTTGCACGTCAGACACTCGGAGTTAAGGGAAGAAGCTTTATGTTACCTGCCCAGCCAAGAATTGAGCATGTTTCGGGCGGGAATCGTCGGGATTGCAAGCCGATATCTTGTTTCCCAACGGCTTGATGGAAGATTTGGGCTGTAGCTCTAGTCTTCCCGAATTGGGGGTCCTTTGCGAGACAGACTTGATCAATGATAGGAGACCCGATCAAGTGGGGACATACGACGACGAGCCCTCGAGCCCTCTACTGCTCATGATACAAATGTTTCCAGGGTCTGTTTATGTCTGGCTACCTTGTCACAAACAGTGCACCATCCATTGCCCTTTCCTGGCCATAATCGCACGAAGACTTACTTAGACCTTTGCGCTGATACGTGCCTTATTCACGAAGAAGGAAAGTGACCGGCCCACTGTACCATGCTGCGCCTCATATCGGTGGCCTACCTCCTCGTAGGCTCAGCCATTGCGACCAGTCCCCCAATGGGCAAGACACTCAATGGAACCTACAGCGGGGTGTACTCACCCTCATTCAAGCAGGACTTCTTCTTGGGTATCCCATACCTGCAAGCCCCCGTCGATGACCGACGCTTTCATCCCGCCGATAGCCTCACGGGCAGCTGGGATGGCACGCGCAACGCGACGGCCTACGCCCCTTCCTGCGTAGGATACGCCTCTTCCGACCCTCCTGAGCAGATGTCCGAGGACTGTTTGTACCTCAACATCGTGCGACCGCACCAGAACACGTCCGAGACCGACCCCCTCCCCGTGGTAATGTACTTCCACGGCGGCGGCTTCTACGGCGGCAGCGCGCGCGACGGTCGCTACAACCTCAGCTCCTTCGTTGCGCGGTCTGTCCAACAGAACCAGCCCGTCATAGCCGTCAGCTTCAACTACCGACTGAGCGCCTGGGGGTTTCTGTATAGCAACCAGATCCGCGACACGGGGGCGACCAACGTAGGCCTCCGGGACCAGCGGTACGCTCTGCAGTGGGTGCAGGAAAACATCGCCGGGTTCGGAGGCGATCCCCGGCGGGTGACCGTCTGGGGCCAGGGGGCTGGGGCCTCCAGCGTTGGCTTTCAACTGACGGCGTACGCGGGGCGTGACGACGGCCTCCTGCGCGCCGCCATCTTGCAGAGCGGGAACCCCGTGCCCTCCCGCGGGCTCAACGGCACGCAGTACTTCCAGCCGTTGTATGACGCTCTCACCCAACAGGTGCATCCCTCTCCCGCGTTTGCGCTGGGGTATGGGATGGTCCCTGGAAAGGACACATGCTGGGTCAGCCCGGATCGCATGGCGTGTCTGCGGACGGTACCATTTGCCGAGATGAACGCCGCCATCAATGCCACGAGCCCGCACGGCTGGTTCCCGGTCATTGACGGGGATATTGTCCCCGAGCAGCCGAGTCGCTCGCTGTACACGCGCAAGTTCGTCCCGGTACCGATCATCCTCGGGGCCGCGACGGACGAAGGAACCGCGCAAATGCCGACTGGTGTGGAAATCGAGACAGACGAGGACTTTGCGGACTTGGTTGCCAGTAAGGATCCTTGATTCGCAGCGTGTACTTGATATATTCTCTGCAGTCTGACGTGACTAACGGCGCGTACTAGATCCGCAATCGTACGGCGTCGCTCCGGGGATCGCCTTGCCGCAAGTGCTAGTCGACCAGATCACCACCGCCTACGCCAATGTTTCTTCAGTGCCGGCTGCGAAAGCTCGTCTGTACCAGGGGGATTCAACGGTCATCGCCAACCGACGCCAGGCGTGCGCCACCTGGTCTCGCAACAATGTGACTACATACTGCTATCGATGGAACATTGCCCTGGGCGACAGCCAACGCACTGCACGGCACGGTGACGACCTCCCCTTCGTCTTTGACAATACGCGCGGCACCGGTTACGAGAAGATCCTATTGGACAATGAGTCACTCGTGGAGCTGGCAGCCGAGGTGAGCGGAAGCTGGGTCAGCTTCGTCGCGACTTTGAACCCCAACGCCTGGAGGACGGCTAGCAATAGCAGCATTACTGCACCAGCGACAACCACGAAGGAGAGGATTCTAACCTGGCCGCAATACGGGGCCCCGCATCAGTACGCACTGGTCTTTCAGGCTAACGGGACGAGCTACGTCGAGGAGGATACCTGGCGAGCAACCCCAATTCGGCTAATTAACGGGCCTCCGTCGGGGATTGCCGTGGCATATCAACGGTAGATGAGGGCAGAGTAAAGGTGGAGTGGGTTGAAGTTTGGGGAAGAGTCATTGCAGCAGCCACAGAGCGGAAAGATATCTGTCTACGGATTGGATCTATGTGTGTAATCTGTATGGATGGACTGTTTGGCCTCGTACACCCACTGTATCGTATCTAAAATGATGTTAAACCTGATTTCAGAGGTAGTTCTCACCCCGTATGTGTCGAAATCTCCAAAAACCTTACATTCATGATGTATCTGCTCGCATATCCTTCGTGATCGATTGGCGTAGACCGCATGGTATCTCCGTGCCAAGCGACGCCCGCAGCGCGACGCATAATCAAGCACGGCACTTCTCCAACCCGCTCGCAAGGTAGTACTGGAACAAGTAATGATCGGAGCCTTGGCGGTGCATACTTCCAGGGTCCCACAAATTGTGCGGGGGATTTCAAAGTAGATAAATGAGAACGGGAGCGGAGAGTCACAATGCGGGGGCTATGGAAGATCCCAGGTATGTTTCCTTGGCTGACTGAAGTCATTGTCAATCCGAGCCCTAATTTCCCGGGTGGCCGCGCGGGAAGACATCATATCATGGATGTACGCTTCAACGGCACATTAGACCAATCGAAGGCCACACATTCCTGGTGCTAGGGCTCAGCAAGTCACAGACGAATCGTCATTTTCTTGATTATCAGGCACGAGTGCTAATCTTAGCCGGAAGGAAGTGAACGCACTATCCGTGCTGCAGAACACGTATACATGGCCGAAGCTAGAGTCTTCATCCCGCTCGGTTGACCTCCTACCCACTTTCCAGACCAGCTTGGCTTTGGTTTTGCGCGGGTCCGGTCATGTATCTCGGGCGGCGTTACTGAATCTGGGAATTGTGATGACTTGCAGTGACTGGATGCGAGCGACAGGAGGTGATGGGGCATGGGAGAAGGAGGGAGAGGGGCTTAGTCCGAATAGTAGGGATGCAAGCTAGAATATACTAGTCATGGGAAGTATAAAGCCTAGATGCTGCTAGCACTTAACCCTCCGATCCATCATTCCGACCGAGACGCCCTTCTCCAGAAAATAAAACCCAAGCATCTAGGACATATGAAACTCCAACACCATCTGATTGTGGGTTGGGCTGCCCTAGCCGCTTCCCACGGCGGCTTCGAACATGAAACCCTAGAGGCCGCGATGGCCCGCCATCGCCACACAATCAAAGCGCGACGCAGTCTGGAGTCCTGCGCGGGGGACCTGGAGAGTTCAGGCAGCAATCTGCGTCTTCGCGCGCGCCGCGACGAGATCATCAACCATCACCGTCGGCGTAAGCGCTCCACCGTCGAGATCCTGAACACCACTCATCTCCACACCGGGCCGCGGATCGACCCATCACGCCCGGGGGAGGTCTTTGCGGACGAGCACCATGTGCTTCTGACTCCCTACGGTGACAACGGACCGTACTACGTGCCCGGCGAGCTCATCCGCGAAGACGCGCGAGAGGACCAACTTGGCGTGCCCATCATCGTGGAGGCGCAGTTCATTGACTACGAAAGCTGTCTCCCCGTGCCCGGGATGTTTTGGGATATGTGGAACGCGAACGCGACCGGGGTGTACAGTGGGGTGATTAACGAGGGCAATGGCGATCTCTTAGACCATTCCAACGTGAACGCGACCTGGCTGCGCGCCGTGCAGATGGCGGACCAGGACGGAGTGGCGCGCATCCAGACCATCTTCCCCGGCCACTACACCGGCCGCACCAACCATATCCACATCATCGCCCACACCAACGTGGTTGTGCTGCCCAACGGCACCATCACCGGCGGCAGCATCAGCCACATCGGCCAGTTCTTCTTCGACCAGGCCCTCATCGACGCCGTCGAGACCACATACCCCTACACCCTCAACCCATATGCGGTGATCGGTAACGCCCTCGACGACACCTTCCACCAGGAAACCGCCTTCTCCGCCTCTGACCCGGTCTTCAACTACGAGTACCTGGGCGATACCCTGCAGGACGGCCTGTACATGTGGGTGCGCATCGGGGTGAATGTATCTGCGAGCTGGCAGTCTGAGTACAGCTTCACGCATAGTGCCAACGGCGGCAAGTATTCTTGTGGCACAGGGCGGATTGGGGTCAACTACACCACCTCCGACGAGCACTGTGCCGATAATATCGATGTCGGCGCCCTCCCTGGGGAGACTGCTCCAGGTCCCGCGGTGTATTCGGCTGCGCCTCCTACCGCGTGGGATAACGCCACCGAAACAGCGGAGCAACAGGCGGATCACGATGCTTTGCAGTCGGCGGTGGCACACGCGGAATCCACTGAGGCGGCCTACTTGGCTAGCATCGCCAGCGGGAGTGCTGCAACAGCCACCGCGCTGTAAGGATGGATTGGGCTTGGGATGTCGGTTGAGGTTAGATGGGAGACGCGTGACATTGAGAATGCCTAGATAATTGTAAATGAACTTTCCCGAGCTCATCGAGTGAATGTGCTGATTGATCTGCTTATTTCTTGTCTCCCTGCAGAGTGTACGAAGTCTTGAATATGTTCTCTGAGTTTTATGGCTCACATATGGTCGCCGAATCCCTTCCGGTGTTTCTGCAGTTGAAAACAAGCCCTATACTCAGTCGCTTTCTCCAGTATTTTCCCTGAAGAGCCTGCCCTTCGCCCTGCTATCTTACGCCTAACTAGAAAAACCAGTTGAGTTTATGATATATCCTTCATTCCTGACACCTGGGATCGTCGGCTAGTCTACCCGTCCACTGCCGAAGTGTGAACAGCCATTAGCCTTAGTATCTTTGTCTTGGTTTCCACAAGTTCTGATTGTTCACTAAGGAAGTACCAGGCTATCAGGTTTCTGCCCGGATAAGCACTAATAAAATCACTTACCCTGAGCGCTTGTTTCCTTGTGAAGCAGCCGGGCTGTGCAGCGCAGCGCATGGGTTGCCTGATGCGGTAACCCACCTGGCAACTTAGCCTATTTGGGTAAGCATTGCGATGCCCTACAATAAAAGACTCGTGTCTTCCCCTTCGCTTTGTCCCATTCAGCTACTCCTCTTCTTCCCCAACTAAGATCTAACATTTGATAGTTTCCTTTTTGAACCTTGGGCTTTCCTTCCAGAGCCGACCATTCCTCTCTTCCTCTACTCTGCATGACATTTAAAGTCGCCATCGTGGGCGCCGGCCCCGCCGGATGCCTTCTTGCGCGACTACTCCTCAACCAGCCGACGGTAGAGGTGACGGTGTTCGAGGCGGAGCCTTCCATCGACTACCGTGCACAGGGGGGATCCCTGGATCTGCATGAGAATGGCGGGCTGGCTGCCCTCAAAGCCGCCGGCCTGTACGAGGAGTTCCTGAAACACGCGCGCTTCGACGGCGAGGCGCTCCTTGTGTGCGATGCAAAGCTCAAACCATACATCCAACTCAGTCCCACCACCAAAGACCACAGTCGCGGACGGCCGGAGATCGACCGATCCGCCCTCCGGCGCATGCTGGTCGAATCCCTGCCGCCCGGGACGGTGCAGTGGAAACGTCCACTGCGTCGCGTGGCGGCTGCCGACCCCACTGATCCAAAACAAGGCCACATCCTGGAGTTCGCCGACGGGACGACCGCATCCGGTTTCGATCTCATCGTCGGTGCCGACGGTGTGTGGAGCAAAGTGCGCGCGGCGCTCTCCGACACCCTGCCCCGGTACGCCGGCATCGGGGGGTTCGCGCTCCAGATCCCAGACGCGGCACGCACCGCGCCGGAATGTGTGGCCCGTCTCAACGGCGGGTCGATCTTCGCGTACTCGACCGGCTGCATGCTGGCGGCGCAGCAGCTGGGCGACGGCAGCATTAACATGGGGTTGTGGCGGGCGCGGCCGGAGAGGTGGGAGCAGCAGGTTGACTACGCGCTGACCGATCCGGCGGCTGTGCGGGCGGCGCAGATCCGCGAGTTTGGTGATTATGCCCCAGAGCTGGTGGATTTCATCGCTCACGCCGGGGAGGACTCGGCTGTGGCATCTCGCTCCTTTTATACCCTGCCCGTCGGCTTCCGCTGGAACCACCGCCCGGGACTGACGCTGGTGGGCGACGCGGCCCACGTCATCTGCCCTTTCACCGGGGAAGGAGTGAACCAGGCCCTCACGGATGTGCTGCAGTTGGCGCAGGCGTTGGGAGCGGTGGTCCGCGCCTCGGACCTGGACTCTGCGCTGGTCAAGTATGAGATGGAGCTGTTTGCCCGCGCGGCGGTGTTTCAGAAGCGGGCGGAGGATGTCGCGCAGATGATGTTCTTCACGGAGGGCTCGCCGGCCACGACGATTGAGCGATACACCATGCACAATATGCAGAACTCCATCCCGCGGTGGGCGTACAAGGCGATGTACCCGCTGCTGCTTACGGGGACCTACGGGTATTTCTTCTGGCATAAACGGATACATAAGTAGACGCGGGTTTGGTCGCACTGAGCTGCTCATGAAAGTAGCTGTATATAGACACTCTTACCTGTCTTATCAATGAATTTTCTAATGACTTACAAAGACGTAGAACAAGTTCCGTGGGGACGCTGCCAATATGGGCGCCAAACACTTCATGGAACTGACTAGTGAGACTTGATATCATGCCGTAGTCTTTGCACCATTCTCACTCAGAGTGCGAGCCCGCTGGTTCTCCCAAGGTCGGGACACTCATGGGACAAAGCCCATGGACCCCACAGTGTCGGGCCATAAATGGTTCACACTGGGTTTGCTGCTTGCGTGCGCCGACGCGGTCTAAGGAAGGTTTTACGAAAGAGATCATTGAAACCACCAATTGCTGTTTCCCCACTCCCTGCACTCAGTGCACGCTATCGGATGCCGAACCCGAGAATTAGCAAACGAACGTGGCGCAGTCAATCACAAAGAGCAGAACAGGTGCTCAGCCACCGCGCCCCATTCAGCTATACTTACTACTCACTACTAACCAAATGGAACAGGTCGAATGGGGTGAAGAATGAGTAATTAGTGGAGACGTGGTCATGGAGTAGCCAACCAGTGGGGGAGCTCGTGTAGGTGGGGATTTTGTCTAGAGCGGATATATAGTTCCGCAACCCTCTCTCGCTCATTGCGCCTAATCTTCTTGTGAAATTGCCAGCATAGACACGATACCTTGAAACCTTCCTTCCATTTTCATGATGTCCCTCGATACCCTTCCAGTCGAGCTCCTTCTCATGATAGCCCAGTGCATGGACGACGCGGAAGCAGTCTCGTGCTTGGTCCGAGCAAATCGCACTCTCTACCACGCCCTCGTCCCGGCCTTCTACCGAACCTACGGAGAAGACGCTTTGCGGTACACAGTGCTTCACGCCAAGAGCTATCCCCTGACGCAGACCGAGGCGCAGACCACCCGCCTTGCATTCAGCCACGGCGATTTCACGCGAGGATGCGGACACGGCCGGGCAATCGAGCTCGCGGCCGCGAAGGGACTAGTGAGCGTGGTGGAAGGCCTCGTCTCGCAGAACAACCAAGAGATCTACGAGGCGCTTGTCTACGCGGCGAGGCAGCGTCACGCCGACCGCCGTGGTAGACGTGCTGGTCCGGTACGGCGCCGACGTCCATGTCGCCGACTTTGAGGGCTACACGGCCCTAGACTGGGCCGCCAGTTGGGGCGATACACCCATCGCCACTACCCTGATCGCCCACGGGGCGGATGTCCATCGGCGCTCCCCGCGGGGCTATACGCCTCTCCTCCTTGCGGCGGGGAACGGACACGCCGGTACGGTTGAGCTCCTAATTCAGCACGGAGCCGACGTGCACTGCGTTACTGAGGATAGCAGAACCGCCCTCCAGCTTGCCACGCGGAATGAGCACGCGGAAGTCATCGTCCGCCTCGAACGTGTTGCAACACGACAGACCTCGGTATAATGGCTGCAGGGTCTGAGTCGAAAATGCCATTTCACGGATCTTTGCCATTAGAGTCAGGGTCTCCCTCCTCTTGGAGCATTGACCGGCAAGAGGGTTATCCTCTAGGTAAACGATCCTCCGGCGCCTGCAACCGTGGTTTCCTGCCGGAACCCTATCCAACACGGGAGCATACGCCCTGGAGTGACGACCGAGCCTGTTAATGTGGGAGTGACTCGTTCACTCAGGGTCAATATGCTTTTAATCGAAATGGGTAACAGGAGTTCATGAAAAAGAGGGGTAGTACAGTACAGTTCACCAACGTGGGCAGGATTACGTCTAAACATAAAGGGGAAAGAAAGTAGGAAATGATCATAGCGAAAGACCTTGGACGCGTGAACGAAACACGAGGAATTGGAAGTTGAAAGCTAGCAGAGTCAAGAACTGGTTGATGACTTGGCTAAAGAAAGGATTCGGTGGGCTCATCCAACCCAAGCACAACAGGTCGACTCGGCGACCCATACCCATACTTGGTACGTCCCACATTCCATCGACTGCGCTAGTGGTCGAAATCGAAGACCACCTTGGTCGCACTACGGTTGCTAAACCTCGCGTAGGCGGCCGGTGCATCCTCAATCCCGACCACATCACTCACAATAAACCCAGGCCTTGCCTTGCCCGACGCGACCAGGTGAAGCAGCTGCGGTGCCAGATCGAGAGGTCGTGAGATCCCAGCCCCCCAATGAAACCCCCTGCTCCAGAAGTCAGCCAGGGAGAGGTTGAAATCGGTGTTGATGATGGACGCCCGAGGCTGGCTGGGGGTGTCGCGACCGCCGTGGCTGTACACTCCCACCGTTCCCATCCCCCCGTTGACGGCCGTGACGGCCAGCATGTTCTGCAGGATGACATCTGACTGCACGGTCAGGTTGCGGTTGACTTGCTCGAATCCGACGCAGTCGACGCTGCGGGTCACCCCCCCGGGCTCGAGGGCCAAAATCTGGTCCACGGGGTCGGCGTCTCGGAAGTTGATGGGGGTGGCTCCAATGGCTGCGGCCAGCCGAAGCCGTTCCGGTACGTAGTCCACACTGTAGACGTGGGAGGCCCCGCGCAAGGTGGCTGAATATGCCGCCATCAGGCCGACGGGCCCGGCACCAAAGATGGCCACGGTGTCACCGGGTTGGAAGCCTGCGAAGTCCAGCGCCGTCCAGCCCGTCGCGAAGATGTCGGAGAGCATCACGTAGTCGTTGAGCAGGGAGGTGGTTTCCTTCGTAATTGGATCGGTATAGTTGACGGCGGGGATGGGGATGAGGCCCTCGTCCGCGTGCGGGACTCGTAGATACTCGGCTTGCGTGCCACCGAGAGCCCCGCCGTTGCCGAACGCTGCGTATGGGACTGGGGTGAGGGCCGTCTCGAAATGACCGGCCGGGTTGGTGAACGGCACGATCACCGCATCGCCCACGTTCAATGACCCCACGTCAGACCCGACTTCGGCGATATATCCCACCCCCTCGTGGCCGACGCCAACAGGAAGTACCTGGCCCTCCATCATGCCTCGATAGATGTGGAGGTCAGATCCGCAGATGGCGGCGCGCGACATGCGAATGACCACATCCGTGGAACTCTGGATGGTGGGACATCGAGGACAGAGATGTCGAATGGCTGGCCTTGCCAGACCACAGCTCGCATGGTCTCAGCCAACGTAGTCATGTTGGAAAGGGCCATGGTAGCGTGATTGATGAAAAGGTATTGATCTCTGACCAGAAGGGCGGTGTATGCAAAAGACACTTGTGTATGCAAAAGACACTTGCAGAAGTGAAAGTTGATCTAGTTTCCAAAATATGGTGCTTGTGCGAGCTTTAAGTATTCAATCCCGATGCCACAGCAATGGCTTATCAACTTTAGGGTTGACTTCTCACCGTCCTGCATCTCCAGTGCCTCATTCTTGCATATGCACCAGAAAGATGTAGAGGGGTTGATTACTCAGGCAAACGATGTGCTACCTGGATAGTGATTCCACCAATTCGCATCAACCAGCCCTTAGGTTCCAGGCGCAGTGCTGTATCTAAGTGGACTGATTGTTTGTCTCACTACAGGCAACCCTATCTCGTGATTCATGCCAAATGCTGCAACCCAGTCAACCCAACGGCAGGGCGTGCGCCAAGACCAGCAAGCAGGTAGCGGGTATGTATTCATTCTTCGCCACATCCACTCTGACTGAGCGAGTACGTACGCCGAGCTTGTCGAAATGTCTCACCTGCAAAAAATGATCACAATCACGGTGTCGGATAAAGGGTTCGGCTTTGGTCTGGTGGGTCCATATCTGCCATCCACAAATCCACCCAGGCCCTGGCCCCTGCGAGACCTTTAGCTCGGGACGCTAATACAGGCGTATGACATCGATCGACATGGGGCAAGGTAGCAGGGATTGTATCATACACTGCATAGTAGCTTCGTTGCCTAATAAAAGTCTAGACCCAAAGCAAGATGCCATGATCGACTGCCGGGTCTCGGGCAATGCTCAGCTGTGCGATTTCGGCTTCTGTATCCACGATAAGGTCGAAAATCTACTGCACTCGTGGCTATAGTACTCAGAGTCAGCCGGCCGGGCTTACCGGCTTTACCAGCCCGCTGCTGCAATCGGCTGACTGCCATTTCTTGGCTTCTGCCTTTTCACTCAGAATTCGGAGGATTTTTGCACTGGTCAAAAATGTCAAGGATAATGAGATCGATCAACCCCGAGACGTCAGCCTAGGGGGTCGTTATCATACCGTACAAGGATTCCGCATCAGGATGACAACATGACCACATATTCTTTTCGCGGTGTGGGAGCACGAGCATCTGAGACTCCTGGACGCTAGACTCCTCCTTCTCCTCCTCAGGTATAGTCCGCGTACACATACACATACTGCTTGCTGCAGAGGACAAAGGACTCCTGGAGATCGCGGAGATCCCGTGAGAGGAAGACAGGATGCGTCGCGCACACTTCCTCGATCGTGTTTCGTGAAAGAAGGCGGCGATTATAAAACGAAAGAAGCCGTAAGCTCTTTCGCATTATTACAGCGTCTTGCCTGGAATTTCCAATTCCAGCTGAACACCCCTACTTTTGCTTTGAACTGTCTCATCTTCCAATATCAAAACCATCAGTATGGCGCCTGTAGATGAAGTGATTCTCATTAGAGAACCTGTTCTGGTCGTCCGCAGACGTGCGCGGCGTGACACAGGCTCATCTACGCGCGAAGGAGGTGCCCGCTGCCGGCATTCAGTGTTTCTTCATCTGCACCGGCCACTTCACCTTCCAGCAGTTTGTCGATGCGCTGCGCGCGGGGATTCCGGGAATTTGCGACCGCGTGCCCATCAAGGCCGGGGATCGGTGACGTCCCCGCGCATGTGTCTACGGTTGATACATCCAAGTCGCGGAAGATATTCGAGGTTGCAGTGTCACTCGCTGGAGGAGGCAACAGTTGATGCGGAGCGAGCGAGCTCTTCTGCGGCTTCGAAAGGTTGAGGGGGGCTAGGGATTTCGCTGTGTTGCTGCAAGAGTCAAGAGCCCGATGATCAGTTTCCCCTCAAGACAGCGCCTGCTCACGACTATTGTCTTTGTTCTCACTCCCCAGCCCAATGGAGCTGACAGATATCCTTTATCCTTTCCAGTGGCCCGAGCAGCTTTGTGGCCAGAACAACCCTTCCTGGCTTTCGGTCTGTCACAGTGCAAAAGGCTTCAGACATCCAATCAACATCTTGGTCAATCAGTATACTTTGCCACTGTTGGTGACAAGGTTATGTACGCATACTGCGTGTCTCACCGATACGGACTGGTGTTGATTTATATCTGCAATTTCTGTATCATAATGTCTCTACTCTTCCAGCCACAAGGCTCCTAGCCCCACAGTATGCTGTCGAGTTCTATGAGTCGAATCGAAGCGTATCTCGCAGTTTTCTCAAGCTTCTGTCCAAGGACAGGACAGTCTGACACCGTCTATTCCCACCGAGCTCTAACCGCGCCGCAACCTCACAACCATCACCAACCCCTGTCTCTGTTCATCGACCACCGCTCCGTGGGTCTTCCTCACCACCTCCACCAACTCCTCATCTCCATTCGCGACCAGCGCCTCGACCAAGGTGGCCCGCCCTGCGTCCTCAAACCCCAGCCTTCGGTACAGATTGACCGTCACGTCGTTCCCCGCCTTGACGATCAGCCGCACCTGCACCGTTGCGGGCTCCGCCCGGTACTCCCGCAGCCAGTCCAGCGCGGCCTGGCACAGCTGCGCGCCCAGCCCGCGGCCCCGGTGGGCGGGGAGGGTGAACAAGCTCAGCATCTGCCAGCGCTCTTCCTCGCTGTCCGGGCGCGGCGCGGGCGGGTTCGCAGCGGCGGGGAGGGCGAACTGGTCAGCTGGGGTGGGGCCGCGCAGGGTGACCTGGGCGATCCATTGCGTTGCGGCGTAGCCATCCGCAGTGCTGTTGGGGCGGGTGGCGGTGGAGGTTGGGGTGGCCGCGCAGATGAACACCTCGCGGTCTGGCACGGTGAGGCGCGCGATCCAGTCGTCTTCTGTGAAGGCAGACTCGATGGCATGGGTGGAGGAGAAGGAGCCGGGCGAGACTTGGAGGGCTTCCAGGCGGAGGGCGCGATACTGTGCAGCTGATGCACGGATCGTGGCCGCTTCTTTGGGGATGCGGAAGAAGGTATAGGCGTAGTCCGGGGTGGCCATTGCGATAGTTGATGCTTTGTATGGTTTGGAGAGGCTGATAGGTACCCAGTCCAGGGATTGGTTGCTTGGGGAGGAGATTGGTGAAGGAAACTTGAATTGTAGAGACGATGGTCAAATCGCATGGCTTTCGCGTCTTATCTATCTCAAGGCATTGTGAGTCACATAAGGCATGCTACGGCCGAACATATTTCCATAGTACATCTACAATGGCTTCTCCTTTTACATTACAGTTGGCGATACGCGTGGTGAGTCATGAGTGGAGGTGGAGGAGGCTACAAATCCCGGGGATGCAAATCCCGGGTAAATCACTCCCCACCACATACTTCTGAGGGGCAACTGAGCAACAATACACATGGTCGAGAGTGGTCAAGGGGGGGAATGGATTCATCTTGACAAAGCCTACCAATGAGGTCATATTCATATTCATTGTTGACGAATTACGGATTGATCTGGTACCAACCACTGTAGGACTTTGAGGGATGGTCAGAGAAAACAAGTGAAGATAACTGAAGGTGTTTGCCGGCGACCACCTTGTAGCACTTACGGCTCTGGTCGATCAGAGACTGTGCAAGGATTTCTGATGATATACATATTAAGACCAATCCTGATGGTCAACTCGCTCCAGTCCCGTCATAAGCCCAACGCAGCATCAATGAGCCCATTCGCTACCGAGGGATCTATCTCCAATTTGTAGGGGCTCAGCCGAGGTCTGAATAAAAGCTACCCATCGGGCACGACCATTGTTGGAAGTGATGTTTCTCTATCGGTGCATCGTAGCTTGCTGCACCAGCACATCGCCCGCTTTCAGAGTCCGCGTCTTCCCGGAGTCCAACGTGATCTCCATCTCGCCTTCAAGGAGTACCACCGTATCCGAAGTCATGGTTCGGTGCATAGAACTCTCCGCCCCGGGTTCCATCGTGATCATACATGTGGCGGTCCCGCCCTCGGGGCAGATCCGACGGCTCCCGCGAAAAAACGTGGTGGTGCGGTCTTCACGATATTGCTCGACATCAGCCTCGCTGGAGAGATCCATCGGGAACGAGTGGCTAGAGGAAAGAATCTTAATCTCGCCGATTGGAATAGGTATCGCATGTTGTTCGGTGGAACCTTCGGCAAAAATGGCGGCTCCGTTGGGGTCGTGAGCAGTGATGTAGTGAGCCATAGCTTGCTAGCTTGGATAAAAGAATTACAAATAGGAGAAGAACAAGATGGAGGAATGCTAGCACGAAAGTATGGAATGGAGAGAAGGGCCTTTCTGAAGAATGGGCAGAGGACGAGATACGGGACACTTTGTAGTGTTTAGAGAGCCGGCCCATCGGCATTCGGGTCGGACACTCAGGGTCCGACTCCTCCGCGTTCCCCGTGCCGATGATGATCATGGCCCGCCAATCAACAATCCTTTCTTCTATATGTTTCCACACTCGTCTTGGAATAGTTGAATCAGGAAAAGGAGTGTCAGATAATCGACTAGCAAAGATATATTCCTGGTCACTGCTTCCTTCTCCTGGAAAGATTAAGTATATAAAGATCAGTGGCCATTAGTGATTTTTCATGGTAGGTTCTCCAGCTGAAAAGGATCGTACTAAATGAAACCAATAGCAAGATGTGATGATCATGGTAGCTATTCAAGAGCCCAAGCTGCAGATGAGCTGTTCTGGGCACCGAGCGACAGTTTCCCGCGAGTGGTGGGTAACTTAGTATCGCTACAGCCCTAATTTGACCCCGCGACCTGACTCGGAATATTCCGCTGACTGCCGAACATGGCATGGCCGGTATAAATATCTCAGTCTTCCATTCTAGAATACTAGGCTATGTCACCTTCCACAGATGTACTCTGACAAACAACACCGGCAAGGGCTACAATCAAAATTATGCAGGTGTAGAGAGTTTCGTGAAGTATAACTTAAGGAAAAGGGTAAATTCTTCTGCTGCTGCGAGATGTAAAATGGCACAATCAACTCTAATATACTCCGTACATCAATCCCAATGCAACTAGTTTGCTGGGTGACTCAATGGCTATTGTGCTGCGCTGTTACCACTTTCGCCATGGAATCTCCAATCCATCTAGCAGGGAACTTTATCTGGGATGTCATTTCAGTATTCAAGTGCACTGACAGGGGCAGGACTTACCTTGTCGTGGTTTGTGATTGCCCCATGCCGAACCAAAGCTGGCACCTTTCGCAGAACCCTTGAACCGCAAACTTCATGAACCAACAATCACGCTACGGGGTTATTTGCTTACTGCGGTACCTAAAAAATCCTCCAACATTGGGAATACGGTAAAGATATAGTGACCATGGCCTTGCGGAGCCTGTCAGTTAAACTCCCTTGCATTCAAGGATTGTAGAACAATAAACAGGTGTTCTTCAAAGGTGCATCACGGAGATCTGCATGAAAAATGTGAAGAACCTCATGCTCAATGGCATATTCCAAGATACCTTCCAGCACGCTCCTTGTTAAACACCCAGCACCCAAACAATACATAAACCCCGTTGAGCTGTTCAAGGACCCCGCAATTACAACTTCAGGCCAAAAGCCAATAAATTCCTTCAAACACCACAGTGGGACACTGCGTCCTCAATACCAACACAAGATCCTCAGCGGAAAAACAAAAATGGAAGCAAACAGCAAGAACGCCATCAGCGGACGCTGGATCGAGACGCTCCGCGCCATCTTCCCAGCGCGAGAGGGCTACACACTCCACGTGACGATCCACGAGCACCGTGGCTCTAAAGACCACGACAGCGACGACACCGATGACATCAACTTCACACCTTACGACCGGCTGGCCATCTATTGCTCCGCGTACCAGGGCGAGATCTTCAGCATGGTGCTCGAATACGTGGATGAGAGCAGCGCCGGGGCCCAGGAGCCGCACAGCAGCGTCGCCGATGATACGATTCGCGACCGCGCCAAATTTTTGCTCAAAGAGTGGCCGGCAACCTTACTGCCTATCCCTATGTACGGAGGGGTCATCGCCTTGAATGATGTGTTTATGTATGGGTTCCAGGCCTATTGCATGGAGCCATGGTGTGACTTGGACCTGGTGTGCGACGACCCGCAGCACTTCAAGAAGGAAGAGTTTGGACAGCTATTTAGGCTGTTTTTGGACTTGGAGCTGGAGGCTCAGGGGGTCCGTGTCGACGATGCGCGGCAGTTTACGGGGTGGTTGGCGGGGTGGAAGGCGAGCCTGGTTGCGAAGGGCCCGGCCCAGAGTCTCTCGTTCGAGTCCCTGATGCAGGTATCGGGTCAGGCTCCAGAGGTAGGCGAGTCCATTTGCCCTGCACTCGAGGGGATGACCCTAGGGGAGACACGGGAGGAACTGCTGCACACTCCCGAAGACGTTCTTCCAGAGGCCGATGAATTCAGGTTGCTGGGACTCATGCAACGCCATCTGGACTGGTCCTTGCAGAGGCACTTGCTGCAGGAAGTCGAAGACGTATGCCCCGGAGAGAACATCTCTCCTGGGTCTCTATCACCCGTTTTAGAGGGCACCCGAGAGGACTTCCTAGTGGAGTGTCTCGGAGATGCCCCGGAGCCAGCTATGGACGGTCCGCCAGACTGCATGGAGCTGGAGCTGGTCATCGAGGAGGCCACTCGGAACTCTTTGCTACAGTTGCTCGGCGAGGAAGACCCCGAGGAGTTTGATTAGACGCCTCTTGCCGATACGCGCATCCGCTGAGCTCGTGGGTGGGTGCCATTCCAGATAATGATTCGCATTTGTACCAGTTGAAACAATGCCAACTTTTGAAATCTTGCCCTTCGCTGAATTTCTTCTCAGTTCCTCCTTTGGGATGTTTTCTTCTTACCCTGCGGGCCGGGTTGTGCGCCATGCTGCTTTGAACAACGGCTGGCTGCTTGTGACTTGTGTCGAGGAGCGTGAAGATAGTGATTCCAGGCCATTTGGGAGGAACAACCTAATCCAGATAGATGCCGTGGCCGAGGCGCTTCGCTGCCTTCAAGCAATCAGAAAGGGCGATGGATCTGAACAGCCTTTGCATCATGGTTGCCTATAGCGGGGCTTGAGCTCGGAAGGTGTTTGTCTATCTTGTGACATTCGGCCCTTGTCATCCAATGCTGAAGTTGGGTTGAAGAATTGTTCGAGATAAGCCATTCAATCCTGAAATTTGATAGCAATAACCCTTTCCACGCTACTCCGCTAGCATGCCACAATGTACAGTACATCATCCCACTAGGTAACAGAGAGAGAGATAACAGAGGTACAAACCCAGACATAGATACACCGAATAGCACACAGCATCGTGATGGCCATCGACAGAAGATAATAACAGCTTGTATTAACGCAAAAGATCCACGTAGACACCAGAGCTTATGCTATTTGTAAACACTGCCAAACTCGTAGTTGCTGTCCCGCACAGTTGTTTGCGCCGCGCTTCCCCATGGGGTGTGGGGTTGTGAAAATATTCCAGGTTATATGGAATAGGGGCGCTAGCCTTACACAACAGTCATTGTCCAAAGCAGTTGATGTTTGTGCTAGGTGATCAAGAAAGTTGACTATAAGTCTAATCGATGATCGTTACTGTAGCACAAGTAAACCAGACGAGGCCTTCATAATACAAAAATGGTACAAGCGGTATCCACGCAAGGCAATACCATTCTCCGTCAGATACCGTTTTCGAGGCAATTAGAACAACAACCAGTAGCTTTCTACCACAAACTCAAGACGAACTCTGACGTTGCAACCAGGGCTGTTCTGGGTGGGGCCCATCCTCTGGGCTGCCATGCCCACCTGTTTCGATAGTGAAGACTGAAGCCGGCAAAGATAGATTAGTTCAGTACGCCGGGGGCTTGACATCTCTATTGATGATGAGTTCACGTTTCAGACGGAGAAAAGGTGCTCTTCCTTTTTTGGACGCCTTACTGACAGTTTCTGGGACTATGGATCGCATCGGTCGGTTGTGACACGGATCAAACACAGGTTTTTCGCGACGACTGAGTCATTTCCGACACGCGTCTTGGTCTCGGGCTATCAATTAGGAACCGATCTCTCGTCATGTGAATGAATCTGTGGATGTCTCGTGGGGTTAATGTCTGTTATTCCCAGCGAGCGCAGGATGTCGTCAGTGCCAAAGTGAAGTGTTGCTACGAACAGAAGCATGACGGGAAAGGATTTACGCTCTCTACCTGTACAATGGAAAGACTCGTAGGATTGTAATTGACCTGGCCGACCGACCCCCGGCAGGTCAAATGATTTCGAAAAAGAAGCTTCTAGACCGAACCGACAACTGAGCCTGTGGACAGCAACATCTAGGCAAGCTCCGACGGCTTTTGGAGAGATGGTCACGGTATGCCATGCGCTTTGTATGTAAAGGAAGTCGATTCTGGGAGTCACCCGGAGCACCAATCACTTCGCCAATTCCGTAGCCTTTCAAGGTGCAAGCATTGTGACACACTTGAGAGCATGTACTGTATGCGACCAGGAACGGTATATGCAGTACTGGTCGGCAGTAATTTGTTCATGGTTGCCTGTGATCTATCGACAAAGGCTGGACACCGAGGCTACCAAGGGCATTCGATGGGACGCACCGAACAGATAAGACAACTATCCGTACAACACATCAGGGAAAACGCGCCCGAAGAACTGTGAATCTCCATCAGGGACTGTATCTAGAAATGGAGAAACCGATTGTAGACGAAGTGAAGACTACCTCGACACCATGGGCGAAGGGAGTTGATCCGCTGGGATGGAATATATCCGAAGCGAAGGGATGATCATTGTACCACTCGCTAGGTCTGCTACTATCACAAGAGATGCGAGAAAATAAAAGTAAAGAGAACAGAGCCAGAATCCCAGAATTTTCTTTTCCAAACCGTTTGCGAAACAGAATACCAACATACTACCTCCAAATGAATTTGATCAAGTCCAGCAACCACCCTTTCCGTCGATTCCACCACCATAAAATGCTCTCCATCATCTCTTCGATCGTTTGGGGCGATTGTTCGTGGTCTATTGCCCGGTCAGCTGTCTTTCGAACCTCTTCATCAAAGGCCTTTTTGCACTTGTTCACATACCGCAAGGATCTGAGCCTCTCACCAAATCTTGCATTTGGAGCACTGGGTATGGCCACACACGGCTTCGGCGTTTTGTCGAAGGACTTTTTGGGTGCAAGTTCTTCCACTGTTGGGCCCTTGTTTGCACATATAGCAACGCAATTGAGGGCTCGCAGTCGACTCGCTGGGCGACGATTGCTTAAGGATGACGGTGCCGTCAGGCTTGAATTCAAGACTCCACGCAGGCGCCATGGCTGGAGACAATAGAGGAGGAATGCGGTATTAGATAGACCGAGAAGGTAAATACGGTTGATGAATATTGATGACAACAGAACGTTGAGGGCAGTGGATGTAGAGAACGGAACACCTATTGTGAGTGCCTGAGCAGACATCATGCTGGTTTTATAATCAGGAGCACTTGGGATCGGGCTCGAATACACTTTACCAGCTTCAGAAGAACGATCGTATAGCGAACGCTTTGACTGATCAAATCGACCCACAATAGCTTCACTGGTTGGGTGATGCAAATCCTAATAGGGGCGACAGGAGTAAGGAAAAAAAAAAGAAAAAACAAAAACAAATAGATATGCCGGAAAGAAACTTTTTGGAAAGAGAAACTACAGATGAAATAGTCTGGGAAAACGAGGAAAGACACAAAAGCGGATATCATGTGGTTAGAGTCGAGGTATTGAGAGCTGTCAGATAGTTCTTTGACTCGCTGCGTCAATTGCTCTTCTAAGAATTGGCCTCGCCCGCCCGAAGAGGTATTTTCGTACTTGATCATGTCTCACGCCAACACAGCAACTTTGAGTCAAGTAAAACCTCAGAGAGCAGGCCTTATCATGATCTTTTTTACAGGAACGAGGAAAGACGCCCGCGGAGTAGGCCAACTAAGGCCTTACACATGAAGTTTCAAGACATCCCTTGTAATACACCCTTCGCAGTGGTATGCGGGTTTCTATCTTGGAAGCGTGATTAAGCTTGCAGCTCAGACCCTACTTGCACAGGACTGATGGTCGATGGTGTATCTGTGAACTTCCCATCGTGATTCTCACTCAGTGAGCTTACACCTACACCAGGAACATATACAAGCCGATAGCTACAGGCTTGAGATGATAAGCACTCAGACAGGGTCTCGAGGAAGGGCAAGTTTACTACTGATCTTCTGGTAATGAATTCAAGACGATGGATATTTCGAAAGAGGGTTCGAATAAGATACGGCTAAGTAGCCACTTCTTCTGCAAAATTCGGCAACTGCAGGAACGTCTTTCGTACATTGCTCAACCCCTCCAGGTCTCCGGCCTTCGTACCCATAAGCTCCATGGGAACCCAGCCTGGAGTGAGACCGTTTTTGAAATCCACCAGCCATACATCCCGGTTGTGATCGATCAGCACGTTATCGGGTTTCACGTCGCCCCAGATACACCCTCCCTGGTGGAGGGAGGAAATTATCTCGTGAAGCTGGTCGGACCACTTGCGTCGTTCAGCCAGAGCAACCTCTGTCTCAATGTTGATCATGCTGCCCAGGGTAGTCGAAGGAACGAACGTCAGTAGGATCCCCGGGAATGGCGACCCGAGGCCGAGAAAGCCTTCTAGCCGGGGCACGCGAAGCGAAGCCGGACATCGCGCCGCAATCTCTCGCAGCCGGAGAGCTTCGTCTTCCAGGATCCCGGTTCCGAATGTCGTGGTCTTGTAGAGAAAGGCCTTGCCCTGGATTCTCACCTCGAAGACCTTATTGGCCTGGATAGTCCAGAATGACTCCACCTGCGACAGCTCGAATCGCGGAACGTCGGCCATCTCTTTGAAGACGGCTGGCACACGTGGCATGTCAAGGAGGCCGACGAAAAGCTCCGGATGGTCGTGGATCTCGAGGCACAGGTTTACCTGCGAGCTGCGCAGATGGGCGTCCAAGTCGAAGGTGCGTGGTGGGTTGTGCTCCTTGAAAATGGGCTGTAGGAACGGCATCAAAGCATCCACCAGCTCCTGCCAGCGGTGCTTGTCATGCAGAAAGACACACCTTTCGATAAGGTCCGCCCCATCGGTGAGCTTGTAGTCGGGCGGTAGCTTCTTGTACTCCATGCGCACTTGGAACCGGGTATCCTTGGCCACAAAGCAAATTAGAAGCTCACAGCAACCATCGGCGTAAACCAATCCGGCCGATCGGATCACTTTGTAGGGAACGTCCGGGGAATTGCATGCTTCGGTCTCGGTCTCGGTCTCGTGATCTTTCGTGTCGACCGGGTCACTGTCATTGTTGTCATTCGGTGGTCAGTGTGAGTCAACAGAAGGGCCATCCTGCTCTGTTGATTCTTCGTTTTGGGTGAGATGTAGGCCCCGGGAAATGGGCGAGGATGTCAACCCTAGGGGACTCCAAAGTGATTAGTTTTTGTTTTTCCCAAAGGTCGTTTCTCGAAGACAACATGACCTACTTTTCCCATCCTGCTCTCCTGGCTCGTCATTTGAAAGTTTGGCACGCTTGCGATGATGCTCTGCGGGATCATTTCCTCCAACCATCCTGCTGATGTAGGTGAGTTGTCGGCGGGGTTCAGGAAATTGTGAATATCAAACGGATATTGGAGCCAGATTCGGGTGACAAGGACTGCGTGAAGTAGTTGCTATGACCAACACCAGAGGGGCAGGGGGGGAAGCAGAGAAAGAAAATCAGGTCTGTAAGCTCTGGGAGTCGGCCTTATCACTTTACTGACTACCTGGCCACTCAATACTTGGTCAAAATGCAAAGTAGCCTTTGAATCGCCGGGAGATTGGTCTTTGTCACGTTTAGCCTATCATTTCACGGATCTGGGTGGGAGCCCACCACTCATCAGAACTACAACTAAACATAATTATCTTTTTGGCCATCTAGACCGTGCAAGGCTGTACATCTTGTGTGAGAGGGTAGAGAAAGAACCAACTCGATTAGCCAAGATCCTTGTCTGTCAAAGAAGAAGAACAACAACAACAACAAGCCATCGGAAAAATGCAGGCAAAAAGGCAAAAGAAATAAATAAAGAGAAAGAAAAAAAAAAAAAGAAAAAAGGGGGGGAGGGACCGAAGAAGCAAGAAGCAAGCCAAAACGAAACAAAAAAAGAAGAAAATAAAAACAAAAAGAGACGCGATGAAAGCTGATCAATATAGAGTTTTAGATGCATGCCTGTGTCGACGCGCATTTCAACAAATCCAGTCTAATAAATAGCACAAGACAGATAATTGCACGGCGTTAGTTTGGTCCGCCCAATCGCCCGTACCGCTCGCCTCCATCTTTCTCACAGAGATCAACTTAGGGTTAGGCGCCCGACTTGCGCCTCTGCTGTGATCGTTATCATTGGGTGCGTGGCCCTTTCTTTCACACATACTAGAGGTCTCGGTATTACATTGTATTTATTGTACGCAGTCTTCTGTACAGTACAGGGAAATGCGCTGTGCTGTCGGACGCACCCTCAGCCACCGCCTACATTCGGTAAAAAAACACCCCATGTAAGTTATCGATCACCTCGCAGAGGCTCAGGAGTCTTACCTCCTCGGGCTCTAACAAGATCCTTCGAGGTTCCCTTCCAAAGAGACCTCCTTCGGCGTCTATCGTAGTTCCCAAAATAGGCTTGAGAAGGCGGGGAGAAATAAACAAAGACCCGGCAACTCACCATTACGTACGTGACCAAGAATGATAACAAGGAGTTGCTTCCAGAGAATTTATGCCCCAACGTGCTCTCCAGTACAGAAACAAAGCAAGTCCTTGCCGGATAAACACCCTCAATCAAGAGTGGGATCCATAGTTATGCTATGTGATCGGAAGAGTTTCAACGTTCTCCCATCGTAGCAGGATTAATTGCATCGTAGTACTCTTCTTGGTGGACCCCCGCATGACTATTTACATGTACATGATTTCCCCCACAAACGCGGTCACAGAGACGAACAACTAGCTAAAAGGAAGATAATAACCACATCACAAACACCCACTAGAGACATACAACATCCGAAACCGCGACTCCTGCCGCGCCAGCAGAGCGTCTGGCCGATCAAACTCGACGAGTCGCCCCTCTTCCATCACCGCCACCTTGTCAAACCACGCGATATTGTCATACCGGTGGACGATTGACAGAACCGTGCAATACGCAAACTGCTCCGCGACCACTCTATCCATCAGAGCTTGTGTCGCTTGATCAACCCTACAACGCCCGATATCGGGATTCTGCGTTAGCCGTATGTTTTCCTCAGGATAGCAACCCCGCCAGAGCTCAGGCAATATCCCAGGTGAGGGGGGACAACATACCGACTCATCGCCTCGTCGAGGATCAGCACCCTGCTTTGCCGGGCAATCGCGCGCGCCAGCGCCAGCAGTTGCCCCTGACCCGCGGACCAGTGCGTCGGATCGAGAGTGGCGTCCAGGCCGCCTCGTCGTGCGACGAGGTCGGTGAGATGTGTTGTGTCGAGTATGCGGGCTAGAGCCGGCTCGGAGAGGGTGTGGGCTGGATCGATGTTGAAGCGGATGGTGCCTGGGAGGTAGCACGGTTCTTGGGGGACGACGCTCAAGCGGGCGCAGATGTCCTGCGGCGGTACGGAGGTGATGTCGAGGCCGTCGATGTGAATGGTGCCAGTCTCGCAGTGGGGTCGCAGGAGTCCGGTCAAACACAGCAATAAGGAGGATTTGCCGCTGCCAGAACGGCCGCACAGCGCGATCTTCTGGCCGGGTTCAATGCGCATGCTTACGTCGTTGAGGACCGGTTTGGATCTGGAGGGTGGATTAGGGGAGTCAGTTCTATGCTTTGAGTCGGGAATGGCGGGCAATCGAGTGGCGGTGCGGAACGTACTTATATGCAGCTCCCACATTCTGCAGCTCGATGGCGCCACGGCTGGGCCAGTTTGTCTGTTGTGGGAGGGCGATCTTGCCGCGAGATTCGGAGGATGTTTGAGCCGTGAAAGACTGGATCCGTGAGACAGCCCCGAGACAGGACTCGGTCATGGACCAGAATTTCAGAAGCCGGCCTAAAGACTGCGTGAAGCTCATGAGGGTCACGACGGCGGTACCCGATGAGCCCGGGTCGAAGGAGTCTGGTATTAGGACCGTCAGCAACGTTAAGAGAACAATGTGACCGCTGGCAATTAGGTCCATGGCGAGGGTCAGCCATTGCTGGATCATGAACAACGTGTATGTGCATTTCTGCGACGTGTCCACCATCGAAAGATTGGCTTCCTCGAGGTATGTCTGCCATTGAAACGCCCTGATGCTCGCGCCACCGCCGAGGGCTTCGGAGAGGTGCTGGAACAGAGGGGCCTTGGCCTCGATGCTGAGCAGGCGGATCTGTCGCGAGGTGCGCAGGTAGCATTTCTGCAGGAGGAAGCAGACTACCAATAGGGGCGGGGCCGCCAGGGACATGTACTTGGCTACCACAAAGAGGATGGCTAATTTTAGGAGACAGGACCCGATGGCTTGGTGCGAGCAACTAGTCAGCAGGGAGATAGTCGTTCATTGCAGCTCAGACACTACTCACCCTTGGTTGCGTTGACAGCTGCCAGTGGTAGTGTCATATCCACAAGCTCCAGGTCCTGAGTGAATCTGTTTGGTGCAGGATAGGTATGAGTTAACGTGCTTGAGATATAGCCAAATGAACGTCACCATACCGATTCAAGATATCACCCGCAGTGGTTTCATACAGCCAGGAAAGAGGGGCACTGAACGTGTTAGTCCTGTTTGTTATGCAATGGAGCCATGCTCAGTGTACCTCATTACGCTGCTCAGAATGTCCGCATGCAGGCGTTCTGCGCTATTGGAGATCATACGTATCAGGTAGACCCTGTTGGCCATTAGTCCAGACACCAGGTTGTTGACAGGTAGATGTGAGGGAGGTGGTTCAGGAATTACCAAGAGCCTGCTGCACCAACCACAACAGTACCAACTGCGAAGGCAATAAAAACGCCCAGATACATCCCTGAAAGTTGGCTTGAGCCTTGCGAATCTGCATTCGACCACCACTTCAACCATAGATCTAATCGAAAGTGATCGTACAGGGTCAGTTGCGGCGGTCTCTTCATGCCACTCACGAACCGACAGCAGGTGCACTTACTGGGAAAGTCCTGACAGAACGCAGCTATGAGAATGAGAATGACGTAGACTGATGCAAGAGTTAGACCACTGGATTTGAGGTAGTAAAAATAGCCAGCCCCATCGTCAACATGGGAAGACTGTGTCGATCCCTGAGAGCGACTGTTGTCGTCGGACGGCAATTCGTCCTCTTGGGGTTCCACGCAACGTTCGGATGCTATCGGCCATTTTTTGGCAGCGTCTTCATCGGCCTCCGTCGAGTGGGATTGAGCTTGTGGTGACTGTGTTGAAGGTGAAGACAAGATATGCTGCGCCACTCTACCATCTTCAAGGACAAATATTTCGTCCGCGAGTGCGGCAACCTTGGCTGTTCATTCCCAAGCACATCAAACACGTCAGCGCAGTGTACAGAAGAGGCGCAAAGAAGCATTTACAATTATGCGTCGATAGTAGCACCGTAGTGCGCTGGCGACGAAAGTACCCTCTGTCCGGGCTCAGCAGGCGCTCGCAGATTCTGTCGATCGTGACGGAATCGAGGCCACTGAAGACATCATCCAGAATAATAATCTCACATTTCGAGTAGACCGCACGAGCAAGAGCCTATGAGAGATTTTAACGTGTAAGGCACAGGTATACAGAACCGACAACATCTGGAACTCACGACTCGTTGCTTCTGGCCTCCACTGAGGGCATTCCCCTGCCCGCCAACACGGGTCAAATCCCCCTCCGGCAAGGCTTGTAGATCCTCGCTCACCCCGCACATCCAGAGTACCTGGTGGTACCACGCGGGCTGCATGCCCAGCGGACCAACGATATTGTCACGGACGGTCCCCTCAACCAGCCAGGGTACCTGGCTACAGTAAGCTGTGGGCACAGGGAGCGTATGGATGTACCCGTGGTCAACGACGGTTTCGCCCAAAATGCTTTCCAGAAGCGTGGTCTTGCCAGCGCTCACTGGGCCCATGATGGCTAGTATATCTCCCTGGTGCGCATCGAGATCGATCTCGTGAAGTACCGCCGGTACAGAGGCGCTCCACCTCACCGTGGCATTCCGCAAGGCGATCAGAGGGCCCTTCTCTGTGCCTGTAGATGGAACCTCGGAGCCCCAGCGGCCGAGCAGTGATGTACTTGACGACACTGGTTTTGAGTCCAGGTGAAGAGGCTGTGCGTCTTGGTGGGCGAAATATTCCTGCAACCTGGCGAAGGAGCCCAGACATTGGAACAGAGCGGGTAGTGCCTGGATCAACGTGAGAACTGGTAGTGTAATCAGGCTCATGAGAGAGAGTGCGGTGAACGCCTGCGCGGGGTCCAGTGAGCTGCTTTTGTTCGCGGTCGAGAGTAAGGTGAATAAAGCAAAGGAGGCAGCCGGAGACACCAGCCACGAAAAATTGGCTGAGAGATTGTCAGAATGGGTTGCATAAGCCTAGTACTAAAGTGAGGGCTCTCCACTCACCAATAAAAACCTCCCAGCACAATAAGGACCGAAATTTATGGGAGGCCGCAATCTCGATTGATCGGCAACGGGCGATGATAGACTCGATCTGCGCCCCGAGACCGAGTAGTTTGATGGATTTGATATCGTTGAGCATTTGTCGAGTGACATCAATCCGGCGTTCCACTCTCTCAATCCACTCGCGCTGAGCCCGGTTCTTCAGCTTGCATACTTTTGCAATAACAAGTATACACACTTTGAGAGGCATAGGTTAGTCTGTGCCATCGCAAATGTAAAGTGGAACCTACGGAGAGATAGCACAACGGGGACGATGCAGGATATGGCCAGCTGTCTTCCAAGCAACCAAACAGCTAGCCCTATGTCGATCGGCGAGGCCCATGTCTCGTGCACGTCCCGGAGGCCCGTCGCGATCCGCTCCACGTCCGTCCCCAGCAAGGTGAGTGCAGATGTACCTCCTTGATCTGCAGCCCCGAGCTCAAGGGTTCGGCTGTAGACTGTGGCAAGTACAGCCCCCCGGACGCCAATCACGAAGCGATACGCCTGTCTGTTGTAGAGTGCCTTGGACGTCTACACAATGTCAATAAGTCTGGGTTCGACAGGCGTTGTCTGCAATATGCAGAGATACAGAACGCCACGTACGGCATTCAGAGAGATAGCACGTACTGCAAGCCCAAGATACACAATCGCCGATGCTCCGATCAAACCATACCCCTTGTTCCGCGTCGTCTGGCTATCGGATGACCCCACAAATTTGATCATGGCGTTGACCAGAAGGGGTTGCATCAGGGTGAACGCCGAGAAACACAATCGAGGAATGACTCCATGCAGGAATTCTGTTTTAAACGTCCGGAATACCGTGAAGAAGAGCTGGTTTCCACGTGTTTGGTACACTATGGGAGAAAGAAAGACAGAGAGTCAGCCATGGTACCCAAATAAGCCGAAAAAGGCGCGAGCACAGTGCAGTCAAACTCCCTTACCCTGATTCCATCGTCCCCGCAGCCTCCTCATCAGCCTTTCGGCCGCGAGGCTGTGCCCGAGGGGCGGAAGCTGCTCCAAAGTCAACGGCGAGAAGAAGCCTTGTCTCAGAATTGGGAGCACCCATGTCAGTAAGCACAGCTCCCACAAAGTGCTGCTTTCCTCCTTTGTCGTATCTTGGGGCTGCGATGGTTGTGGGCGTGTCGGTAGTGTGGACTCAAGTATCAAAAGCAAAACGCGCAGGCCCAACGCCACACTCAGGATAATGGGCGCAAGGACGGTGTTCGAAGCAAGCCAGAACGTCCGGGCGCGGACACTGTCCAACAGCACCGCCACAAACAAGTAGAGACTGGGCCAGATAGGGGGCCGCAAAGAGTGAGCGCGCTCAAAATATGTAGTTGAAATCGCCGCACAAGTGTCGACTGTCTGCAGGATTTGCGCAGCGAGCCATACCTGCGTCTGCAGCGTCGGGGTATTGTGTCGGATGCCGAGCAACGTTAACTGACTCCCCAAGAGTACAGCATGCAGGGTCTATTGCCCACATTAGCGTCCAAACGGCATTACTCTTGAATCAAGTCTCAAAGCCCACCATCAAAGTGATCGTTTGCCGTTGGTTGGCAACCTTGACTGGCTTCGGGAGGAGACAGGCGATACGGGTGAGGTGAATTGCTAGGAAGACAAACGAGGGGAGAGAAACCAGCACCACATCCTCAAAGAGCAAGGTGAAATCAAATTCTCGACAATGAACGTTCACGACGGGGCCGAAGGAGTTGTCACTCCCTCTCGGGCAAGGAAAGACAGTCATGGCGGACGATCGACTTAAGTTTATTGCCAAGGGCCCGCATGCCATTGAATACTTATATAATGGAGGAAATCATCCACCTGCGCGCGGAAAATGCAGTACAGTACATGATGCCATAGTGGAACACATCCGATGCTGACCACGGCCATTGCATAAAGCACTCGACGATGGCTTGAGAGACCTGTCGATGTTGTCGTCGCTTGAGCATTCCAATTTTCTTTGAGGTGCATACTGCTGTAAAGGATTAAGGTTGCGCGACCTGCGTAAACCCCACGGCAGCTGCCGATTGGATCAACAAGCGGCCTGCCATGGAGTATAGCCTTCAATAAACCTTGCACAGGTCACGACGCTGGCGTCGAGTATCACCGTGGCCCTGTGGCTGATGAGAGCAGCCCCGTATGGGGGGTTCGACTGTCGTGTGCTCAGTTTCCATAGATAGACGTGGAGCCCGTATCTGCCCGGCATGTGCGCCACTCCCAGGAACACGAATACGGGGGCTGCCAGGAACCCTGGACTAAGCCTGATGTGGCTGCGATTTATGATCCTTGATGGACACCGACTCCAGAGGTTTCATGATGCTTGTTTTGGCGGCAATTCCAGCCGATGCAGGGGGAACGGCGATGTCCTCGTAATTTCCGACCGGCCGGTTGGAGGGTGTCGTGAGAGGGGTCGGGCAATGATGGCCTAAAGCGACGATAAATGTGAATTTAAAGTGCCACGAGGATATCAGCTACGCCTCATGGTTGAATTCCTGAATGCCGTTTGACCAGACGAGATGAGAGAGTATTTCGGCCGACTGGGGCCTCGACCCGGCCAACTGGTTCCTGGTTCAGTTGAAGCAGCTTCGGCAGGCTCCGTCGGGAAGTTTCCCGTCCAGTGGGAGCCGGGGAGAACCGTGCTAACCCGATGAAGTCTAGCTAAGCGACGCGAGGGCTCCTGCTGCCGAGATCACGTGCCCGGGCGGTCGGAATTAAGTTTTCCGGAAAAGGGCAAAGTCGGTGGATGATGTCACCGCGGTAACCGAGTCTCATTCATTCGTTCGTCCCCCTTCGATGAATTTCCTGGTCCAGCGCCCCCAAAAATAGCCTCATCTCATCCCTCATCCCACCCCTACCATAATATCATTTCGTCTTGTTGGGTGTTTTTTCTTTACCACCCCTACCACCCCTGTCTGCTACATCTACCACCGTAGAGGGGAATCACTTTACCTATACCTTATGTTCCAATGACCTCTCCCCCCCCCAAGAAACCCCCGGCCGGTGGGCGCACTGGCCACTTCGACGGAGAGGGGACGACGACGACGACGCCGCCGACGCCAACGCCAGACTCTGCGCGGGACCATGGCGCTGGCCGTCGAGCCCGCGAAGTGTACAGTATCTTCCACCCACAGAGCCTCATTTCGCCCATCGAGGAAGAGGCCGAGCCGACATCGCGACTCCCTCCGGGCCAAAGTACCCCGAGTACCCCGCATCATGGGGGTGGGAGCTCCCAGCGTTATTCTTCTGTTGCTTCCCCCGCAGGATCCCCCCATCTGCACGCAGTAGACACCGAGTATACTGTCCCATTGGTGCTCGAGCCTCATCTGAGCCACCACAACGAGACCTTGACCTCCTTCGCCCAGTTGGCCGCTTTGCGGCTGGATGTTGAGCGCGTGCTCATTAGGTATGTCTGTAATGCATACCTTTCTTCTTCGCCGGGCCATATACGATTACCGCCGCTGGCTTAATGACTCTACTCGCCTTCTGGTTTTTGTTTACCTTTGTTTTTTTGCGTTGATTATTGTTTAGCGTCTCCGATCAGGACTCGCAGTTCATCATCGCGCAAGCCGCACAAACAAACCAGGGGGATCTGGATCTGCAGGACCTGGGTGATGGAGTGTGGAATGGGAATTCCAGGCTCTCCCTTGATGAGTGGATCATGTGCAGGGTATGGCTTCTTTCTTTCTCCCCCTTTTCTAACATGACACTCTCGTGGTTCGAATGTGTCCAACACCTCACCGACATCTACAGGATACTCTGGATCTCCCGCCCTCCAACCGAGAGAAAGGCACCTCCTCGTTTATCGAGGTCAACGACCTCAGCATCGACGAGCGGTACAAGAATCTCCCGTTCGTCCGCGGGGATCCCGGCTTCCGCTTCTACGCCGGCACGCCGCTGACCGCGGACAAGAAGATCAACATCGGCTCGATCTTCGTGCTCGACAAAAAGCCTCACCCAACGGGGTTGACCGGGGTCGAGAAGAACGCGTTGGTGACCGTGGGCGCCCTGGTCAGCGAGTATCTCGCCGTCAGCCGACAAGCCACCGACGGGCGACGCGCGGCCCGACTCTCCCGCGCGCTGAACTACTTTGTCGAAGGCAGTTCGGAGATCGGGGAGCGGGCATCGACGGCCCCCAGCACGCCCGCCGCCGTGGGCACCGCCTCCATCTCGTGGTCGCCGCCGCCACCAACGCTGTCCAACCGATCCGCGCTGCGTTCCGCTGAGTCCCCGTCTGTGAAAAACAGCGAGACTCGCTCGCATCGGTCGCGCAGCTCCCGCGGGACGTGGAGCCAGGGCCTCCGATCTTCGGGGGCTCGATCCACGTCGCGCGACAGGCGCGGCGGGTCTGCAGCGTCGAGATCCGAGACTAGCACGAATCGCACGCCCGAGACCTCGTCGTCGGGGGACTCGTGGATGTTCCAGCGGGCGGCCAACCTGATTCGGCAGAGTCTGGAGCTGGGCACCGACGGTGGAGTCATCTTCCTCCGCGCCGACCCCCATCTCCTCCACGAAGCCAAGTGGCGAAGCAGCAACAACATCGGCGAGAAAGCTCCGCGCGAACCGACTCTGCCCCATGTGCTGGCGGCGTCGACCGCGCACGAGCCCTTCGCCGCGCGGCCCGGCTCCGAGACCACGACGCCGTATCCGGCCGCGGAGTTGAACGTCGAGTTCCTGCACCAGTTGTTGGACCGCTACCGCCACGGCAGACTGTGGTCGTTCCACCGGGACGGACTACTCTCCAGCTCCGATGACGATCGACCCTCGCCCGCGCGCACCGACTCCCAGCAGAGCATCGACGAGTCGCGGGTGCAGAAGGCCTCGGAAAACTCGACCCTCAACCGCTATTTCCCCGGCGCGACGCAGGTGCTGTTCGTGCCTCTATGGAACGCGGCGGACTCGCAGTGGTTCGCCGGCTGTTTCTGCTGGAACACGCTGGAGACGCGCGTGTTCAATCCGACTGTCGAGCTGAGCTCCATGCTGGGGTTCGGGTCCTCCATTATGGCCGAATACATTCGCATGCAGTCGGTGGCCGCGGACCGGCAGAAGAGTCATTTCATTGGTAGTATCTCGTAAGGACGGCCTCTTCCCCCCCACACAGTTTCGTATGCAACCAAACCAAAAGACACTGAAAGATTGACTCAACGACTTGATGCAAATCACAGGCATGAACTACGCAGCCCCTTGCACGGGATTATGGCCGCCGGCGAATTCCTGCAGGGCACTCGACTGGACGAGTTCCAGCGCTCCTTGCTGGACACCATCTCCAAGTGCGGCCGCACACTGCTCGACACCATGAACCAGGTGCTGGATTATAGTAAAACCGTGTCATCGGAGCGCGGCCGTGCCCACGCCAAGCGCCGCAGCGCCAAGCAAACCAACTCCGGCGCCTCCTCGTTGCTGGACACTTCCGTGGCGACGGACCTGAGTGCCCTGGCCGAGGAAGTGGTGGAGGGGGTGTATCTGGGCCATGCGTATGGGCAACGATCCACCGCCCCGTCTGACTGCCCGGAGAATATGGCGCAGAAGTCACTGGTGGACGCGTCGCAGCCGACCCAAGAGAAGCTGGCCGTGGAAGTGGTACTGGATATTGCGCAGCACAATTGGGTGTATCAAACCCACCCTGGCGCGCTGCGGCGCATCATCATGAATCTCGTAGGAAACGCTCTGAAATACACGGAAGCCGGCAAGGTATCCTTGGAGATGGACGTGATCGAGGCGGCGCCCCGGAAGGCGGGCGGTCCTGCTGCCAAACCCGGAGAAGCGCTTGTGCTGAGGGTCTCCGACACGGGCAAGGGAATCTCCGAGGAGTTTCTGCGTAACAGACTCTACACCCCATTCGCGCAGGAAGATCCGTTGGCCGTAGGCACCGGCTTGGGGCTTTCGATCGTGCGCAGTCTGCTCAAATCCCTCGACGGCGACATCACCTTCGACAGTCGCGCAGGCGAAGGGACCTCTGTCAAAGTTACCATGCCTCTAACTCGGCCCGGTCTCGAGGACGCTTCCCTCGATCGTGATCTTCAGAATTTGACGATCCAGGGAAGCAAGAGCTCCGGACCGATTAGCAAGCATGCCGGGCGACGAGCCAGTATTCTTCTGGAAGGAGACGCGGAGGATATTTCATCGTCCCCGCGATGGACAATCATCAGCCGCTACCTGGTCGGCTGGTTTGGGATTGAGCTCGTGCCGCACGACTCCAACTCGCCCGTGGACTTCATGCTTGTGGATGGAACCACCACCGTTCCAATCGAAACAGAGACCGTTCTCCCCCCGATACTCGTCGTATGGGATCCATCTGCATCTCCATCGAACCCTCTTCCCGGCTGGCTGTCGTCGGCGCCGACCGTGAACTTTGTCCGTCTGCCGTGTGGGCCATGGAAGCTGGCAGCTGCCATTGAGCGCTGCTTGAACCAACAGTCGGAGACAACCTCCGTCGCACTCCAGTCGAGGACATCACCTGTTGCGCACGACGACCAACATCCAGCCGCCGCCGCCGCCGCTCCACAATCACAACCCTCACTGTGCCCACAATGCCAGAGCGCATCCACACAGCAGGATGCGGCAATCGAAAGAACCGCGCGAGGCCCACGAGTCCTAGTCGTGGAAGACAACCCAATCAATCGCAACCTCATCCTGACATTCCTGAAGAAACGGAACCTGGCTGCGCTCGAGTCGGCCGACAACGGCAAGCGCGCCGTTGAAGCGGTCGAGCAGGAGAAACATGGCTACGACCTGATCTTCATGGGTATTCCCCTCCTTTCTCGTCCTTAGAACCACATGGTGCTAACCTTTCCTGCTTAGATATCTCCATGCCAGTGATGAACGGCTTCGAAGCCACACGCGCGATTCGCGCCCTCGAAAGGGAGCGGGACGGCGGCGTCTCTGCCAAGATCATCGCTTTGACCGGCCTCAGCAGTGCGCAGGATGAAACCGAGGCGTTGAACTCCGGGATGGATATGTTCGTGACCAAGCCCTTCTCGTTCGAGAAGTTGTCCGAATACCTGAAGAAGTGGGAGCAGAATGAGTTATGAGGGGCAACAAGCATCTCGACCAGCTTAATTTCCTTTTCTGTCTGATCAGGTTGCGATTCGGCCTGAACACGTGGCCGATGCCATTAGATTTCTTTTTGTCCAAGGGTTTCGATTGATGTGTCACGTATACGGTTTCGGCGCTCGATACCCCCTATTGCATGAGTCTGCTTTGTTGTTTAGCCATATGAAGGAACGTCATAACGATTTAATTCCATCTTATCATCCGGAAATCCTCTGGATTGTCTGCGCAAGACTCCTTGCGACTCACTCGGTAACTCATAGGCTTGTGGTGTGGATTAATTCCATGTGCACTGTTGATCAGAGTAGGATCCGTGTATCAAGTTTCAAGAAGAACGCAGTTCTCCTTCCTCGTCTTGCGTCGTTGCATGGAACCGATTAGAATTCACACGACCTGTTTGCAGTACGCCTAGAGACCGTAATTGATATTCACAGTCTACCCGAGACCCCAGAGTCCCCTCAGCTCAGCCGCACGATCGGAAGTCTTCCACCCGGTTTCAGCTTCGATTTGCGAGAGATGTTTTATCAACAAGATCTTCTCGTTGGCGTATTCCTCTACCATGGTCGATTCCTGAGCACTAAGGGCTTCGCTTCCTGCAAGATTCCTAAGATCTCGACTCACTGGCTGCTGAGCTGCCGACCGATAGCTCGCCACATTGCGCGACTGGGTGTGCCTCGAGGGTGGAAAGGTCGTGCAATACCCCGCGAAGACAGTCCCTGCTATGTATAGGGGTTGCAGATGGTTGACCCAGTTTGCACTGCAACTCTTTTGGTCAATATCACGATACCTCTCGGGACCGGTACGGCTGGTCTGTCGCCAGCTTGCGATGTATGACGGGAAGTGGGAACTCACTGAGAGGAATTACAAGTTGAGATGCCCATCAGTTCGCGTGCATGCCAAATGGAATCGACCTGCTGGATTGATGTAAGTGACCAGGTTGGTGCTCGCGCAGGCTGCGTATACGCACAGCACTTTGGGTCTCAGGAATAACCGGCACAGCACCCGTCTGCAGGAGCAGAATCGAGCCCGCATGATAATACGTGTTGCCACAAACTAGAAGGATACCCACATTACCAGCGGTCGCCTTTTGGACCCACAGAGAAGGTTCACTCACTGGCCGATGTCCGAGCATGTAAAACCGTGGGGAAAACGGTGCCAGGGCAAGGCTCCTGTCGCAACAACGGGTGGACATCCGGCGGCCGAAGCCGGTACCAGCGCTGCATTTCATCCCACAGAGCCGCCACCGACTCGCCCAAGTCAATTTTGCTATGGCCAACACATCTTGCCAAGCAATTAACGATCTTCGCAAAAATCAAGTTGGCCATGTTACAATAGTCATCCACCTTGCCCTTGGCGGCCAGCGACTCAAGGGACATATCGTTCATCCAGAAGTGGGCGGGGATCAGGGTCGTTTTGCGGGTGACAAACGCAGCCCAGACATCTGTGACAAAGGCGGATGTCAGGGGTTCTGCTTCAGACGAACTTCCACTGATTAGACCCGAAACTTCACACCGGTGTAGCTTACCTATCCGCGCAAATGCCCAGAAGCAAGACTGCACAATACCAGGGCTACACCCATTCCACTTCTTCAGCTGGAGCAGACCGGCACACCCCTAGAGTTGTGGTCAGTAGCTTGTCTTCCGAGTATCCGAAAAGGAATATTTGGTGAGAGAACCTTCAAATGGCGTCGCCACTCATCTACACCCGATGCCATCATCTCGTAAACACACAGTAGCGTGCATGTCGCCAGCACAGAAGAATCAGCACGGGCGGGGTCTTGCCGGAGCAGCAGGCGGATGGTGTGCTGGTATAGCTCCAGTGTGATGGAGCGATGTCTACGTTGAAGGTGGTCCAAGTGGCGCGAGGCTAGAGACATTGCTGCTGCGACGAACGCCGATGACTTCATCATCTCATGGATACTGAACACCGTAAAATGCCTATCAGAGTCGGTGGTCTCGCACCAAGTTCCTGTTCCTCGCAAGTAGAAGCTAATGAGCCTCAGTTTCTCTGACTCGGAAACAGGAGACGGTGGTTGGGGCAGGATGGAGATGTCCCCAGAACAAGCCTTGCCGAGTGAGAAAGGTGCAACGTGCGTGCCAGCGTTAGGCTCTCCGATCGCGATCGGGCCGTGCACGTTGCCGGTGCTCGGGGTCTTGGAATTGGACACGGGCGAGGGCGGCGTCGCCGGATAGCTGTCTGTCTGATCAAGATCCTGAAATGATGGCCGTGCCACAAGATTTTCACCGACACTGTCATCTTCCGTGCCATGCTGATTACCACCGAGTGTGTGGCTTCCCTGCAGCTCTTCGAAAGCCCTGACTGTGCTGCACTGCAATGGTCGGGCTCCTTCGACCTCTCTCAGACCCGGGTCATGTGAGGGTGCCGGGCTCCTCGGTGGTGGGGAAGTATTCTGCAGGAATCTATAATCTCGGATCGTTGCCTCCGTCTCGTCGATAACCTGTGATTCTCATTGAGTGTGGGGTGCAGGATGGCTGATCAGGCTGTTCCGAACCTTCAAACGACGTCCTAGCGAGGGCAATGATCCTGGTCCATGGTCCAGAGCTTTTGCAAGGTCGGCTACGTCGGAGCGTGATAGTGTGAGATTGCGTGAGTGATGGAACGAGGCTTTGAGGCCCCACTGGCATCGACGCCCTTGCAAGGTACAATTCTGGCAACGTGGGTGTGCCCCATCGCCTATGTTGCGATTAAGAAGGCGTGAGGTAAGTAAGACTCCTCAAAGTGGGAGGTGTGGAGGCAAGCTTACATTTTCGCCGACGAGTGCGACACGGGAGGCTGTATAGTTTCATGGTCAGCGCACCACTTAGGGAAGTGCAAGAGATAATTTACCAGCCAGAACGCGTTCTTCGCCGTTGCATAGTAGTCTTCTTGGCAACTTCTCCCTCTTCTTCCTGTAATCAGTTACCCCTTGCGACAAGAGAGGAAAGAGGAAGGATGCAACACCACACCACTGAAGTAGTGGAAAGGGAAGACAGGAAAGTGGAAGACAAAACGGCAAGTGAATGAAAATGGTCACGTGATGGGCCAATAAAAGCAGCAAGTGGAAGCGCAAGCGCCCGCCCAGAATCTCTCAAAGTTCATCTTACTTGTATTTTTCCAGGTCGTACCCTTCGATCACTGCCTAGTCATCATGTATGACTTGTCTTGTCTCAGTCAGACTTTCTGCAGGTCTTCCAACGGGATCATTGTAGGATATTCTTGTCTATCACGCCACAATATATCCAGCGCCGGAAGTCCGCTACATCGTCATCTGGTCTTGACATCATAAGTAGTCCGAACCACCTTATTAATACCTCCATTGTCGCTCCATCATCGTCTCATGTATTGCACAAGTGGGAGAACCGATTCAACGAGGAAACTAGCCTGACCACATCACCACACAAATATTCATCTCTAAGATGACTCCCAGCCCAACCATGTCGGCACTCGTAGTCCGCGAGGATAGCCCTCAATCTCTCCGTCTTGCCAAGGAACAGATCCCCATTCCGCAACCAGACAAGATGCAGGTTCTGGTGAAAATCAGCCACGCTGCACAGAACCCAACAGACGGTTTGTTCTTCCCATCAAGCCAATTGCTTATTGTCTCTTTTCTTTCCTTCTTAGCCTCAAATATAGCTCGTGCATAGGCTTGAGTGGAAAGAGCGCCTGACAGGAAAGCAGTCCAATCGTTCGATAACCGCGCGTTTGGCGATGGCGCTGTCTTGGGTTGTGATTTTGTCGGCGAAGTGGTCGAAGTCGGCAGCTCCGTGCGACGGTACGCAAAAGGCGATATCATCGCCGGTTTGATTTGGGGCGGTATGTCTGATCTTTGTCTTACTTGGACAAGAGATTCTGAGCTGACGGAATTTGAAAGGCGAGACTCCGGGTCTAGGCGCCTACAGTGAGTACACCCTAGCCGACGAGAGTGTCTCGTACCCGGTGCCGGGGCGCAATATCTCGCGCGAGCAGGCGAGCACCGTGCCCCTGGCTGCCGCGACCGCGTGGCTGGCACTTTTTTCCAAGGACTGCCTGGGCATTAATCGCAACCAGCAGAAGGGTAGCAGTGTGTTGATTTGGGGTGGGAGCTGTAAGTATCTGAGTGCAGTCAGGGTCCCCTCCTCGCCATTCTCTCCTTAACCGGGCATCTACAGCAAGCGTCGGACTCTACGCCATCCAGCTGGCCACCATGTACGGATTGGAGGTCGTCACGACTTGTAGCCCCAAGCACGCAGAAATGGTGCGCTCGTACGGCGCCCGACACGTCTTCGACTACAAAGATGATCTGGTCGTCGATAAGATCAAGGAGGTGGCTCCCACACTCAGATACGCCTTCGATACCATCGGCAATGCAACATCATCGCCAACGGCCTCTCGTGCCTTCCAGGCGGAAACTGGGTCTCTGTGTACGGTGCGACCCGGCAAAGCGAATACCGAGAAGGTGACATCCGGGACTCGGGTGACGGATGTGTTGGTGTGGACCTCCTTCCTCAAGGATCACACATATGGCGAGTTCAAATGGCCGGTAAGTGGCTGGATCCTGTACTTCACTCCGTCAGGGCGAAAGGAGAAACTCACGTATGTTGCGTGCAGGCTTCCAAGAGCGACCATGAACTCTCGGCTGAATTGTTCGACAAGCTTCCCTCCTGGTTGGAGAGAGGCACACTCAAGCCTAGCCATCCCAGGTTGCGTCAAGGGTTGGACTCGGTGCCCGAAGGGTTCCAGGAGTATCGTGATGGAAAGATCTCCGGCTACAAGATTGTCTATGCCTTGGACTAAGTCTGGTGTTTGGAGGTTGAGGCTGTTCCTTCGTCCTTAGTTGTCCGATTATAGAAACTTCATGTCGGATAAATCGATAACAGAATCATTTATCATGCAACGAGATGAGAGCAATGTGATATTGTGCAAACCGGCGTAAAGATTGACAAATGACATGGCTAGGATTAGCATGACGTGGGCCGGAAAAATTGCTCTCGTTGTGCCATCAGCAACTTGCCTCTTCCTGCAATGGAGAGCAAGAACGTGGACTTTGGGCTACTGTTCGCGTAAGATTCAATCTCATATTACCTAGCCTTTCTATAGGAACATCCATTCTGAGTGTCTGAACAGCAAGAGTCGGCGTGGAAACGTAGTCACGTGACACAACAGGAGCTATTGACGAGCTCTATTGTTGACCATATGGCCATTCGTTTGAATAGAATACGGGATGATCATTATGCCAACTCGGCAAATGGATTGCCGCAGCGGCAGCTGTCTATCAAGACTCTCGATGGCTCCTATCAGAGCTCCCTAGACTATAGTATACTTCTGTCTCCGACCGCGCGAATGTGGTCCCACTTGGTCTATTAAACAGGGCAAGTGGAAGCGCAGCCGCTGTGGGGCATGCAAGTCGAGCCCTATCTTGATCTCTAAAGCCTTCAAAGGCCCCGATTACGACAAGTAAGCCAGGGACAAACCGATCCGAATCCTCAACTGGTTAGGGTTGAATGACGTATGCAGTACTGCACCCATTGCTCCAAGATTATGAGATGGTAAGCCACTGGACATTCGTCACCCTTCCTCACCGCATCATCATAGGATTCACCCATAGCTATGGCCAACCTCTACCATAAATAAATACAATGCTTGAAGCAGGTGTCATCGGTCCAATACACCAACAAGATCTTGGTCTATCCGTCTACTTTGACTTCTCAATATTCTCCTCCTGTGCGCCACCTCATTGCAGCATATCAAGATTTCAACCATGCCCTACGATGGACACTGCATGTGCAGGCGAATCCAAGTGTCGCTGCAGCAACAACCGCCTCATTGGAATGCCACTGGCAATGATGAGCCTTCCAAATTGATTGAACCAGGGCAAGTACAACTCTAACTGTTCTGCATGTGACTTAGTCGCAACTGCGGGCGATCCGGGGGCGGCAAGAACCACGAATTCGCGACGCCTGATACTTTGTGGCTCCCGCCATTGTTGACCATCAACTCACGGTCGTCCATAAATTACGTCTTAGATGATTCTAGGGCTACAATCACAGACCCAAGACTATCTCTGAAGAGTTACGGTGATTAACACACAGAGAGCGGGAGTATTGTCCTAGTAGGTGTTTTCATGGCTGCCATGGCCTTTAACGAACGGCGGTTTATTTGAGATACCGTTTCTGGATGTCCCAGCGCCAACTTTGTAGCGATTATGGAAGGTGAGTTTCCGTCATGATCAGATCTCAATAGCTCTTTGTTCTGGTTCCTTGCACTGACATTTTCGTCTGTAGCCCCGTCTCGACTAAGCGCCCCGACTTCCCAGGGAAGACGCTGCTAGAAGCCTCGCTCTCTTCGATAAGATAACTCATCCTAGTCATGAAGCCTTTGCAGCCAGACGGCAAAGCCCGCGATTGAAGGGGCTAAGCAGAACTAGAATTTGAACAAGGGGAACGTGTGAGAAAATGCGCTGAGCTATAAATTATAGAACATCTATCAGACGTCAAGCACATAAAATGCATACCGGAGAATAATTCGCACAAATGAGCAGTTGCTAAAGCTGTCTGATTAGTGGCCCGAAAGGGCTCCAGAATTGATGCTCCGATATTTGTCTGTATAGTTCTCTCAAGGGAAAGGGAATTAGTGCCTCAACATAAATCTTTGAAGCGCTGTGGGATTGGCCTCCAGGATGGTGAATTGCACCAACAAACTAGGTTTATGTTTCGGGTTCTATGGTAGTCTCGAAGCACCCACCGATCACATCACGGAATCAGAATTCACTACGCCCCTGCTTAGAAGCTTCTGTGTTTAACATGTGAATCGTAGAAGAACTCTCGTGGGTTGACTCGATCATAAATAGCAGGACTCTGTCACCTTGCTGTGAGCTTCCTTTCCATGCTGAAGATTCAATCCCGCCCAGCCCGATACTCTCCTCTTGACACATCCACGGCAGTTACAAACAGCAAGATTCATCATGGGTTCTCAGAGTATGAAAGCCCTCAGGCTTGTGCAGGTACCAGCCACCATCTCCTTTTCTCAAAGCTCACAGTCTCTCGTTTGCCTCCGCATAAAAACAGCACAGAGACGAAAAGCCTCCACCCAGAACAGACTGACATGATATATTACTTACCGCATTAAGTACGGAGCCCCATACAATTTAGAGGATAACCCGATCCCAACTATCAGCGACTACCAGCTCCTGGTCAAAGTCGGGGCCGCCGGCTTCTGCCACACAGATCATCAGATCTACAATGGGGTCTACAATTCCCCCTTGCCAGTGACTCCGTCCCACGAGCCCGCGGGAACTATAGTGGCGGTCGGACAGAATGTGACAGGCAGCTGGAAGCCTGGCCAGCGGATCTAGATGCTGAATTTCCGGGGCGTGTGCCATGCGTGCGTAGGCTGTGAAGTCGCGCTCGACCCCCTTCGGCCTAATGAGCCGGACACTCGGTTCTGCGAGAATAAGGAGAATGCCGGCGTCAATGCCGATGGGGCCTTCGCGGAGTAAATCGTGGCCGACCCAGCTACTTCGGTGCTTTTGTCGGATGGGGTGTCGTTTGAACAGGCTGCTCCGTTGATGTGTGCTGGGGTAAGTTGACGACAACCTTGTCCAGGGGGTGCGCTTTTGGCTTAACTATGTATCACAGGCTACCGTCTGAACAAGCCTCGCAGGCGCAGGGATAGAACCTCATCTCCCCATCGGAGTCATCGGCGTCGGCGGTCTAGGCTACCTCGCCCTGTAATTTGCGGCGGGATTAGGGCATCCGACCGTTGCAATCGACAACCGACCCGAAGGGCGGCAGTTGGCGAGTGAACTTCCGACTCACCTGAGACCTGGTAAAGTCGTGGACTACAATAGTCTCAAGACCACAAAGGAGGTAGTCGAGTTTGCAGGAGGAGGTGGACTTGCGGCTGTGCTGGTCTGAACCGACAGTGTGGACGCGACGGAATGGAGCCTTAAGCTTCTCCGGCCTCACGGAGTCTGCGTGCCGCTGGGGCTTCCCGTGGAAGGATTTAGGATCTCAGCCTGTGACATGATATTCAAGGAGCTGATTGTTCGTGGGAGCTTGGTTGCGAACCAGCGCCTCTAGTCGGATATGATGAACTTCGTCGCGGAGAAGGGGGTGCGATCTCACGTACAGACGGTGAAGCTCGAGGAGGCCATGGATCTTCCGGACCGGTATATGGACCCTCATCTGAAGGGACGGTTGGTCGTTGTTTCTTAGGTCAGGGGCTTTCTCAATATTTGTTATTCCTGTTTCCCCAAAAGAGGACCTTTCACGCGGAGGAAGGGGGGGGGGGGCAAAACTATGTTCAGGGTACAGCTACATGAAATGTGCTGAGTCTGCCTAGTATCAGTCACCAACCATAAGGTGTCAACTTCCTTTCTTGCATTGGCTTTATACATAGGTATTTCAGATTCGTGTAAAAGATCTCATTGCTACACTGCGAGACACAATCCAGATAGCTTGATCTAGTAAAGTTCTAGCTATCACGTCTGATGTTATTCAAAAAGACTCATCGAGGACTATGAAAAAGGCGCAGAAGTCAACCATTCATGTGCAGACTCAGCCTCTGAGAGCTACACACCCAATTAGCAAATCTTCAAGATCTCGTTGGTTACCTTCTTGTAGAGGTCGCCGATGGCTATCTTTGGCGACCACTCCGCCTCGACCTCAAACCTCCTATTAGCCACCGTACCATAGAATTTGAATACAAGCGGCTCATTGTTGACCAGAGCATGAGTGTGAACACCAACCACGATCTTCTCGATGTGGAAGACAGAGGAAATCTTTTTTTGAATCTCGTTCACAAAGTCCTGGAGCTTCTGCATGCCATTCTGCCAGTCCTTTTTGAGGGCCTCTAGGCCCGCGTCCATCTGCTTGATGGCATTGTGGACCTCCTCATGAACCTTGAGCCGGTAATCGTACTCCCGCTGCAGCTTTGCGAGCTTTGCGTCTTCCTGGATGCGGGTGATTGTCTCATCTGCGGCGCGAATCTCGGCTTCCAGGTTGGGTCCTTTCTTGTCGAGGATGGCTTGTGCATCCCGAATCGCCTGCTGATACTTGCTGTTCTCACTTTGCATTGCATGAAGATTGTTGATCGCTGCTTGGATCTTTCTATCCTCGGTGTCCACAAATGCCCTCACGAATCCGTCGAATCCTCCACCTTTGATAAGGTTATCGATACCCTTCGCAGCGTTCTCTGCTGCTTCAGCTGCTTTCTCTATCCCGGTAACGAGACCCTGAAATGCATCAGAGTTGATTGTGGCATCGAATCCCTTGGCTGTTTCATGGTAAACGGCGGTGGCTGCCTTGACGAGTTCGTGGCGTGCCTTCTCTGCCTCCAGTGCCGCGGCCTATTGTAATCAAGAATTAGCTTTCTTTCTGTATCGCCTGCCCAGGCCTTCCTCATTTCATGCAAACGTACCCAATAGGCAATAGTGAGCCTACTGAAGTTAGCTCTTGATCTCTTCAGCGGCAGTGTGACAGGGTTGCATACCAATTCGCCTTGCATTTCTCCCAATACACCGCTTCAACCTGTGCCCAAGAGGCCTTCTCGGCCGCCATCTTCTCATACCAGGCGCCCTTGGCCAGCTCTGCCCGCTTGAGAAAGTCTAGTCCATACCTGTTTGCTTGCTCCTTCTCCAGTCTCTCAAGCTCCTTGCGATTCCGAGCCTCCTCCTCCTTGGCTGCTTCGAGTTTGTCGTTGTACTCCTTTCTCTTCCGTTGAATGAGTGCCTCTTTGTCCAGTTCCGCCCGCTTAACCTTCTGTTTCAGCTCTGCTTCGACTTCAGACTTGTTCTTCTTGGCGGTAGCCAGATTCTGTCTCAATCGTGCAATCTTCTTCTCTGCCTCTTTTCGCTTCTTTTCCTCCTTCTCAATCTCCACTTGACGCTGGCTACGGGTTGCCTTCAGCCTTATCCGTGCATCCTCCAGCTCCTTTGCCAGTTGATCCATCTCAGCCTGCTTCTCACCGATCTTGGCCCCAATGAGGTTTTGCACGGACTCAATGCCATCCGTGCCCAGTTTCTCAATAGTTTTGATCATATTCTTGATACTCTCACAGATCATATCAAATAGATCGCCCTGGATCTCGGCCTGGAAGTAGAGTCCCTGGTGAGCCAGATCACGGACACTGCTAAAATCCGCCGCTGTGGCCTGCAGACTGATGGTAAACGCCTTGGTAAACTGTACGGCAATGTAGGCGTTGAACGAAGGGGTCTCCGTGCCCAGCTGGATGTCCACGAGGGTGACCAGCCCAATGCCGAAGCAGGTCACCATGCCATCTACCTTGACAATCTGCTGCTCTTTGGTCATGAGCACCACCATGCTCGCCCGGGGTTCACCACTGGCCGACGAGACCACGAGCGGACCCAAGCTGAAGTTGTCGATCGCGCCCTTGAAATCTAGTCCTGCAGCACCAATGCTCAGCTCGAACTCAGCCTTCTTGCCGAATGCCGTCAGTTTCCCGCCGCCGGAGATGCCTCGCGGGTACTCCTTCTTGCCAATGGTAGCCCCCGTGGAGACGTACAGCTTGGCATCCGTGAACACGAACAGTTCCTCAGCCCCTGTGATCGTCTCCAATTCTGGGATATTGGCCACCTTGCCGGCGACCTGCACGATTTTGATGAGGTCGACTTCGGAGATGTTGACCGAGATGAGCTGATCATCGGGAAAGTGGCTGATCACCATGGCTGCCCCGGCCTCGAAATCTCCGACTTCGAGCTGCCCGCCGAGGCCCATTTTCCTGGTTTCGCGTATCAGTAACCCCGACTCAATAGGTCTGTGGCCAAGAAGCACATTGCAAACTTACGAGGGACCGACTTCCAGGAATTTGGCATATTCGATCAGTATCTCGACCCGAAAGTCTGCGATTGTGACCTCCTTGCTGATGTTGAACGGGTTCACCCAGGGCTGCTTAGTCGCACTGGAGGAATTGTCAGCATTGTGCATATACCCTCAGTCCAACCAACTTACACATAAGCGGAGGCATGCAGGGCCCCTGCTCGGACCATTCCTTCGAGGACTAATGGATCCTGACCCGATTCCATCAAAATAGTCAAAACGCCATCGAGCGACAAGCTGGGATTCGTGCTGATCTCAATCCCGACGCCGATATCGCCCAGCTTCACGGTTTGGGAAATGTGGATCTGACGGCAAAGATGCGTCAATATTGTGTTACAACCTAAGGGGGGAACGACCTACATCCATTGACGAAGGCAAGCAGATCTTGAGCTCCAATTTCCGCTGAATGGTAGCGCATAGGACTAATCCATCCACCTTCTCCTTAGCAAGGATGTTGAGCTCATCAAGGGGTGGTATAGTCGCGCATAACGAGATTCCTACACTCGGGTTAGGGCTTCTGTGTCACTAGGGAAGGGCCTAGAAAGTGAATAGCGATCGCTGACCTACCTTTTCGGACGGGATACTTCAGGGTGTTCAGCTCTTTTACTGACTTGATCTCTCCAGATGCGGCAATCACGGCGACATTCCGCAACCTGAGGTTTCCAATGGGGGTGCCTGCAAGCGTGTCACAAAGCTCTGCCAGGCAGAGGTCCGTATCAGCCAGACCATAGATCATCCACTCGCGTTCAGAAGCCTGCTTCGACTTCTTGTTTGTCTCTTTACGCTGCGTGAGAAAGGCGACTGTCACAGTCACTCCACTGAAGGTGACCTTGCCTCTGATGGAGAACTTGCTGGCCCGGTTGAGGAGAACCTCCTTGTCTTTGCCGGTATCTTTCTTGACAAGGTCCTTTCCCATTGAGCTGTCTTCTTGGGATGATTTCACAACGGCTGACTCGCTACCACCGGCGTCAGCGTCGATCGAGGAGCCCTTTTTGCCGTGCACACTTAGTTTTTTGTCGGTTTTGGGCTTTGCTCCGATAAAGATATCAATCCGGGCCTCCTTGATCGTGATATCAGCGTCCTTCACTTTGTAATCCTCCACCCCACCCTCGATGGTCAAGCCGGTGCTGTCATATTTAATCAAACCGTGCACGCTTTTGACGTCGTTGAAGCTCACTTTCCCGGAAAGCTCAAAGCACCATTGTGTATCCTCTTCCCCCTCTTCCTTCCTGGCAGCACTCTTCTCGTCAGCCTTGGTTGCTGCTTTGGTTTCAGTCACTGCGACAGAATCTCCTTCCTTGGCCTCGTCGTTTACGCTCGGTTCACCCGCAATCTTCTCGTTCGCAGAGTCTTTCTCTTCAGTCGGTGCTTTCTCGCCGTCTTTGAGCGTCTTTTTTTCTTTATCCTCATCACCCTCCTTCTCATCCTTCTCCTCATCCCTCTTCTCCTTCTCCTTCTTCTCCTTCTCCTTCTCCTTCTCATCTGCTTCTTTCTTCTTCAGCCTCCGACCAATATTGAGGTGCAGCTCCTCGAAGGTTAAATTGTGGTCCTTGATGCCCTCAGTCTTGGGTTCGACTCCGTGGATATGGGCGTAAATCTTCAAGATTGATTCGAGCTTCAAGTTGCCCACCTTGGCGTCGAAATGATAATCTTCTGTGTGGGGATTAGTAGAGCTCTGCTGCAGCCAAGAGCCATAGATGGACTTACTCCTGGACAATTGGCCTTTGATCTCCAAGGTGGCATTCTTCGGCTTCTCCTTGTCTGCATCGCCTTTCTTGTCGCCACCATTTTTCTTGTCTTCGCCCTTTGACTCCTTTTCCTTGTCTTGGCCTCCACCGGCGGCCGACGGCTTCGGCTTCGTGTTTGAAGCCACTTTGGCGTGCTTTTCAATGTCTTTCTCGGCCGTTTCTGCGTTTGCCTTTTCCTTTTTCTTGTCCTCCTTCTCCTCCTTCTCGAGGCTACCCTGAGGAAATTCGAGAGAGCCAGACACAGTCAGCGTGCAGGTCTTCCTGAAATCTCCTGGTTTGAAGAAGGCGCGCAATTCCGCTTTCTTCATCTGTTGATGGGTGATCAAGTCAGCATGGGAATTCATGTTCTCTGAATCGCCGGGATTCTTACACTGAGGTTTGCGACACCGCAGAAGTTATCCCACTTGCCGACATTAATGACCACTGCCAACCACGTAAGTTCGATCCTCGACCCTGCCTGGGTCAGGTGGACTTACGTTCATACTTGCTTCCACCACCTTGCTCGTCTTTTTCCTCCTTGCTTTTCACGGCCTTCTCGTCCTTCTTGTCTGTGTGTTCAGAGTCGGGTTTGTCTGCTTTTCCCTTACCTTCGGCAGCTTTATCATCTTTCTTGTCTTCTTTTTCTTTCAC